GCAGCATTCAAGGCAGATGTGAGGGTAGTGTTATATGTGGAGATGGCCAGTGAGGGACAGGAGAGTGAAGGGATGGATAGCAGTTGTGAATCAATGTCAGCTGACAGCTGCTGGAGGTCAATAGAGTTAAGGTTCCTCCTGAGCTGAGGGGGGTTAGGCTGAGATTGTTGGGTGAGGGGGTAATTGAGAGCAAACGATAAACGGTGGTGATCAGAGAGAGGAAATGGAGTGTTGCAGATATTAGATACTGTACATGAATAAGAGAAAATAAGGTCGAGGGTATTGCCAGCTACATGAGTGGGAGAATTAGCCCACTGCAAAAGTCCAAGGGAGGAAGTGATTGAAAGTAGTTTAGAGGCTGATGGGGTTAAAGGTGGGTTAATGGGAATATTGAAGTCTCCAAGAATTAGAGATGGGATGTTGGAAGAGAGGAAGTAGGGTAGCCAGGCAGCAAAGTGGTCAAGGAAGAGGAGGGGAACCAGGGGGACGATAGATTATGGCAATGTTAGCAGAGAAGGGTTTGAAAAGGCGAATTGAATGAATTTCAAATGATGGGAAAGAGAGGGAAGGGGGGGGGGCGGTGGACAGGGTTTTAAAGGAGCAGTGGGGTGAGAGAAGAAAACCTTCACCGCCAACTTTAATCTCCACTTGTCTTGGATTGTGGGTAAAGTGAAGACCACCAAAGGACAGTGAGGCAGGTGTTGCAGTATCAGATGGAGAGATCCATGTTTCTGTTAGTGCAAGTAGGTTTAGGGAGTGTGAGATAAATAGGTCATCGATTGAAGTAGATTTAAAGGTGCTGCACACAGAGCGTGCATTCCAGAGGGCAGCTTTAAAAGAGGAATTATAGTGAGAATTACATGGAATGGGTATTAGGTTGGTGTGGTTTCTGTTGTTTGTACCAGGTGGCTGAGAAGTGGAGGGACCAGGGTTTGGAGAGACATCACCTGCTGCTAGGAGTAGTAGGATGGAAAGGAAGAGAAGGTGGGAGTAAGATTTAAATGTTGGGGATGAGAGCTTGTATTTAGGGTATTTAGGAGGGGTGTGTGGAGAAAGGCTGGATAAATATGAGTAAAGTGCGTGTGATGAATACAGAGATGAGGGGAGCCGAGAGGGAGCAATGAAGATGGTGGGAATTGGGGGGTGAGGGACAGGAGATTGAGACACATGGAAGGGACTGGGGGGAATTAAGACACATGGAAGGGGTGGGGATAATTGACACGTGGAAGGGACTGAGGGGGAATTGAGACACATGGAAGGGACTGAGGAGGAATTGAGACACATGGAAGGGACGGAGGGGGAATTAAGACGATTTTAATGGAACAGTCCTGCCTTTGCTCCCTGTTGTCCGGCTTTTGGGGACACCAGGGAACTGTCCCTAACAATCATAGCACAAGTGCATCAAAATATATCTTCAGGGCACTAGGACCCTGCAGGGAGCACTGAAACTGTGGAAGGGACAGGGGAATTAAGATACACGGAGGGACTGTGGGGGAAAGTAATACATGGAAGGAACTGGGGGGGTAATTGAGACACATGGAGAAACTGGGGGGGATTGAGCCACATAGAAGACACTGGGGAGAGTTAAGACACATGGTAGGGACTGGGGGGGGAGAATTAAGACATGTGCTTGGGTGTCCCTGTGAGGGGATTAGACGTGGGGGACTGAGGGGGAATTGAGACATATGGAGGGACTGGGTGGAATTGAGACACATGGAGGGACTGGGGGATTGAGACACTGGAGGAAATTGATACACGTGACAGGACTAGGAAGGTCAATTAAGACACATGGAATGGACTGGGGAAGAGAGACATTGAGTGACTGGGGGCTGAGACACATTGAGTAACTGTGGGGGTAATTGACACATGGAAGGGACTGGGTGAGAATTGAGAGACTGAAGGGAAATTGACACATGGAAGGGACTGGTGAGAGGATTGAGACATATGGAGGGACTGGGTGGAATTGAGAGACATTGAGTGACTGGGGGGGAACCTGAGACACATTGAGTAACTGTGGGGGTAATTGACACATGGAAGGGACTGGGTGAGAATTGAGAGACTGGAGGGAAATTGACACATGGAAGGGACTGGTGAGGGGATTGAGACATATGGAGTGACTGGAAGAAAATTAAGACGCATGGAGGCACTGGGTAGAACTGACACTCATGAAAGCGACTGAGGGGGGGATTGAGACATATGGAGGGACTGAGGGGGAAATTGACACATGGAAGGGACTGGGGTGAAATTAAGATGCATGGATGCACATGGAGGGGCTGGGGGGAGGGGAATTGACACACATCAAAGGGATTGGGGGGAATTAAGACATAGGGAAGGGACAGGAGGAAATTAAGACACATGGAAAGGACTTGGGTTGGGAATTGACACATGGAAGGGACTGTGGAAGAATTGAGAAACATGAAGGACTGGGGGAGAAATGAAAACACATAGAGGGACTGGGGGGGTGGGGGGGAATTGAGAGACATGGAAGGGCTGAGTGGGGATGAGACACATAAGAGGGCAGGGTTTTTGTACTGGGGCCCAGTGGTTTCTGTGCCTCAGCCCATAAATCATTGCTTTATCTGTGAGGAGTATCCTGTTTTCATTCTATTTTATTAAACGTGCTGATTTCTATGAAAAAAACTGCACTTTTATAATTGAATTATGACACACAGCCAGGGAGGTTTGCTCATTGCCTTCTCCCCCAATGCCTTCTCAGTGAGAAGCCTCTGATTGGTTATTTCCCCGTGAAGAGACTGAATGCGTCTTCCGGGGAAAAAAGGGAGGACTCGCAAAGCCTACAGCTTTTGCAAACTGTTTTATGATATACCCTGAATGAATACATGCATGTAATCATTGGGGTATATCTACTAAACATTTATTTTTATTTTTAAGTGTGGATTTCTACTTTAACAGTCAAATGTAGAACACTGCAGTTTTGTATACACTGCAATATTTACATTGCAGGGTTAATCACATCTAAAGTAGCTGAGTGTCAGGCTCTAGAGGAGCTTTCTCTGCAACAACTGAGTTTCATCAAACTGTTATCAAATGTGCCTCCAAGGAGCATTGTATTGGACAAGAAGACAGCAAGTGACGCCTCCAGTATTCGAGAGGAGGGCAGCACCAAAAAAAAAATGTAAGGAAAACTTTCTCTCTCTCTTTTTTTTTTTTTTTACAGGGGTCCTGAATCTGATTAGGTACAAAGACACTATAGCCATGCCACCCAACTGTCCCGATTTTAATGGAACAGTCCTGCCTTTACTCCCTGTTGTCCGGCTTTTGAGGACACCAGGGAACTGTCCCTAACAATCATAGCACAAGCGCATCAAAATATATCTTCAGGGCACTAGGACCCTGCAGGGAGCACTGAAACTGTGGTAGAGAATTGGCATGATCTACACCAACAATGATTAATTGAAGGGACACTCTACTGCCCAAATAAAAAATAAATCAAAATCACTGTTTAGAAAATGTATCCCAAATGTACATTTTGCTAAATGAGATAGGGAGGAAACACTCTTATAACGAGGACACATATAAAGCTCTTCAGCAAGTTAAAGTGCTTTAGGGGTCGGAGTGTCCCTTTAAGCCAAAGTTATTTTGATGCTTAAAATGTCCCTTTAAATCATGGCAAAGGCAGCAGTATTTTTGGCGCAAAATCACTACAGGTTGGAAGGAAGCAGAAAAAAAGAATTGTTTAAACAAAAAAAAACTAACAAAACAAAATTATATATATAAACCACAATGATCAATAGCTAACTCATCCAGCATAACTATAACCTAATTTGTACATTGCACCTAATATGTATCATTATTGTAGTGCCCCTTTATTTGATTTTCTTGCAGCATCAACGCCATATAAATGCTTCAGGGCATCTCTTTTCTTATTCTACCAACCAGAATGATGTGATATACATCAAAGAAATTACAATGAATCAACAACCGTACTGCTGATGCTAGTGTTTTTAAAGGAGCTGTCTATGTTTAATGGTAGGTTGCATAAAATAATGTTTTGATACAATTACTTATAAAAACACTTTATTAGCAGATCAGTCAATGACATAAATTTGAATCCTGGGTACACAATACTCTACAATGTTATTCCTGTTTGTTTGTTTGTTTGCTTGTTTGTTTTGCTTGTTTCTTTTATTGCAATTTAGTTTCACTGCTCCTTGGTAATCACACTGAGTATCACTTAATTTAGAAGGTAATTATAATTATGATCAGGTGCAAATAAGGTTATTTAAATGTGGGAGTTGACAGCTAAAGATTTGTCTTCACATAATGGAATCTGGTAAGAATGCTGTGGGGTGTCAATATTATGGTCTGTTCACATCTATGGGCAAAGAATAAGCACAAAATTCATTAAAAATGAATTGCTAAAATGTAACACCCACACTTGCATTAAACCAAACATTTAGGACCGCAGTCATTGGTTACATGTATTTTAGAACGGTGTTGGCATTTGTTTATTAAACCCAAATAGCCACTCAAGCACTTAGTGTTTGGAATACATGACTGTCTTACTAACATCATAGTGTTCCTTTAAATACACAACAAATACCCAAGAGACTATCTAGGAGGGACAGCTCCACTTTAATATCTTTAAATGTCAGGCAACCTATAGCTGTAAAGTGGTTCTGAATTACAACCAGCTTAGTGTTCCTACAAACTAGAACAGGACTGACAGAATAACCATTACACTGTATTCTACAGACCGGGATATAGTGTGACTGACTGTCTGCCCTGGATTAGGGTCTCACAGAAGCGGCTCGCGGTTTAGGCGGCCGCCTGTAGGCAGACTGTGTCAGGCCCTCGGTCAGTGACCGAGGACCTGACACCAGGAGGGGACCCGGCGGCTTGCCAGGTATGCCGCCGGGTGCGAAGCCCCTCTTGGCTGCCCGGCCACCGCAGACACCGGTCTGCAGCTCCGCAGTGTGCAGAGCTGCAGACCATGTGTCTCGCGAGAACTGGCCAATCAGAGCGTTGCCGCGGGTTACCACGGCAACGCTCTGACATCTCTCGATTACGTGGTCTGCAGCTCTGCGGAGCTGCAGACCAGAAGCCATGGCCACCGGACCACCAGGTAGCCCACTGGACCACCAGGGAGGAAAAGGTAAACCCTCACCACCCCCCTTCAGCCCCCCCTCTCTCCTCCCCCCATCACCCCTCTCACTCTCCCCATCACCCCTCTCTCCTTTCCCCGTCACCCCTCTCTCCTTTCACGTGCCCCCTCTCTCCTTTCCCGTCCACCCCCCCCTCTCTTTCCCGTCACCCCCCCTCTATCGCGCAAATTACCCAGCTCTCTGCTCCCCGTCTTCCAGCTCTCTGCTTTCCGAAATTACTAAAACCTATCCTTTCCCGTCACCCCGCTCTCTCTTTCCCGTCACCCCGCTCTCTCCGCCACGTCACCCCAGCTCTCTCCTTTCCCGTCACCCCGCTCCTCTCCTTTCCCGTCACCCCGCTCTCTCCTTTCCCGTCACCCCGCTCTCTCCTTTCCCGTCCACCCCCCTCTCTCCTTTCCCGTCACCCCCCTCTCTCCTTTCCCGTCACCCCCCTCTCTCCTTTCCCGTCCCATCCCTCTCTCGCACCCCGTCCCATCCCCCCTCTCTCCTTTCCCGTCCATCCCCCTCTCTCCTTTCCCGTCCCCTTCCTCTCTTTCCCGTCCATCCCCCCTCTCTCACTTTCCCGTATCCCCCCTCTCTCCCGCTTTCCCATTCATCCCCCTCTCTCCTTTCCCGATACATCCCTCTCTCTCCTTTCCCGTCCCATCCCCCTCTCTCCTTTCCGTCCCATCCCCACCTCTGTCCTTTCCGTCCATCCCCCCTCTCTCCTTTCCCCGTCCATCCCCCCTCTCTCGCTTTCCCGTCCCATCCCCCTCTCACTTTCCGTCCATCCCCCCTCTCTCCTTTCCCGTCCCATCCCCCTCTCTCCTTTCACGCGATCCCATCCCCCCTCTCTCCTTTCCCGTCCATCCCCCTCTCTCCTTTCCCGTCCATCCCTGTCTCTTTCCCGTCCCATCCCCCCTCTCTCCTTTCCCGTCCATCCCACCTCTCTCCTTTCCCGTCCAAAATACCCCTCTCTCCTTTCCCGTCCATCCCCCCTCTCTCCTTTCCCGTCCCCATCATCCCCCCCCTCTCTCCTTTTCCCCATCCCCATCACCCCAGGGCAGTTTTTTCTTTTTTACTCCTTTAGGGAACATAGGTGTATATTTTTAATTATGCTATCATGTTGAACCTACTAAAGCGCTATACAAGTGTTTAAAGTGCCAAAACAGAACTACATCATTGCACTTTTGTTATTTTATATGTACACAGCACTTAACTTTCAGAGGATTATATGAAGGGGGCATATTGCTTGGCTAAATCAGGATTCGATAGAGCTGTGCATGTCTAATCAGTTTTCTATCCGTGGTTCATTTGTGACTGCGACCTTGCAGAGTTTTCGATAGTGAGGTGCCACTTCAACATGAACCTGTTGTGAGGTAACTTGGTCGCCAGTTTTTACATTAACTTTAATCCGGATCTTAAAGCCTGTCATCATATGGTGTGTGGGTGTCTTTTCTCATAGCTTTCTCTACATGTGCTTTATTTCTTGTCTCTATATACTTTAAGTATTGGATTGAACATTTTAGAGTGGAAGCTGGCAGGAATGTCTTCAAATATTGATAATTGAGCTCAGGCGTTAATGACTCTGCCCAGCACCTGACCATATAAGGAGATTGGGGGAAACTGCATTTCTATTGACTGGCAACTAATTAGGGAGTTATTCACTTTATGATTAACTCTGGACAGGCATGTTAAGCTCTTTTATTGTACTTTCTCGTGCATTGTGTTTGTTGCACTGCGTTCTCTTGTTGGTGCTGGGACAGCTCTTTAACTTTATGGGCAGTTTACTCCAGTGTACCTCAGAATGACACAATGTCATTACTGCAGTTTACCTCTAAAATTTTTCAGAGGTGATATGACTACAGCACAACTCAACAGTAACACGTTATATCACCATGGCTTACCTCTGCAGTATCATATGGTGACTTTTTTTTTATTTTTACTTTATCACTTCCCAGTAAGTCAATGTCCCATTACCATATGGTTCAATTTTTATCTATATCTCTCCCTTCTTAGTTAGCTGTGGCTGGCTGTCAGGGTCTTAGGTGTCCACTAGTTGTAATTCCCCCTGGCTTCTACGCCTTAGGTTAGTGGTCCCGCAAGGCCAACACCCATCCTAATACTCGGAGGTACGATGCCCCTCGTGCCAATTTAGTTAGTCGCCTCGCATTGTGGCATAGAGGGAATCACCTGTCACTCCCACTCTCTTATGTTTAACTGTCACCGAGAGGCCGACACCCCACCACTACGTTCGGTGGCCACGTTATCCCCTCGCGCCAATGCAGAGCCTCTCACGCTGCTTGGCATCTAGCAGGGCCTCACCTGTCACCAAACCTAGTTTTTAATTGTTTCGCCTTTTTGGCATTAATATGCCAGCACATCACACACACTGTCATGTATACACTGCTTATTCACTTCCTTTTCCTAGTGAGCCCCGTAGGCTTTACGCCAACATGAATTTGATTACCTTTTTTTTCCGGGCATACTCCATACGACTCTGGACTCTGCACTCCAGTTATGGTCGGCCCTACAGTACTTCCTTGTACACCCACACATTTCGATACACGTTCCTCGGGTATGTCCTTTCTCTCACTCCCCTTCCCTTCCCTTTTACTTCTTCATGGCTGGCTGTTAGGCTCCTAGGTTTCCACTAGCTGTAATTCGAAGGCCTTAGGTTAGTGGTCCCGCAAGGCCAACACTCATCCTTGTACTCGGAGGTACTACGCCCCTCGGGCCAAATCATAGTTAGTCGCTTCGCATTGTGGCATAGAGAGGGCCTCACCTGTCACTCCCACTCTCATATTTAACGGTCACTGAGAGGCCGACACACCGCCACAACGTTCAGTGGCCATGTTATCCCCTCGCGCCAACACATAGATGGAGCCTCTCACACTGCTTGGCATCTAGCAGGGCCTCACCTGTCACCAAACCTAGTTTTAATTGTTTTGCTTTTTTCGGGAATTCGCTAGTTTGCCAGCTCACTATGGGTCATTCATGCGTTATTTATTTTTTCTAGCATGTCTCTGCTACCAGGCAGTGGCGTAATACTTCTCTTACCCGGCTTACCCTGTACAGTTTCGGCTAACCCTACCTCCTCTTTCATATTCTGGTCTCTTCCTCACTTCGCTGTGGTTCTAAGGAGTCGAATTATTCCCTCCCAGCAGCCTTTCGGACATCTGAACTGTGTCACTATCTGCCTCCACGGATACCGCAGTTGCTGGAGGGGACCTGAGTCGTTCTTACTTCTCCGTTGTTCGCCCCCTGTTTGTTTGTTTTCACTTCTATCATCCATGGGGCGGTTCGATTAGCAGTTTGGGGTCAGCCACTCGGGCCAAGTCCCAGCCGGACTTTCTGCGCCTTCTCATACGTGCTCTCCTGTGGCCCTGCTGGGCATTCCACGTAGATCTGCCTCTCCCATAGCCGCTACCATTCCCTGTGTTTCCGTGTCTGACTGCGGACTTCCCCCCCTTAACTCCTGGTCGTCATCTTTCACGTCTGTCTTTTTTCTACTCACACTCACGGTACATGTGTTAGAACCTTTCTTCTCCTTTTTAGGCTCCTTTTCGTGTATATTGCTGCTGTCTGTTATGTTGTCTGTGATTGGGTTTTCGCTTCATTTGCCACCTCTTATTTGCATTATCCCATAATACTATCAACTATACCTATCTGGTTTTCACAACTTCACATGTTGTAAAAGTTTATCAATCATACGCTGCTTCATGTCCTCATACTAGATTACCTTGCACAAGGCGTTCATGTTTCCAGACAATATTCAATCTTAGAGATTTCCATCAGCATCCAATTATTTCAATCATTATCAGACCTATTAGATGCCTGTCCTTACGTACCAGGCACCAACCTAGTAGTTAAAGATGGTCAACACATTACATATACCCTTACTTCTCCTCGCATAATTAAGAGTGCTGGTTAAAGTTCCAGGCATCTATTTACTCTCTAACATCCAACTATTCTGGTCACCCCATCTAGGATAGAGTGGCATCCACAGCTTCAAACTAGTTCATATTGGCCCATATATTTAATCTCTAGGTCAACGGAGGTTCTAAGCATATTCCCTATACATACCATGTTCCGTACAAGATTTTCGACAGGCATTTTCCATATGGCTATGCAGTTAAGTTTTCTTATCAGTTGTTGATTTGTTCTTCGTTCTGGCATGTTTCTATTTTTGTCCTCTTTTTTTTATTACAGGCCTACCGCGATGTCTGTTCCGGCACACCTCAACCGACTTATCTCTCCCTATACTATGCTACTCTTCATACGCTTCCTTTACGGCCTTATTTGCCCCTCACACAAATGCAAAGGCTTGGCCTGCAGTTGTGGGAGGTGCATGTTACCCTACTTAAACCTCCCTACTCACCTTATTCCGTCACATGTGCTTTTAGCAATTCACATGTCCCCACCCTCCACTCCCTCTATCTATACTCATTACACTTCATGGGTGGGCCCTCTTTTATTACAGGCCTACCGTGACGTCGGTTCCGGCACACCACAACCGACTCTCTCCCTGTACTATGCTACTCTTTATACACTTCCTTTACGGCCTTATTTGCCCCTCACACAACTTTAGTATAGACCAGGAACTTTCAGCCATATACATGCACTTTGGGACAGTCTATGGTTCTCCCACTACTGTGTAGTTAGTGAAGCACTCAAGCACTGTGTGTATGTATTTGTCGAAATGATCCTGCCCTGTACTAAAGTAGGGATTCTTTTTTCAGATTTTTATTTTCCCTTCAAAACTTTGACAAGATTTCATTAAAATGTTTTGAGGAGACACTTGTTCTCAGTGCCTGTAATCCAGAAGTAAATATATTACTTGTAATCTATGTATGTCTATTACACGTCAGATGCCATTATTAAATTTAGATATGCTTAAATTAAGTGGTTCTTTTAATCAACTATTAAAGCTTATTTACTGATATTTAAAGCCATGATGGACTATAATCACAGTAACTTCAACTGACTTATGAAACTTTAATATTTGATTAAATCTCATACTTCTAAAACATTTGAAATAAATGCATTTATTTCCATGCAGTGGAATATACTAGTGACTGTGTGAATATATATTTAATTTTATTTTTCATTTTAGACAAATGGCTGGGAAAAGTTCAGAGATTGGAACTGGACATTGATTATGCCAACAAGGTTAGTTATTTTAAATAAAGTTGCACAGGGTGCAATACATTGATTTTTTGCTCAGTGTTGGCTTAATATTCCATCAGCACCTAAGCTGGGCACAGTAATTTTTTTCCATCCATAAAGTGGTTCACAGCGTCAGGATGAGTAATGAGTAACCTCCTTAATGAGTAAGTATGGACTACATCCCAGCAATGGCAATCTGCGTAGTGGTATATTCTGTTACTCCCCCACGTGACTGAGATTGTTATGGTCATATTAACATAACCTATACGAACACACTGACCCAGCACAAGTTCCTTGTTTGCTGCACACTCAATGATATGGGTTACAGCCTACCCAGTGGTTGTCTCAAGAATGTTGGAAACTTTAATTTATATTCTAGTTCTATACCTTTAAAAGGAATGGAAGCCACAAAAAACTTGTACATGGTGTGCAGTAAAGATGTGATTACCTCCTTATCTATTGGATCTTAACTATATCATTGCAACATCATAATATCCAGATGAAACAGATTTAAGAGACATATTTTTTTTTTTTACTCGACTCCACCTAAGAATATTATAAAAACGATTGTGCATGACATAGAAATTTAATGAGCATTGAACATTAGGCTGATAATGCAATGCATGCACCCCTTTTTTATTGTAGAATGGAAAATACCAAAAGTCAAATGTATGGTGTCTTTAATACAGGAGTATCTTGGAGATGAGTCATTCCAGGACATTACAGACCTGTCTGACAAGCTGTATAAACTCAAATGTAAGTGCATCCCATGAGACGGAGCTACAGGTAAAGGCTGCCAAGTGACTCTTGGAGATTAACACTTAGCCAGTTTGGCATCTGCTGAAGTGAGAAAAAATAAATAAAAATAATCCCCACAAAGTAGACCTGCAGCTTAATTGTATATAGATTGCATCAAATAAAGTATTGCCTTTCATTTTGCCCATATTTTTATTGTTGGATGAAGAGGAAAACCTACTTTGAAGAGGCAACCGGTTTAAATGATTTTGAATACATGCAGAGGAAAGTACGTTTACAGAACATGCTAGCTGCATGGCAATTACATTATCAATTAATCCCACAAACAATATTGGTGCTCCTTTTCCTCTAATTTAGCCAACGTCTATGCCCTGAACAACTATTAATAAGGGGTTCATGCATGGTTGGTTGCATAATCTGTGCTCTTTCACTACTAGAGCTAATAGATCAGATTTAGAGATTAACAACTGAACTCTTGCCTGTTGTGTAGATTGAGGACAAGGTGAGAGCAGGTGGCCTCTGTTAAATGTTTGCTACTGCCATACAGTTCTAATAACTTCTTGAGTTTGGTGAAAACATGGATACACATGCAGGTGAGATGCCAAATATAGCTCATCTTTGGCAATTTGCCTTTTTGATGTCATTCGTATTCTTGATCTTCAACTAACTTTAATGTATTCAGTCTACATGCAAACAAGAACAAAGATGCGCAGATACTTAATGGGAAGATTTAAAGTGTTGGTTCTAAAAAGTGGTTCTTTTAACCCCTTAAGGACACATGACATGATTCCCTTTTATTCCAGAAATTTGGTCCTTAAGGGGTTGAGTAATCAGTGTACTTTGTGCTTGCTGGTTCCCCGGTTCTCATGGTTATTGTCCAACTTTTAATACTATAGAGCATTTATTTTAGTACAATTTTGACTTTTGACCAATTCCTCCCAATATTTCCAGGAAACCATAATTTTCATGCATGGGTGTTAATGTAACGTGCTGCCTTTATAGTATGCCACATTCATATACTATAGGAAACAAATCCAGTCTGCTCTCCTCTTAATTTCAGTGTGCTGCATTTTAAAATTTAAGCAAAAGCTGTTCCCTGTCTGATTTTATTTTTCTTATTTTATTTTTTTTAGGTGCATTCCTGCAATATGATATTAATGGCAGTGGAGAAATTGGTATGTCTTGTATCCCTTTCCAATTTGCTTATGTAGTTAATGGTTCTCTTAAAATGGTATTTTGGTGTGTTGGCTAAGCTTTCATTAAAGGGATACTATAGTCACCACTACAGCTTAATATATTTGTTCTGGTGTATACATAAAAAAAGGCATGCAGTAAACATGGCAACTAGAGGTTCTTCCTGGTTCTGTGCTGCACTAGGTTTGTAAAGCTTGGCAGAATCACATTTGTTTACTGTCTTAGTGATTTTAAGTGTTTTTGATGTTCTAACTTGAATTAGGCCGTGGTCTAATAAGGCATTTAGGTATAAACAATACAACTTGCTATTTCAGCTCTTCTCAATGTCAGAAAACTATTTGGTTTTAAATAGCTGTGATAACACTTTCTTAAATGTGATTAGCAGTGTGTATTAGGATAATTTCTGGCATAAGGTCTGACATTCCTCAAATGCATTGATTCAAGGCATCTCGAAGGAGATGCTTATTGGCACAGCATTTTGCCGTGCATGCGCAGTGGCCTTCCAATTAGATTAGTTGAGATCGTCAAACTTGCTCTCAACCAAAGAGCCATATCAGGGGTGGGCAGTGGTGTATTTAGGATTTGGGCGGCCCTAGGCAGGACGGTGCTCGGGCACCCCCTCCCCAATTTAAATTAAAGACGCATACACACATTGACAGACACTCTCATATACAATGACATACATACACACTGACGCATGCACTCACTGACTAGCGCGCACGCAGTGGTGTATCCTGGTTTTGTGCTGCTCTAGGCAGGACAAAACTCAGGCGCCACCCCCACCCAACCATTCCCCCCGCCCCGCATTCTAAATACATAAGCGCTTTCACTGACAGAAATGCTCCCTCGCTCACACTTTTTTTTAAATGTAACCCCCCCAGCCTCCTTACCTTTAGGAATGCTGAGGGGGGGGCGTTCTCCCTCGGGCTGCTGGTTGGGCGGCGCTGGCGAGGGAGCACTTTCTCCTGAGCGCTCTGCTCAGCTCCCTCGTGCGCCGTAGAGTGACACCTGGAGCCAGAATATAAGGTCATATTCCGGCTCCCAGCATCACTGTGCAGTGCGTGAGGAAGCTGAGCAGACAGCTCAGGGGAAAGGGCTCTATCACCAGCAAAGACCGGCAGCCCGTCTAGCTTGTCATTTAGCCGCAAGGCTAACAAGACATTTGCCCTGGGCATCTGGGGGCGGCTTTTTTTTTTTTTTCTGGAAAATGCCGCCCAAGGCAAATGCCTTGTTTGCCTCTCAGCTAAAACGTCCCTGCGTGCAAACACTTACTGGTGGGCGCGCTGGTGCACACTTTGACAGCCCCCCTCCCCAAACATTAACCAATTACTTTTATTTATTTGGTTTAAATCTTGGGTCCTCAAACTCCGACCCCCCCAGATGTTGCTGAACTACAACTCCAATTATTCTTTGAATTACATAGATGGCCAGAAACGGGAATACATGATTTATGCCTCCTTTTTCCCCTCTATTCTTAAATTCTCACTTGATTTGTGAATAAATAGTTGTCCCCTAACAATCCTGATTTTTACAATTTGTTTCCAATCATCCTTTCGTTAAACTGAAGTATTGCTTGATAATTGTATTTAATAATCTGTATCATAGTATAAATGTAGAAATTTTCTTAATGCTACCTCTTACATATTCAATATGACTAATTTAATTATGGTGGAAACACCAAAAGCATTATTGTTCCAATTCTTTGAAAAGGAAACTGTCTAATACATTTATTTTTGGGGTTTTGCCTGCAGATTACATTACCTTCCATGTCATGGCACAAGGGCTTGGTATCTATGGATCTATATCAGAGTTGAAGAAACGGGTACAGGAGATAACTGGTAATAAAACATGTTTAATCACTTACAAAGACTGTGCAATGGCCATGTTGGGTCGTCGATCTACTATGTGCCAACGGTAAGCATTCACAGAACTCTTCTTTCTTTAGCCCCCCACTTTCATTTATTAATATTTATCTTTTCTTCAATTTTGCTGGATCCAGGTGATGCTCCCTTTTCTCTTCTGTCCCTGATTATCATTCTGGGTTTCTTTTGACAAAATTAATTTAGAAACTGAAATGGAATTTTGTCTAAGGCTTTCTGCCTATTACCAGAGGTCACACTCCATCTAAGAAAATGCAGGCCCTGAAAAGTGAATTTAAAGTGTGTGTGTGTGTGTGTGTGTGTGTGTGTGTGTGTGTGTGTGTGTGTTTGTTCAGATGGGGCAAATTAAAGGTGGAAGACTTCAATGATGTTTACTGTTCATGTGAAAAGGCGTAAGGAACCCACATGGCATTTATTACAATTCTAATTGCCTCCCTGGATTGACTGGTTCAGGGAGAGGACATGCAAAACCGCATTTATTTTGATTGTCATGCAGTATAAATGAGACTTTAATTCTAATTTTGAATCCATGTCTTTCATTCACCAGGATACTGACTTACAGTGAAAAAGGAGGAGAGTCTGTGAGAAGACCATGTTTATTGGACAGTAAAGCTCCCAGCTATGTCAGTTACCTGGAATTTGCTGTACATCCTTCTCGTAACATGCCATTATCTCCTGTTCAATACTTTCCTCCACCTCCTCCACCATCTCCTGCTGACATGGAGGTAGTGTCAGTCACCAGGACCTTTTCTACAGCTCACCATGCTTTTGGAAAACTGAAGCGTGGTCTTGAGTAGCAATTTAGATGTCTTGTCTTCACTTAAGAGGTTTTTTTTTTGTTTTTTGTTTTTTAATTCCTTCCTATTTAAATATAAAATAAATTTTGTAACCTTTGATTCAACATGTGTCTAAGCTGTCAAATAATGAAAGTTGTCTACTACAAGAGGGGCAGACTGGCAGTGAGGTTGTAGTGATCAGGACAGTACTTCACGAAAGACTGATGAAAGGACACAGCTCAGACACAGGATCTCAAAAGGTTAGAATAGACATGAAGTGGACAGGGAAATATCAAATATAAATTTGTTTTGCATAAATAATGCTGAATTCATGGATTCACTCCACCTGCTTTTTGCAAGCAAATCTAAAGAAATCCAAAGGCAGTTGATGAGAATCATTGGTTAAACCTTTTCTTCCATGGCATTGGCCAAGGACAAGTTGCTGTAATAATGGCATAAGAATTTAGACTGATTGGTCTTGAAATTCTGCCTACACAAATTGTGCACATTTAGACCAAATTTCCGTACAGATAGTGTATTTACATTACTTGTTTCTGGATTTAATGTTTGGTTCAGCTGAAACTTGCTCTAAGTAAATCGGTATTGGAAAATCTAGACAATGAAACATTGAAAGTCTGAATTTTTCAGCGAAATGTCCCAGACTTGCCAATATAGTGCAGGGCAACCACACATTGGTGAATTCTGTTGTTGGAGGTGCACTTAAGTTTTTGGCCTGTACGTTTACTCCCGTTTTTGCTTTTTTTTAATCATAAAACAAACTCTGCCTTTAGTTGGCTATTTTTAGTAGAAAAAGATCAGCTGAAGTAGGAATCTAGTTAATCGCAGTTAACTCAGTTTGAGCTGCATAACATGCTAATTTATTACTTTTATACATTATTCACTTAAAGAACCACTATAATGCCAGGAGTACTCTTTTTCCTGGCACTACAGTGCCCTGAGGGTGCCCCCACCCCAGCTGGGCTGAAGGGGAGGAAGGGGTTAAACACTTACCTTTCTCCAGCCGCTGAGAACTGTCCTCCTCCTTCCGACTTAATCAGCTGCATACGCGGCAAGAGCCTATGGATGCTGGCATCTTCTCACTGTGAAAATCAGTGAGAAGCACGGAAGCGCCTCTAGCGGCTGTCAATGAGACCGCCACTAAAGGCTGGATTAACCAATTTGTAAACATAGTTTACAGCAGGCAGGGTTAATCCTAGATGGACCTGGCACCCAGACCATTTCATTAAGCTGAAGTGGTCTGGGTGCCTATAGTGGTCCTTTAACTGAAACCAGGTCATCCAGTTTGTATTATTTGTAGACCTCACAATCCATAGAATATACTTCAGAGCTTATTCTGCACTTTCACAGACTTACAAAAGCAATATTTACATTGAATATGGTCTTTCAATTTTGTGCTTGGATACAAGTATTACTAACTAGCAAATACAATTTTTTTTAAAAATTGTACATTTCTTTCAAGAGTATGTATCACTTTTCTTCTATTTACACGGCAAGTGTCATTATGTTCAAATGAAGGGAAAATATGAAAATGCACACCTCTTTATATTTTTTTTATTGATCTATCCATTCATATGCAACAATGAAGCTCTCAATATAGTTTGCAATCCTTGAATGTTTACATATAAATATAATGCAGATTAGCAACATTTGCAGTTTACTACAGATTGTAATAAAGTGAACAGTATTTACTACTTCATCTTTGGGTGGGGGTGGAGAAATAGTCAACTTCTGACTTAAATAGTTCATTTGCATGCATTAACTCAAAGCCAGAATAACCCATGCAAGATACCCATATTTATAAATCCTATGTTGAAAGGAATATCAGATGAACAATTAAAAATGGGAAACCTATGCATTAGTAGGGCGAAGAATATTCGGTAGGACCATTGGAAGTGTTTTTCATATTTGCTAAGTGGTTACGATCAGACAATGTTTCTGCTCTAGCAAACCTATTCCAGTGTCCCACCTATTATCCACCTTCAAAAAGAGTTCATAAATTGAGACTTGTCCGGAATTTGACGTTTAAAACTGCACTGTTGATAGAGCTTACTTTCTATAAGTTGGCATTAAATGGGTCCTATCGTGATCTTACAAAGTGTTCTAAAATGCGATTTTCCTTTTCACAAGTTTTCACGTGTTTATCTTCTTGCGAATTATTACTCAACCATATTCCTTTTTTATAAAAAACTCAAGTATCAAACTTGCAGTTTTAACATGTGCTGAAATGACTGCAACTGTAGCACTAACCACTGATCTAGCTCAATAGAAACTAATTTTTCTCCAACTTTATAATTTTTATACAAGCCTTATATTAAGGAGCTTTAAACTCCCCAACCTTCATTTATACATTTGCTTGTAATTGTGTGTAGCAGTTTTTGTTCCTAATTATCATGCCATTCTGTAACATTGCTATATGGCTTTTAAGATTTGGCTGATTAAAGATCAAATGTCATTGATCTTTAAGCGATTAAAGCAGAGACAAAAGATGCAATGCAACCCATCTCAGAAGTGAATCACAGTGCAGTTATCAAATCCAAGCATCTTATTTGGTAGCCAGCATGTGTGGTTACTGATCAAAATACTTTAATTACAGTCTGCGATAGTTCACATCCAGTCATCAGCTATCAAAGAGCTGCAATAATGGGCCATTTAATCCAGTGAAAGCTATAATTAACCGTCACTTTTTTATAATTAAGATCTTAAAGGGACACTCCACTATAAAATAAAAATAACTAATGGATATACCCCAAATAGAAATCTTATATGCATTTAATTAGGTATATATATATTTTTTTTCCATTGGGATACAGCTTGCAAAACCTTCAGTTCTCTTGTTTGCTCCCCTTGTAACCCAACCCACACTTTATGTGGCTGTCCAATCAGACTTCCCAATACAGCTTAATGAGAAGTCTTTGCAAGGCAGGTGCACTGAGCATAACTGCCTCTTGACTTTAGGAAGTAACGGAACTAGTTGTCTGAAAGTCAAGGGGGTGGAACAAGGTTGACTTCTAAAAGTGTTAAAATTTCTACTGAAATCTGCACTTTTTGCAAATTGGGGGGGAAAAAAGGACCCACTTCTCATGTAAAACTTTTCAGCGAGTTAAAGTACTTTAAGGGTCTGTAGTATCCCTTTAACTACACATTAATAGTGCTATACATAACTGCAGGTTATTTCTTTAGATTTCTATACAATCAATATTGAAAGTTTGCCTATCTCACACACACTTGCATTTAAAAACTTTTATTGGCCTAGTTGTACTAAAAATATGCAATTTTACAAGGCCTCTACCACAAAAAAGGCAATGATATCTTTATACTAGATATTAAATATGCCATATGCAAGTTTTCCTTAAAGATTTAGCAGCTCTGAATGTAACAAAGTTGTACAAAGCATTTGTTTCTTTTTCGCTCCAACGCCATTAGATGGTACTTTACTGCCTGAGAGGGAGATATCCAATGACCAAAGCACAGAGAATAATAAGGGAACAATGTACAGAGGTTGCTTTTCACTTTGTTCTTGACTTTATAAGTGGCGCAGCATTACCCTTTTTCTTAAAGCACTCCATGCTAACGAGCTGTCATCCCACCCTACCCTTTTACATAATATATCTATGGATGTTCACATCTTGGACAACCTAACATCGTAGGCCACCATGTTGAAGTTATCCCAACCATAAATTTTCTTCTCATTCGGGTTGTAATCAATCATACTAGCATAACCATACTGATTCTGGAAGGGGACACTTATCTGGCGCTGAACACCTGTGTGAGTATCAAAAGCAAAGTTGACTGTGGTACTTGACGAGGAATAACTCCCAACAGTGTACAGCGTGCCACAGATCATAAATGCATTGGCCACTGACTGTTTGCGTATGGGGGTCTCCCAGCTCTGCTTAACATCAAGAGTTGTAGGGTCCAGTTGGGATATGACTATAGACCCTTTCATATTCTCTGTGCTATAAATCACCCACAAACCCATCTCATCAACAGCAAGGTCAATGTCTGTATAGCCACCCCAAGAGTAAGGGAATTTCCCATGGTAACCAGCGTTGGGAAGCTCCTTTTGAACTGCAACCGATTCTGTTTTGAAGTCATACTTAACTAGGTTTCTTGATTTGCGACGTTGATAGTACAGAGAGCCTCTATAAACAACAGCCCCATTGCTCTCCATGGACCGAGGCAGGACATAAACTTTTGATGGATATCCTTTGGCTAACTGATCCGTATTTTCATATTCCATAACTTGACGTATATCTGCTCCTACAGTATTGATCCTCCAGATGGTGTCTCGGGTAAATGGGGAGGCCGGCTCAGGGTCCTTCATCCACACCCCATATTTTCCAGCAATGCTATCAGCCTTTCGGAATGTACTGGGTACTCCAACCCATGTGAGCTCACCACAACTTCCTGTAAACAAAAAAATATTCTGTTTGGCGATCATATTATGTTTGCTGTATATTTTGTTGTGAAAAGTAACTAAATTGTAGTAGCACTATATCTACTGGTGACATTGTTAAATAAATAATGTATTACGTAAAGGTATAGTAACTTAAAAAAAAAAAAAATACATGTGGCATTGTGTTAACTTTCTAGCTCCAATCCAGTATTGTTCAATTTGGTTGTGGCCTTTCCATTAGATGGGTACTCTAAGTGCCATAACTATTAAAGCTCATTGGAGTCATTATGGTGTTCAATTTATATTGCTCTGGCAAAAACAGGGCTCTGTTGTGGCTAACTTACAATGAACATGTAACTTGCATTAGTCTGTCCAACTATATGACAGCAGGTCTAGGTGCTTAAAGTGCCTTTAAAATTAATGGTTCTCTGAACTTCTCACAATACTCTTGACTTGGTGCAAACATTATTCATAAATGCCTTTGATAAACTTGAGGGTTGGGGGACTTGCGGACTCCTAAATTCTGCTCATAAGTTATACATCCTTCTTCCTACCATGATGTGGAGAACTCACAAAAATGTTAATATTTTTTTCTGGCCACTTGTTTATAAAGAATGTAGAAAATATAAAGAATACATTATTTATAGAGCATATTGTGCATGAGAAATGTTCATATTTACCTTCCATCCTTTTTTTTTTAAATTTTGGTTCAATCAAGACATTAGGAAAATAAAATAAAAGCATTCACCATGACAGGCAATACAGTGTAGTAATCATACATATAATATGCATTTCAAATGAGGGATTTCATTTTTCTTTTTTCTTTTTTAAAGAAAGATAGAATAATGGCAATCCAAACAGGATACATCTCTGTTTTAATGGCCATTTAAGCGAAATCTACATATTTTACATGTTAGCATAACATTGTTACTTCAGGAACTATTAGGTATGGGATGTACCTGGAGGTGTAAATGATTACGCCTGGCTGTGTCAAGACTGAGAGTGACAATTCCTCTAAACCCTAAGCAGGCAGGGGGTGGGGGTGGGGGGGGGAGGTTTATTAGTTTGTCCAGAGACCAATCAATCTGTGGGGTAGAGAGAGCTAAGCTTAGCTTTACCTACCGTAAATGGAATAAATGGTGAAACATAAAGAAAAATAAAACCTTACTAACAAAAGAAGACCACTGCTAAAAACCGTTGGATGTTTACTTGGTAACTGTGTCATGCAGGTCTTGCCCGGGTTGTCTCGGGATGAAGGTGGCCACTTTATCCGGATATGCGGGGATGCGGTCGGGCTGTTCTTCAAGTCTCAGTAAGATTTAGGGAGCCCTGAAAGAGTCCCAGCTTAGTCAGCAATGTTGAGGCCCCTCGCAAATGTTGTACCAGATGTTTGTCCTCAACAAGGCCATTGTACCTCGGGAGAGGTCTACATAAAAGGTGAGTGACATGGCTTCAAATTGGTAAGGTGAGCGTTCCCAAACCACTGCCAATACTTGTCCTTATTTTGCTGGAAACGAATAATTAGGTCACGAGGTGCTGTGGCTGGGGCTTTGGGCCTTGGAAGTAACCATCCAGTCCCACCGTCTTGGCCTGCCGAGGAGACAGCAGCTCTGCCAGGAGATGTCGTAGGAGATGCGGTATTTCGGCCACCGGAGTATCTTCCGGAATGCCCCGAAGCTTTGTTATTTTTTGCACTGTGCTTCCTCCAGTGCAGTAAAGCAGCGATCATGTGCTTCATTTTGGCATTGAAGCCTCTGGACCACCTGTTGCATTGTAACAAGGTGGCTTACGCAATCCCTGGAGGTAGTTTCAAAGCCCCCAGTCACCCTGTCAGACCCAGTATGTCAGAGCGAAGTACAGCTACATCAAACTGGATAGTTCTTTCTAGGTCTGTCAGTAATGTTTTCAGGACTGTGGTTGTTATCGGTGAGTTTTCTGGACTTGGGAGAGCCGATGCCAGATTAGGCATGATGGATAAGGAAACAGCCTCCTCCTCAATAGACAACTTATCTGAGAATTTAGAGTATGTCTCTGGATAGGTGACCATCTTAGGCCCTGCTGCCCTGTGTGCTTGCTGCAGGAGGTGTCCGATGCTTAGTCCCTGCCACAGCTTTTCTGCTTTTTGTTTTTTGGTCTTGTGATCCATTCTGCTTCACTTGTCACCAGTGGGGTACCTCAGGGATCTGTACTTAAACCCATTCTCTTTAATATTTTTATTAGTTATATTGCAGAAGGTCTTGATGGTAAGGTATGTCTTTTTGCTGATGATACTAAGATATGTAACAGGGTTGATGTTCCAGGAGGGATAAGCCAAATGACAAATGATTTAGGTAAACTAGAAAAATGGTCAGAATTGTGGCAACTGACATTTAATGTGGATAAGTGCAAGATAATGCATCTTGGACGTAAAAACCCAAGGGCAGAGTACAGAATATTTGATAGAGTCCTAACCTCAACATATGAGGAAAGGGATTTAGGGGTGATTATTTCTGATGACTTAAAAGTAGGCAGACAATGTAATAGAGCAGCAGGAAATGCTAGCAGAATGCTTGGTTGTATAGGGAGAGGTATTAGCAGTAGAAAGAGGGAAGTGCTCATGCCATTGTACAGAACACTGGTGAGACCTCACTTGGAGTATTGTACACAGTACTGGAGACCGTATCTTCAGAAGGATATTGATACCTTAGAGAGGGTTCAGAGAAGGGCTACTAAACTGGTTCATGGATTGCGGGATAAAACTTACCAGGAAAGGTTAAAGGATCTTAACATGTATAGCTTGGAGGAAAGACGAGACAGGGGGGATATGATAGAAACATTTAAATATATAAAGGGAATCAACACAGTAAAGGAGGAGACTATATTTAAAAGAAGAAAAACTACCACAACAAGAGGACATAGTCTTAAATTAGAGGGACAAAGGTTTAAAAATAATATCAGGAAGTATTACTTTACTGAGAGGGTAGTGGATGCATGGAATAGCCTTCCAGCTGAAGTGGTAGAGGTTAACACAGTAAAGGAGTTTAAGCATGCGTGGGATAGGCATAAGGCTATCCTAACTATAAGATAAGACTAGGGACTAATGAAAGTATTTCGAAAATTGGGCAGACTAGATGGGCCGAATGGTTCTTATCTGCCGTCACATTCTATTTTTCTATGTCTATGTTTCTATGTCTCCAGCCAAGTTCCCACAGTCACTCAGATCCATCTTGGAGCCCAAAATAGGTAAGTAATAATTTATAGAATGCAGGTGCTCCCTCTCCATGTGACCAGTCTGCCACAATGCATCTTAACAATCACAATAGATAAATAAAACAAATACTGCGCCAGTCAACTAAATACAAATAGCAGGATCAATCTAGAAAACAAACATATAAAAACATAGTGCAAACTGTAGGTACATATAATAAACCCCTATATAGGATGGAACTCACAGGATACAGAGCCGTCCCAGGCTCTATATGATGTGCAGGAGGGACATATAGAGCCTGGGACGGCTCTGTATCCTGTGAGTTCCATCCTAGATAGGGGTTTATTATATGTACCTACAGTTTGCTATTTGTATTTCATTGACTTTTATTTATTTATCTATTGTCTATTTTTAAGTGTTGTGGGATACTACACCAGTCCTTTTGTAATCTGCAATTTGGTAGCGCCTACACACCCTTAAACCATTGCATCTTAGTAATCACAGCTGCATTAAAAAATAAAAAAAAACATGGAAATTACTGTACGCCAATATTACAGTTTTAAAGAGGTACTCTATGTACTGTGACCACTTCAATGTTTTATAGTAGTCATCGTGGTACATGTACTCTGTATAGCATTGTTTCAGTTTGAAATACTGCATACACAGATATTTCATATTGCCGCTGAAGGTGTAAATCTACCTCAAGCAGCTCTTATTAGCTAGCCAAGAATAAAAGCTCTGGGCTGACTAATTGGCTGAGAGTGCACAAGGGACGGTCTCAGCCAATGAATGTCAGAATTAATTAGCCTGCAGGAGGCATCTGATTTGCTACTGGGGGGAAACTGGGCAAGAGGCAAAATAGTTTGCCCCTTTGATGGCACCAGGGTACCCTTGGCATCATAACCAGGCTGTAATGGCTATAATGTTTGGAGTAACCCTTTAAGGGTTTCTGAATGTTAAACACTTGAGAATTAAGAATGCAATTTCCATGAAGATTTTTTATGCAACTGCTTCTAGAGACGTAGATTACCAAAACGTATCTTCAAGACTAAAGTTTAATGAACACAAATCATGATCACATTCACACTTGTAATGTTTGATGTCATAGATAATCCTACGTAAACTACACTTTAAGAGTATGATGTATGTACATATTCTCACCCTTCAGTCAGATGAGGTGTTAATTATTATTTTAGTTGTCCTGTGGAGTTCAGTAATGGAACATTCACTGTAACTAGTTTTTGGGTGTGGTGCTAGCAGAAGCTTTTCTAAGCCATGTTGGCAGTCATCGATGAAAAGTCTTACCCCCAATGCCTTTGTTTTCTGAACTTTCGAGAACCGAGTGGCTTTCCGGATTCATCCTAGAAGCTGGTAGTGCCGTCAGCTCGGACTTCAGCTCCTGGTACCCGACACCATCTGCTCCCCAACGAGACACTGATAGTACAATAAAGGAAATAAGTAACAATAAATATGTTGTGCCATTATTTGAAATATGTCAGATAAATAAATTAACTAACGAATCTGCTCCTTTTAAGTCAAAATATCCATTTTACATTTCCCACATTTCATTGATCATTGATCAGCAACAGACCTCCATATTGTAATTTATAATATAGTTCAAAATGGTGAAATAAAATGTTTGGTAAAAAAAAAAAAATTGTTGCAATATGAATGAGAATGCACATCACAAATTAACATCTACTTGTTTGGTGCAATCAGTTCTTCACAGTCCATACTGTAGGAAAAAAAATATTTGAATGTACTATAATACAAAGATACGCTCACACAAAGATGTGTTAAAGTGAGATTTGGGTGAGTTTCCTTGTCTTTTGCCACTTCCTCTTGAAATGTTTGAACTATGAGGGAAATTTATTTTATTTATTTGGACAACGCTGATATTTTTCCATGATGTTCAGATGGATTCTTGGATTTGTGGAGCATGAAGTTTACTGTTAAATCTCATATTTCCCATTTTCCTGTCTCTAACCTTAAACATATAGCAAATTAAAAAATATTCCTTTTAAAAATGACTAAAATATTTAGCTTAATTTTACTATGAAATTTAAAGCACACCGAGGGAATTAATATTTTATTTATTTATAAAATATTTTACCAGGAAAGATACATTGAGATTTCTCTCGTTTAAAGTGGGTACTTTAATTATTACTTGCAGGCCATAAATACCACAGTGACACCAAATCTTGGGAACCCCTTAGCTATGTCCTGTGTCTTGTTACAAGGCCATGACACATAATGGATACGTTGACACTTATCTAAGACATGGAACACATCATGAGTTTAGAGACATAACCCCTCTGGGTCACTCTAAAGTATTAAAGCATTTACTCCAACCTTCCCCCACCTTTTACATACACCTGCCACGCTCCTTTGACCAAGTAAGCAAGCTACGTTTAAATTGCCAGTATAAAAAAATAAAATTAAATATATTGTATTTAATATTTTATAAATATAAAATGTGTGTGTTCATAATTTGACGCAAGTCTACTATAGTCGCTTTTTTAAAGATAAGGAATTATTCCACATAATTTTATTAGCACTACAAGAAAACGCAATCAAATAATTCTCATAAGAAGTAAATATTTGCCAGGTTTTTTTTTTTTGGTTTTTTTTAATTGCATATATAAAAGTTCTTTCCACAGCCAGCACTTAAAGAGACACTATAGTCACCAAAACAACTTTAGATTAATGAAGCAGTTTTGGTATATAGATAATGCTAATGTTTCACTGCCATTTAGGAGTTAAATAACTTTTGTTTCTGTTTATGCATCCCTAGCTACATCTCCCCTGTCTGTGACTAATGCAGGCTGCATGTAAAAAATGTTTTATTTTCAATCAGTTGTTAACTTACTTTATCTCCTGATCTGTACATTGAACTTTAATTACACACAGGAGGCTCCTGCAGGGTCTAGCAAGCTATTAGCAGAGGAGGAGATAAGACATTCTAAATTAAAAGAATTAGCAATAAAGGAATTGTAAACATTAGATGACTCGCTACTGGAAGTGTTTAGGAAGGCTTTGTAAGTCACATGCAGGAAGATGTACTTTGGGCTGCATACAAAGTGATCAACTCCTAAATGGCAGATAATTGAGCAATGACATGAGCTATACACAAAAACTGCTTCATTAATCTAAAGTAGTTTTGGTTACCATCGTGTCCCTTTAAGTGTTGCCAAATGTGACACATTTTTGAGCGAGTCTTTCACCTTTTACCACTAAGAGTGGTGGCATTTTGTGACGTCACCTTTTGTGCCCAAGGCCAGCCGTATATTTGGTATATAATTTATAAAGGATCAACCTTTAGGATTGTACTCTGATAATCAGCATATTAACATCAAAATTATTTTAATGGTTTCATTTAAGCAGAATGTATGTCTCTCAACATAAATTAAATGTAAGTTGTTTTATTTCAGTACAAAAATAAACATGAGGTAACAAATATTTTAAAAAGCACAAAATGCATTTTTAAATAAAAATAAATACTTTGTTTTTAAAAATTGTTAGAGTATTTCTTTGGAAAACTTAATTGATAATTTGCTAAGAACATTTAATCCAACACAGAAGACAGGAAAGAACATTTTTCTTGATTTTGTCTCGTCACAGTTAGATCATCTTATGAAGTTTTTAAATAGGTTAATATGAACCTTGTGAGCCAAAGAACATCATAATGCATAAATGATTATTAAATAAATACACAGCTCATTAAACATGACATGCATTGACATGGATGGAGGCAAATTCAACAGTGGGGGCTGAAGTGGCCCTCCAAATTATGCACATTATGGTACCTCTCTAAGCAGTTACATCACTGACTGTAGTAATCTGATAATTTTCAGTCTTAATAGAATTATCCAAAATTTTTAGGAGTTGAACAGTACACTGTCCAGAAGTACTTAGTTGGGCAACGGTAACCCACTGGGTGTGACTGTCTGCCTGTAACTGTGTGTGTTACTATCTGCCTGTAACTTTTTCTGTCACTGTCTGCCTGTGATTGTGTGAGGCTGCCTGTAACTGTGTGTGTGACGGTCTTTCTGTAGCTGTGTGTGTGTGATTGTGTGCATGTGGCTGAATTTGACAGCACATGTGTATAACTACGTTCATCTGACTGTGGGACTGTGTGCATGTGACACTGCAAAAATACACACCTGCATTCACACATTGGCCTACATGTTTTTGTTTTCTTTAAATCTGAATTAAATACCCACCACAATACGATACACAATACACAATACGCACACATATATCACACACAGTAAATACACCTAGAACAAATATCACAGAGGCACACACCAGGTTCCTAGCTTGACCTTCAGCAATCAGCATGCTACCCTCCGTCCCTTCAAGGTAACAACAGGGAATTCATTTTTAATTTTTTTGAATTTAAAGGAACACTATAGTCACCTAAATTACTTTAGCTAAATAAACCAGTTTTAGTGTATAGATCATCCCCCTGCAATTTCACTGCTCAATTTACTGTCATTTAGGAGTTAAATCACTTTGTTTCTGTTTATGCAGCCCTAGCCACACCTCCCCTGGCTATGACTGAGAGTCTGCATGAAAAAAAAACAAAAAAACACTGGTTTCACTTTCAAACAGATGTAATTTACCTTAAATGATTGTATCTCAATCTCTAAATTAAACTTTAATCTCATACAGGAGGCTCTTGCAGGGTCTAGCAAGCTATTAACATAGCAGGGGATAAGAAAATCTTAATTAAACAGAAAGCCTAAATAGGCAATAAAGAAAGCCTAAATAGGGCTCTCTTTACAGGAAGTGTTTATGGAAGGCTGTGCAAGTCACATGCAGGGAGGTGTGACTAGGGTTCATAAACAAAGGGATTTAACTCCTAAATGGCAGAGGATTGAGCAGTGAGGCTGCAGGGGCATGTTCTATACACCAAAACTGCTTCATTAAGCTAAAGTTGTTCAGGTGACTATAATGTCCCTTTAAATTAGTCATTTAATAAAGCCCCTATACAAACACTACAACCCTACATAAACACACTATACATGGATGAGCGGGTGTGACCTGCGAGTGGCGCTGTGAAGATTCTCCGCACAGGGCACCTAAAGACCTAAGGCCCTGCACACACACAAACAGTTACACAGTACATAGTAATAGGCAGATAGTCATAAACATACACTTACAGAGACAGTTACACACAGTTACCTCCGTCCATTTTGTGCATTAGAGTTGGAGCAGAAGCACTGCAGTCCCTGGTGTCTAATGGTTGGGGAAGCAATAACTGGGGTAACTGGGCAGCAGGTTCTTGCTGAATTTAGCTTTGCCACCATTGCTCAATAAACTCAGCCTTGACTTCTAGCTCCACCCAGTGTATATTTAGCTCCACCCCCTAATCGCAGCAGGTTTTTGAAACTCTGCACTGCTGTCTTCCAGCCTCTGTGTTTGTGAGCTATGTCGGCCGCCCAGCACCCCCGCTGCCATTGCGCCTTGTGCCATTGCGCCCTCTAAGCCTTGCCCTGACTGAGAAATTATGTTGTATATTAACAATTAGGGTTTTTTCAAGCAGTCTAAGAGTTGTATAAATGCATTGAAGGCCACTGGACAGGCAACATTGATATGAATAAGCTATGATGTTATACATTAGAAGTTGAATAACCAGGCATGCCACACTAACACATATACAGTAAGTAACTGATCTCCTAAAAAGATACCATTTAGCAACTAATCTATTGGCCTTTATTGTAGGGCAAGTTTACACCTAGCAATATGGATGTACAATGTATATAAGGCAGCTTGTAATTATTATTATTTAGCAGTTAAAGCCATGGATACTTGAAGTAAACACCACATAATGTGGAAAAAAGGGTAATAAAATTACAGGTGCTATAAAGTTCTTAACACATTCACAGAAAACAACAGCGCAAGTATTTTTAAAGTGTAACAACCATATGTGTTTACAATCCAAAATCATCACAACAGATTTTACATACTGTGCTGATATTAGATGCTATGTATGTAAAGACAACACATTTAGGGGTTTAACTACACTCTTTGAGTTTCAGCATTTGATATAGGGTACATCTCAGGGAGTCCTGGGCTCAATTTGAGTGCACTCTGATAATTGTTAGGTAATAATGCTCAACAATTTTTTACTTCTTAAACGGATTTTAGTCCGTTGACTTCAAGTGGTCTTTGCTCAGGAGCTCAACTCAATGGAAACATCTGACTAGGTGGAACATTCGTAGACTTGAGTTACGTGGGACAGCTGCCGTTTAACATTGAACACAACTGCAGTAACGCCTAGTCCCAGTGTTGGCAGATTTACAGAGAAGGTGAATGTAGCGGAGCTGCAATGTTAAATCCCAATATCTTCGCTGGTACAGAAAGTGATCCAAGTAAAGTGCTGGAAATGAAGGCAATGTCCCAAATCCCCCAGTAACCGGACGAAACACAGTTCTGGGAGTCTGACGATTTTATTCACAGCTCCAGTATTTATTTGATTCCCTATGCAAGGGGTTTCCTTAGTCACTTTACAGGGGTTATACAGTAGAGGACTACATGGGGAACTGAATATACAGGACATCTCTCCCACCATGCACTGCTGTAAAAGAGGGATACTCCCACTAGAATACCCTGTTAAGTGGTTTATCCCTCCGTACAGTAGAACTGACTTTACACAAAAATGCATAACTTTAATATTATACATATGATTATACCGAATGACCGTTCGGTAGATAGCTGGGGTCTGAGCGCACACTTTGTGAAAGTACCGCTCAGATGCCAGCATAAATAACCGAACGCCGCACGAAACAAGTTATATTACATTCCCCTTAAAAGTACCGAATACATATGGGGGAACAAAGTACCGAAGGCCGGTGCTCCTGAACGGCCTGGAAGTCCAGCGGTGTTCGCACCGTCGAGTGGCCGATTTTAGTTCCAGGCGCTCAACGACCAAACACCACTGGGATAACAAAGGATCCAAGATGGCCGGCCGCCATATGGTCGGTAGCCAAACGACGGCCACCCAGGAAAGCAATTATCCGCCGATTGCTACAATGTTGCAATCGGTTAATGGGAGCCACACGACCCTGTGTGTGTGGGCTACCATTCGGTACTTTATTCGTTTCACGAATAGTGTATAAAGTCACTGTTCGTGAAACTACCATATGAATGCTAGCAGCTTTCGGCTGTAAGCATACGACTGCTCTCTCTTACAGAAATACACAAATACATCCATACACAGAATTAACACAGCTTTTTACAGACAACCTTCAGATGTTAAGCAGTATGACCTAAAGTGGCTAGGTTTGCCAAAGTGAACATTATCTCTTCTCATCTCCAATAGTTAAAGGGATACTATAGTGCCAGGAATACAAAACTGTGTAGCGTCAGACACCGGACCAAAGGTCCGTTCTAATCCAGGAAGCCCTCCAAGTGGCTGTCTGGTAGAATCCACTGTGGGCAGACTTAGTGCTACTATGTAAACATTGCAGTTTCTTTGGTACTGTAATGTTTTACCCTGCAGCACTAAATGCATTAGAGACACTGTACCCACCCAATGATGTGACTTCAGAGTGTTTAAGTTGGAAAGGTAGATGGCTATCTGTAGCTAAGTTCTAAGGACCACAGAATGGCCAATGTATTTATTAATTTTGGAGGGGGCAAGGGATAAGCTATTTCTAAACTCACTTTGGGCTGATGTCTTACAAGCTATATGGTATATTTATATAAAAAAAAAAAAACACAACAAGAAAAAAAAAAAAAATAGGACCTAGATCAATAAATTAAGTCAGTTTATTAGATAATTCTAAACTGGTTGGAGATTTATGCTTCACAATTTTCTGTTGGTATTTAATGTGTGAAATGACATAAATGGTATACTTTTATACTGTTTGTATAATTACACATAGGAAACTTCCAATCTTATAGAAACCATCTATAAATCAAATGTTTTATGATTTCCTGCCCGTTTTAATTTCATGAAACAGCTACTAATAATGTCAAAGTATTTTAACCACTAAAGGTATATTTAGCTGTCTTTAGTTTTCAAGTGTTTCATAGGGTCTAGACATTATTAATAACCAACTTGGGCTTTGATTTAATATTGTTGGATACATTTAAATTATTTAATATTGTTGGATACATTTTTTAAATTATTTAATATTCTGAAAATACTCAAATTTTGTTGAGTAAAATCATTTTAACCCCTTAAGAACTGGGCCAAATGTACACGTTTTGATCAAAATAAAACGTAAACAAAACCTGGCATTTGCGCTATATGCTGTTCAACCGTAATTTACCTCTTTCATATTAAGTGCACCCACACTTATTATATATCATTTTATTCAGAAAAAAACAGGGCTTTTATATAACAAATATTTAGCTATGAAACATAATTTAATATGAATAAAATATAGAAAAAAAGGTGAGAAATTAAGAAATTTTTAAAAAAAATTTTAGTTCTACATGACATTTAACTGTGAATGTCGTAATACGGTTTGCTTTTACTGCAATAAAATACACATAATTGTATTTAGCGATGTCTCACGTGTAAAACAGTACCCCTATGTACAGGTTTTATGGCGTTTTGGGAAGTTACAGGGTCAAATATAGCATGTTACATTTTTCAGGTTTTTTCACATTGAAATTCGCCAGATTGGGTACGTTGCCTTTGAGACTGTATGGTAGCCCAGGAATGAGAATTACCCCCATGATGGCATACCATTTGCAATTGTAGACAACCCAAGGTATTGCAAATGGGGTATGTCAGTCTTTTTTAGTAGCCACTTGGTCACAAACACTGGCCAAAGTTAGTGTTAATATTGGTTTGTGTGTGAAAAATGCAAAAAACTAATTTGAACATTCACAATTCACAATTGGCCTTTTGTATTACACTGTCTGTAATTCAAAAGACCGAATGCTTCATCCGAATGGACAAATTGCTCATTATTTTGGTGTGCCTTTGTTCTTTCTGCTCACTAAGTCGAACGAATGAATGCGCACCGAATGAATAACAAAAACAGGGGACCTAGTGCCCCCCCAACCCTGACCCATTGCTGGCGGGTGTAGGCCCTTAGTGCCCCCTACGGCCACCACTCATTAGTGGCAGGTGGGGGCCCTAAGTAATAATGGGGTGGAACCTATTGTTTGACCCGAGCCCCCACCCATTGCTGGTGAATTGGGGCCCTAAGTAATAATGAGGGGAAACCTATTGTTCCTACCCAGCCATTAGCGGCAGGTGGGGGCCCTAAGTAATATTGGGGGAAAACTAGCCAGGTGACAGTGGATTATTATTATTTTTTTTAATTTGACAATTTTTATTGTTTTCGAGCGTGGGAGGTAAAAAATAGATTCCATCAATGCACTGTATCCACTGTTATACAACTGGCAATTAAAATATATACAATATACACAATATATACATATGACATACACATTCTATACCTATCAAACAGTATGTTCTGCTTCCTCTATAGGACAAAGTACTGCGGTCGTACCCTTAGCGTATCCCTATGGGGAGACCTAATAATAATTATCACTGCTAGCTCTCTCTCTCCGTGTCCTCCCGGTGGTTTGCTGATTGCTGATTGTCGCCCACCTGGTATGTACAATCGCCTGCACCCGACAGGTGCATACACAGTAATTTATAGGTACATTCACAGTTATAGGTACATTCACATTCATTTATTACGTGATCTCCATGAGTCCCACATATCCCATGTTTCCAAGGAAGTAGGATTAGGTGGGAATAATGTTTTTAATCCTTTCTCATACGAGCATTGTGAATCCAGATCTGTGAGTATACGTTGTACATGGGGGGGTGGCTGTTTGTTTCCAACTTTGAGCGATTGATCGCTGCACTGTCAGTATGATATGTAATAAGAGTTTTTGTACAGCTTTAGGTAGCCCCTTCGGTAGGTCAGTTAGCAATAGGTGTTGGGCTGTTAGGGAAATAGAGCAACCTGTTGCCGCCGGTGCCATTTTGTGGATACCCGCCCAGAAGGTCTGGATGCAGGGGCAAGACCACCAAATATGTAAGACTGTGCCCTCTGCTCCATTGCATCGCCAGCACACACTCAAGGTGTTTGGGTATATTCTATGTAGTTTACTCGGTACCATGTACCATCTATACATCGTCTTGTAATGTTGTTCTATATGGATAGACGATTTAATCAGGAGGCGAGGTAATCGGAAGATGCGTTCCCAACTCTTGTTTGGGAGAGAGCAGTTTAGGTCAGTTTCCCATAGCCGTGCTATTTTTGAGACAGCAAATGGTAAGTGCTTTGAGAGTAGTCGGTAACTCATGGAGATCGGTTTACATATAGAAGGGAGTAACCCAGTAATACACATTTTTTCCCACACGCTAGGTGTAGAGGGCAGTGTGTTGGATGCAGCGTCCCTACAGTGGTGCTTGATCAGGAACGATCTTAGCTGGATGTAGGAGTAATGGGATGCCCTAGGCAGTGAGTGCTGCTTTTCTAGCACTTCAAAGCTCAGTAGTACGTCCTGTTTGTACAAGTGCTCCAGATGGGTGACACCTCGAGTGTGCCACGGCGAGGCTTGGAATGTGGGGATGCAGTATGCGAGTGATGTGATTGGTGTTGCCAATGATAGGCCTGTGTGGCCACTTAGTAGGGTTGTATGTTTGTCCCAGATCTGCAAAAGTAATCTAATCGTTGGGGATGCACAAGGCAGCTGTGGTCTAAATTTTTTGGGTATCCATACTATATTGGCTAAGGCATGTGGGGCAATAAGCCCTCGCTCTAAGTGTACCCACTGCGGGGGTGGGTCGTGAAGAAAATGGGGAAGGGCAGTGGCTATGACAGATTCATAGTAATACGTATGGATATTGGGTAGCGCCATCCCCCCTCATGTTTAGGCGCGTTAAGCAGGGCTTGGGTCCCCTTAGGTCTGCCCCCTTTCCATACAAAGTGGTTTATGTCCAATTGGACCATTTTAAAGAAGGACCTGGGGAGCTCCAGTGGCAAATTGCGAAACAAGTAGAGCAGTCTAGGGAGGATCGACATTTTGATCGCTATGACCCTCTCTGTCCAGGACAAGAACATGGGGGACCATTTCTTAAGTAGGGTACGGCAGCTACTCCATACAGTCACATAGTTTGCAGCGAATAGGTCTGTATGGGCCCTCGTATAAGTAATCCCTAAGTATTTGAGGGTGTCCGTCCTCCATTCGAATTTGTAGGTCTGTTGGAGTTGTTTGACCAGGGTATTTGGAAGGGATATGCATAGTGCCTGTGTTTTGGATGCGTTGAGAGAGTAATAGGACACCTTCCCATAGTCTGCTATCATCCGCATAACTACTGGAAGTGTGGTGTGTGGATATGTTAGGTATAGTAATATGTAGTCTGCGAAGGCCCTTACTTTGATCACCTTGTGGCAGACATTCACTCCCTGGATTTCGTCATTTGTTCTAATAGTGGATTATTTTTTAAGGTTGGGATTTTTTTTCCAGGGTGTTTAATTTTATTTTTTGCTTTCAAGTCTTTTTTACATTTTATTAGTTCAATGGAGTTTATGTTTTTTTATTAGGCCTTTTTTGGGCCTCAAAAAAGAAAATTGAAGAAAAAAGAAGACATATAGTAAGTCTGTTATATTTTATAAATACTTAGTTTATTCCTCGCCTTATTATTAATAAGGTGAGGGAGGTAGGTAGGGTATTTATTTATTGGGGGGGTTACTAGGGACTCCTTAGTCATACCTCCCCTTATTACTTAGGTCCCCCACCTGCCTTTTATTACTTGGGGCCCCTACTCGCTGACAATGGGTTGAGGCTGGGAGGGAAAATAGGTTCTCCCCTTTATTACTTAGAGTCACCACTAATGGGTGGTAGGTAGAACTGATTGTCGCCCCCCCTTGTTACTTAGTGCTCCCACCTGCAGGCAATGGGTGGGGACAGGGGGGCAATAGAACCCACACCTGCTGGCAATGGGTGGAGGCTGCGGGGGAACAATAGATCCCCTTACCCTTTATTACTTCTGGTCCCCGGACCCAGGGCCGGCGCTACCATTAAGGCGAATAAGGCACTCGCCTAGGGCGCCGGCCTCTGGGGGGCGCCTACCGGGAATTTTCCTGGTGGGCTGCCCTGCTGCTGCCTGGGGCTGGTGTGCTGGGTGAGCGGCTTCTTAGCCACCCCCCAGCGCAGCCATTCAGCTGCTGGGCTCTCTCTGCAGCCACTTGCCTGCTCGGGAGCGGGATATGCTGTAACCCCAGCACCCGAACAGAGCACTCAGCTTCCTGCAGCCAGGGGGAGCCGGGACATGCCTTGGTATCCTGGCTGCCCCCTGCCTGTGAACACCGGGAGCACTCTGAGGGGAACAGGAAGTAGCCTGTGCTCACAGTGCACGGCTCTCCTGCTCCCCCCACTAGGAACAGCACCAGCTACCTGCAGGCTGGACCCCTCTCCTCCATTCACAGCACTTATGAATGGTCCATCTGAAGGTAAGGGGAACTAATTATGAGTATGAGTGTATGATGGTAAATTGGTCTGTATGTATTGAATTGCTGTGTTTGTGGGTGTAAATAAAGTGTGACTATATGTTAAGTGGTATGTGTTTGTGCTTGAGTGACAGTGTGCGTGTTAGTGAGAGTGTGTAAGTGGCACTGTGAATGTCACTGAGAGTGTGTGTGTAAGTGAAACTGTGTGTGCATGTCAGTGACAGTGTGTGTGTGATACTGTGTGTGTTAGTGACTGTGTAAATGACATTGTGCATGTCAGTGAGAGTGTGTAAGTGACACTGTATGTCAGTGAGTGTGTAAGTGAATCTGTGTGTATGTCAGTGATAGTGTGTGTGTGTTAGTGACATTGTGTATGTCAGTGAATGTATAAGTGACACTGTATGCCAGTGAGAGTGTGTTAGTGAAAGTGTGTGAGTGACACTGTGTATGTCAGTGTTTGTGTTGGTGAAAGTGTGTAACTGGCACTGTATGTCAGTGAGTGTGTAAGCAACACTATGTATGTCAGTGAGAGTGTGTGTTAGTGAGAATGTGTATGTGACATTGCATGTCAGTGAAAGTGTGTTAGTGAAAATGTGTATGTATGTCAGTGTGTGAGTGACAGTGTGTGACCATGTAATTAGATACTTATATATTAAATTATATTTAAAATCTATATTTATAGAATTCTATATTAAACCGAAAAAATGTTAGTAGTAACATAAATTAAATCTCAATATTATTACAAATGAAACAGCACCAAATGAATTGAAAAAGAATGTGTAGATATATTTATTAGGCAGTATGTGTCTATTGATCTATGCATTCGGCAGTATGAGTGTATGAATGTATTTATTAGGTGGTGTGTGTGTGTGTGAGGATTTATGTAATGTGCATATGGTTGATTGTATGTAATAGGCAGTCTGTGTGGATGGATGTATTAGGCAGTGTGTTTATATGGATGCATATACTGGATGAGTGTTTCTACGCAGTGTGTTCATTGCAATTCAGAATTTAGTGAATAAACCTGTAAGAGAATGTAGTTGCCTTCATGAGGGGGTGGCAAAATGGATTGCTGCCTAGGGCGTCAAGAATCCTTGCACCGGCCCTGCCCGGACCCTAAGTCCCCCATTTAGTTATTACTTAGAACCCACACCTGCTGGCAATGGGTGGAGCCTGCGGGCACTTGGTGGGGGCCGAGGAGGACACAAGGTCCCCCATTTAGTTATTGCTTAGAACCCACACCTGCTGGCAATGGATGGAGGCTGCCAGCACTTGGTGGGGGCTGAGGAGGACACTAGGTTCCCCATTTAGTTTAATAGCTCCCACTTGCAGAGCACGGGTGGAGACTGGAGGGTGATATATGTCCCCCCCCTGTTTATTATTTAAATAGGTGCCACACCGGGGGGGGGGGGGCATGTGTCAGGTCCCCCTTTATTGAATTGGGGAGAACTGCTCACTGTTTAGTCGACATGCACCTTCTCATGGGATAGCCTCCCTTATTTATTAATACTAAGTATTAGTAAAGTTGAATGAAAGATCAACTTTGGTCTTTCAGCTTTTTAGTAGATAGCTTCCTAATACTTTTGGGATTTAGGGGGCTATCTACTAAACGGCTAAAAGATTCAGTTGCTACTAAATTGGAATTTCATTTTCCAAATTCTAAACCAAAAATAATGACCAAATGGGTTCTTCAAACGAAAATAACATCCAAATTTCATCTGAAAACGAATGAGTCCATGGACACAATTCAGTCCTGACAAAACAAAAAAAAAATCATCCAAATTCAGCCTTTTTATTATATTACAGCACATCAGCTTGGAGCCCAAGTCTCTGGAAAGTGCACAAAATGCAATCCTTTCTGATACAGTCCTTTGATCTTTCCCAGGAAAACATCGCTATTTCTTCATAATAAACCATCTAATTTGCAAGTATAATGCAATTTTTATTACATAGATCACATACTTTTTTTGTTATACCCAAATAGCTAAGAGATGGTGTAATTTCTGTTTGTTTGCATTTTTATTCTAGTTCAACATTTTCAACTTCTCTGTGATGTTCAGTTTCTAAATAATTATTTATATCCTGGACTTTTTAAAAAAAAAAAAAAAAAAAAACATTTACAGGATATTTTGTACTGGATGTTGAAAAAGTTGTTTTAAGCTTGATAGACAATTCAAGATAATGGATACTTAAAACCGAACATTACACATTTTAATCAGTTACCTATATTATAAAACGTATTATATTTCAGTTTAAAAAGTACTCAATGCTCATAAAGAATCATGCCAATGTGCCAGTGACCTTTATATCAATCTTTAGGAGGAGGAGAACATTACATTTCAGAGCACAAAGATTCAAAACAAAACAAACAGCATTTTGGATAGGGGAAATAGTTTTGGTCATTAGTTTTAATAAAGTATGTTTCTGTGTAGAACATGCTTGGGCATAATGTCAGAACAAGTTATACCTCATCTAATTCACTTTTTTAATTGAACTGAGCCCAACTTACTCTATCCTCTCCTAGTCCCTGATGCCAACTCATTGGGGGAAATCCATCAAAGTGTTCTAAAATGTGGTCTAAAATACTAAAAGTGAGGGCACTCAGCATTGAAACCAGTAGAATGCGCTGGCACATTTCACTGGTGACAATACGTTACATTTTTGTACCACATTAGAATACAACACTTTAGTGAATGTCCCCAATGATTTGGCATCAGGGAATGGGAGAGGATACAATGAGGTGGGATCAGTGCTAAATTGTATAGTGAGGGGGAAAGAAGTAGTGGGGGGGGCGGAGCCTGACCCACAAACGAGCTAGACGTGGATCGCCGGAGCTCCTGACTATATCGATAAACAAAGCAATATAACCCGGCGGACACATCTCCTTATCCAACCCAAATCGAGTAATTCTGGTCAGGGGGACCCAGGCTAGCAAAACGACACCTCCCACGAGCGTCGACCCTACTCAGACCCTGAGATCCCTGCTGCGGCCTACCTGAACAAGGCTGGGGGAGGCGGACGATCCCCCAGAGCTACGAGAAGGGACCCAGGACGACAGCACTCCAACACCCTCCCCCCCCTAGACCGGTCCCCTCAGAGACTGTGTCTTCAGGCGCAAGTCATCGTGCCACTGGACAACGCCGCGCTAATCAAGACGCCCAACATGGCTTCCAGCAATTCTGGCTGAAGCTGCAGCGGCGCTGCACCAAGCCTATGTGCCACCCACAGCCGAATGGTGAGGAATATCACCCACGACCAGTGAAAGGACCTATCAAGAGGCGGGCTCAGAAAGTGACTCCAGCTCGTGCCAAAGTACACCCAGCAACTGGGATGCCGCAAGCGGTGTGCCACAACAAGGGCTGCCAACACGCAAAAGCTCCCAAGCCCTTGAAACGAAGACCCTCAAAGTACAAGCGGGGAAATGCAAGCGCCATACCGGACCCACGAGACGAACCTGCAGGGACCATCAGCCAATCCCACCTATGCCGACCCAGAGCCCTGTCGGGCTACAAATCCTCACAAGTTGCAACAGCCCCTTCGGCAAATACGGGACTGGACCGGCTACATCACCCACATCACTAAGCACAGCAGCACCGCCCGGCATACCAGCCAGAGACCCAGGCCCCAAATGGGCATAGGATGAGCATACAGCGAAATGGCATTGGAGTGCCGGCCCTGTGAAAAACGAACTCTGTCCCACCCAGCGGCAACAAAACTTGCCGACCGGCAACCAAGGATCCCCACCTGTTAGCTGCAGAAACACAAGATCCACCCCATCACCAGGGTACGCAGAGACTGGGCCTTTTGTCTTTCATATTCATACTCCCATTAGCCCACAGGTTCTGAGCTACGGGACTGTACTGCATTAACATTGTTATTACTTGCATTGACCAGGCCTCACCTAAATGTCCAGTGGTAGTTAATCTCTTGTTCCTAACTACATACCACACAAAATATTGTCGCCACTCCAGGCACCAAAACTACTTCATGTAAATGAACCACTCTTGCACGGTTTACCCCCAAAGTTGCCTGTCCACTCCTCCTCCCCCCACCCCTCCTCCTGCACAGGCTGCATCTGGCTTCTGAATTTTAACTTTCAGGAAGCGCAGAGTACCGCACGGCAGGTGCGTCACTGATTGGCTGAGAGTGTCAGATGACCCCATTTACAAAACTGGCTTGAAAAAGGAACGTTTCTTACCAAGCCAGTGTTGTGAATGGAGAGTCACTGGTTAGCTGATAGTGTCAGATGACCGTTCTCAGCAGCCCTGCTTGACGGCACTCCACACTCACTGGAACTGAGGAGAAAGTGCCTCCAGAGACCTCCTATAACCAGAGCAACTTCGTTTAAATTATTGATCCATGTGTGAATGCAAACACCAGAAATTGTTCATGCTGTATTACAGTGTAAATAGTATTAGCACTGTGTGTCTTACATGGCTTTATAACTGATGGAGCAGGGTTAAAATCTGGACCATGTGGAAATAGTTTGGGATGGTGCGAGATTTTCTTTCCATTAATGTAAATTTATGACCATAACAGGAACATAGTTAGAATATATACCAGGCATGGAATTTACAATTAAGGTGTGACATTGGGCCATTATTTTCTACTGTGGGAACCCACTCTCAGTTTGACAGTCCCATACAGTACAACGCATTAGCAGGGTGTTTTTCATTAAAGTAAGAATTGTAAGTGAATTCCAAAGTTAAGGCCAGAGTAGTAGAACTGAAAGCATAGCTAATTTAGAGATTTTTTCCAGTTCAGCTATATTGATCTTACATTTGTAATTCACTTTGAATTCTCACTTTAGTGAACAACCCAGTTAGTGTCCAATACACAAAAGGTAAGGGTAAAATCTAAATCTTTATTAAGAATCCATATAAATCTACGCAGACAGCAGAGGATCTCACCCTCTGTGCATCCTGCACTGCTTTTATGGGATACACTTCTGAAATCCTTCCTATTGTAGAATGGAGGGAATCATAACCCTAACTCCCATTACTCTTAGTATAACTCTAACAGTGCAGGAACATTAAACCGAACACAATCTACGTACAATAAATGGTAACTACCATTGTGTGGCTGAGAATGATGGCAGTTTCAGTTTTTCATATATGCAGTGGAGACATGAAGCATAGATATATTCTCACCCTTTAGCACCCCATGTGCTCATGGACTGCAACGATCATAATTCTCAGTCATAAAATATATAGTATTTACTTGAAAGATCCCTCCAATAGTGTGTAGCATTCCTACTACATCACAGTGTGAATTTAATTAGCCGCAAGAGGCATCCAAAAGTCACTTCTGGAGTCAATTTACTAATTAGACACCCAAATTACAGGCTTTCCATTTATTGCCAAGTGCAGTCAATCAATGTATGTAAGTCCTGCAGTGACATACTGATTTGGCAGCTCTACTTTCCTACCACCTAGAACATACTGTCTTAGATAGTTAACTGATTTACCTCTTGCAGCATTAGAATGCTACATACTACAGAGCAATGCAAGCCCTATTGGTGCCAATCTAATGGTGCCAACCCAGAAAACACTAAAACTGCGTAAACAGTGCTATTTCAAAGTTGGAACATGAAGCATGCCAGTAAGAAACTGCTGAAATAAGAAATGATCAGGCTATAGTTCCATATACAAATTCAATCTTCTGTATTAATTGCCTTGCAGTCTTTTTTTATACACCACATTAATGCAGGTTAGATATAATAATAATAATAATAATAATTAATAGATATATATATATATATATATATATAGGTTTAACGTCCCACTCCCTATATTAATATTTTTTTGCGTTTTCATAGCTAGTGGGATGAGTAGACATTTTTGCAGCATTCCAGGAAGCACTGCACAAAATCCCAAATAAAATCCAGATCTTGGTTAAACATACATATTAACCCAATATAAACTAAAAGGAATCTTGCCCCAAGACCCTCAGTGATATCTGTACAGCTGTTATGGATTTTGAATAAAGTTTGGTATTCTCTCCTACTGTAGAATATAAATAATTTTTACCCTAACTCCCAAAGCTCTCAGCAAACCCTGAGTGCAGGAACAGGAAATCCTAATACTTTCACAAACAGCATATTGTTCATAATTTTTTTCTGAGCTAAGGATTTGCATAAATCTAACAGTTAGCATAATATATAATATGAATTCTTGGTAGATAGCAAATGAAAACAGCAGCCCCACAAAATGCAGAATAAAAAAAAAACTATCTTATAATCAATTATTTAGGACCTTGATTAACAAACCAGTGTTTCACTTGCAGACATAAATGCTATATAGTGCAGGACAAGATCATTTGGATTCTGAAGCACTGTTATAGTGTCATTCATATTTATGGATAAAATTGCAGTAATCAAATGTTGCATGTTGCTTGATCATTAACTGAAAACATAGGTTGGTCATAAAAACCTAGATTTATTTTAAATAACTTCTATTCTGCCCATTTGCATTCTAAAAACTTTAACAGTGATATGTTTTCCTGCTAAGGACAGCAGCACACAATCCAAGCCTTCTTTCCAAATGTACTGGTCTCTACCACCTCTGCAAGGAGGCTGTTCTACACATGTACAACAAAAACACAGAGAACCCTGACTACACTCACACATTTACAACGTCAACAACCCACACAGAAAGACTAGGCAAACACCCTAGAGTGGTTAACACAATCTGCTTTATTGATTAATCCAGTAAAAAAAAAAAATCACAATTTAAAGATACAGCAGAAATGAGGTGTCTAGGGTAAATACATTTCTATCCTTCTAACTCTATATGTCCTGGCTACTGACTTTCAACATAAAAATAGGGTTACTAGATCACGATTATGCCTGTGAAAACACGTATACTTAAGGGTAGTGTTTATTAAAATTGAGGCCTGAAATAAGTTTTCATTATAGGTCTTCCTAAATCAACTGTTTGGTTTAGTTAATCATCAGCGAGTTCATTGCCTTTTTAAATGTATAAGGTTGCTGAGCTCCAGCTTAGCTGTATAAACAGATCCACGCAGTTTGCATACCAAAATACCCTGCCAGTAGGTTGCTATCCAATTTACAATGTTATCTCAGATTTAGTTTTTGTTTAGTACAGTGTAATACATTCAGCAATTCTGTACAGTAGGGTAAGGACGCACACATTAGTAGGATTATTCACAAAAGTGTGAATTGTCTGGAATTCAATGTGATTTTCCTTTCCTACACAGTTTTTTTAATTACCCTAATGGCAAATGACAACAAACATTAGCTTATATTTGGGGGCAATTATTTTGCTTTATTGATATCAAAACAAAGTTTCCCAAACTAAATACATCATATTTCCTAATTATCATATACTCATTTTGCCCTGCGCAAGTAACAAAACTTTCAATAGATACTCTACCTTTTCTTCAAAGCAGCCCCTACCCAACTGCAGTAGAGTTAATATTAACAGTTCTAGTAAAGTATGTAGATTGCATTTGTTCTTTTGACACATGAATATGCAAGATAAGAGGGATGTACACTTTGCTAGAAGTCCTATACACATTAATGAACAGCTTCTGAAAAATGCAGATTTCTATAACGTAGAATTTAATACGTCAAAAAAGAATTAAATCATTAATCAACGAGGAATCCTACGAAATGTAAATTCTACATACGGCATGGCAGCATGAGTAAAAAATGTGTTGTCAAACAACACATGGCGAATCTGGAGACCCCAGATGGATCTATCATGCTCTGCAGACACTTACCCTGTCTTGGAGATACTTGTTGGTCTCTGGTCCTGGGCACCTCGGCAACCTTAGGACACTGTCCTTGCACCTTCTCCAATCTTTCATTTAAATTCTGCTTTTCCTCTTCCAAAGAAGACTTTTCCTTTAGCAAGTCAGAATACGCCATCTCCAGACTGCCCCTCTGTCCTTCCCACTCATCCTTCTCTCTCCTAAGCCTTTCCAACTCTTGATGAACATTTTCACTGGCTTGGGGTGCATACGTTGAATGCCCTGAAACCTCTCCTCCTAACATCTTATTCACTACCCTCTCTAGTAAGGTGACTCGAGTTTGCAATGAGTCCATATGTTGAAGAAAGTTTGAGTTTTCACGACGAAGATCCTGGATAGCAGTATTTACCTCTCCAGGTTCTGAGCAGCTGCCCTCTTGAGGACTGGGTACTGTGAACGTATACGTACACTGTCCATGGCGATCATTGGCTCTCCGAAGTTGAGGACTTCCTTGCGCCATCCATATCAAAATTGACAGCATTATGTGCAGGCCAATAGACCCCATTGTACTGTGTTGTGGAATATGTTGGCACCGAAATATATATTTAATTTTCAATTATCTGACTGAAGGAGCAGATACTTGGGTACAGCTTAAGATATAGGTACAGATTTCTAATAACCAGAGTCTGTTTAAGGGCTAATTCAGTTCTCTGTTTGTGTCTGTTCACATCACCTTTCTTTTATACAGTTGGGTTGAAAGAGGGATGGGGGGAGGCGTGCTTAGCAGGGTCTGTGCTGGATAACATAACAGGAATCTTCCAGACTCTGCGAATGAAATGAGAAGTGACACAGTGCCTGGAGCCAGCTCATATTGCAGTCTCTCTCTATGTGACTCTTACGGTAGTGTTTACAAGAGAACGAAGCTGGTACATAAACTTTCAGTGGATCAACAAACTGTCCAAGCATTGATGATGGAATAGTAGTAATGAAACAATAGTGATACATTGTGTACAGTATAATAAGATAATCTTAAATTGAAATGACAAATGGTAAAGCCAAAGCTGAGGTGGAACAACTCCCCAACCTGTGTGCCAAGGGACCGTCTTTTAAACTACAAGTGATCTTATTTGTCACATGTGCTTTGTTATTGAACTACACTCAGTGTGAACACAAAAAACACCTCTGCAACACATATGAGATATCAGAGAAAATTTCCAAACGCACAGCATGTGCTTATGGAGATTCAAGAAATATTTAAGGCATCTATGAGTGCTTCTGCTTCACTGTGCAAATACGCAAATGTGAATTTCTAACTGACAGTTTTGTGCCAACTAGGTGTGTGTGCGTGTGTGTGCGTGTGACCTCTTCGCCAGACATGCCTCAAACACATCAGTGCAGAGCCCCTTCCCCCTGACATGTCCTCTTGCAGCCACATCTCCCAGCATACCAGATCAGCTTAAAGATTTAAATTCTGCAGGTGTATGTATTGCACACCAATGGCATGGGAGAGATTGTCCTGTATAGTATGATAGATTCTAATTTATTCATTCTATTTATACATTGCGCTTACATAATGGCTACCAAAAAGATAGATTAATAAATATCTGAAAAATAAATTACTCACCCTATAAGTGGTGCAGGGTTGTGGCAATGAAGCTCTGCGCATGCAGCATTAGAATTGTCAAATCCACAGCGTTTCCTTGGATACATATCACTTCTAAGCAGTTCATAGATATTTCAATGAAATGTGCTGCCCTGCAGTATGTAGAATTTATCTGCCAGTGAAAGACATTAACTCATTAATCCACCAGGGATCTCAAAGGATTTAGCACTTTAAAGGGACTCTCCGGGCACCATAACAACCTTATAGTATTGAATCCTATCAGTGGCTACCCATTGAAAACAGAGCATGAAAAAGGTAAGGTTCAAGGTTTCCTGATTTAAGTTTTGGGCATTCAGTAGGATTTCAGGGGCAGAGCAATCAAGTACTGGCTTGCAGACTTTGGGATTAAACTGTTTAAAGGACCACTCTAGGCACCCAGACCACTTCAGCTTAATGAAGTGGTCTGGGTGCCAGGTCCTTCTAGGGTTAACCCATTTTTTCATAATTATAGCAGTTTCAGAGAAACTGCTATAATTATGAATGGGTTAAGCCTTCCCCCTAATCCTCTAGTGGCTGTCTCATTGACAGCCACTGGAGGCGCTTGCTTCTCACTGTGAAAATCACAGTGAGAGCACGCAGCGTCCAAAGCATTGTAAATGCTTCTTCTTGAAGCGGCGCGCAGTGTGCGCGGGCGGGTAAGGAGGGGACCCCAGCCCAAAGGTAAAAAACCCCTTCCCCCTTCCAGAGCCGGGCGGGAGGGGGTCCCTGAGGGTGGGGGCACCCTCAGGGCACTATAGTGCCAGGAAAACGAGTATGTTTTCCTGGCACTATAGTGGTCCTTTAATAACAGTTTATACCTTACAGGACCTCTTTGCACCATAATAACTTATTTCCAATGAAGTTGCTTTGGTGCCTGGAGGTGTCCTTTAACCCCTCAATGACACAACTTCTGGAATAAAAGTGAATCATGACGGAATATTTCCATCATGTGTCCTTAAGGGGTTAAGATGAGTCGTTCAGGCATGATAGAGTCCTTTTTTTTTTTTTTATTACCCCTTAGTTTCACAGCTGGCATCAACAAGGGTGTGTGTATAATTTTCACACTTTTCCTCCTAAAAAGATTTGTGTAAGAGAAACTGTGATTAACACTTTATGAACTGCCCTCACAAGACAATCATGTCTTCAGAGGAATAATGCAAGAAAGGATAATTTCACAGGTCACATATCTGACATACTCTCCATAGAAATGGCAACCAAATCAAGTTCCATATTATCTTAATACCAAGAGAGTTCATTCGCATTTAACTAAGGTAAGACCCTCTTAATATCAACTTAACCTTTGATCAGCTTCTTACCCTAAAAACAGTATATCATTTTCACTACATAACATTATTGTTGCTCCATTAACCAGGGAGCGCTTTCAAAACTACAAAATAATTAGACCTATATGACTAGCGGCAGAACTAAAGTAGAGAGAACTTTTAGGGCCCCCTATTGCAAATTGGGCCAAAGGTTAGAACCTTATCTGTCGCACAACTTCCACAATGCTGTGCCAGCAAGGGATCTATCATTTGCCCATCTGTGTAGGGTTGCATTTAGAAGTGAGCAGTGTTTGTGTAAGGATGCTTTTGTATGAGTATGTGTGTGTGAATGTAGGGGTATATTTGTGTGTAGTGATTTTTTTTTTTTACTGTTGCCATTTGAAAACAGTGGTTTACTTGTGTGCAGTGTTTGCCTTTTAAAATGTAGTGGTGTATCTGTATGTAGTCTTGATATTTGAATGCCGGGGTATATTTGTGTGTAGTTTTGGTATTTGACTGCTGAGATGTATGCACATATACATATACAGTGTCACACACACATGCAAATACAGACACACATTGACACACATCCAGATATAGACACACAGATACACAAAGACACACAAGCAGATAAACACACAGACACACATACAGATACACACATACCCAAATACAAACATGCAGATACACAGACACCGTAAGGCATGAATGAAACACGTAGAGGGCTGAGGGGTGTGAATGCGACACATGGAGTGGCTGGGGGGGGCCAGTGCAATTTGTGCAACACGGGCCCCATAATTTCTAGTTACGTCTCTGCACATACAAATACACATACGCAGTTACACAGACACACAGAATGACACAGATACAAACAATGACATTCATACTGATCAAAACACTGACACACACACACACAGATACACAGACTGATATCGAAAGAGAACCTAGTTTAGTGAATTAGCAAAAAAATAAACAAAAATACATTTTTGGCAGCCCATTTTCTGAAGAAACAAAAACAAGTATTTAGCAAACAGTAAGTGAGATAGTTTAAGATACATGTTAAAGTATGCTGTCATTATCCAACTAATAAGGAGATCCTTTTCCTGGGTTGGTATCCATTTCTACAAGTCTTAGAATGAGAGAAATGTCCTCTATTTATAGATGTTCAACCACACGGGAACATAACACAGTGAATGGAGAGATCCTACATTCCAGTCTAAAACTATCCCATTCAAGTCATGTGGGGATAGTCCCAGTTTAGTACTTGATTACACATCAAATATAGATCCTAATAAAATCTTAATAAAGTCATAATTTATTTACACCAGATAGAATATTTGTCTGTGTAACTATTTAAGATATTATGTCTCCTACCTCTTCTTCCTGGTTCCAGATTTCCTGAATCTCAAACTGCTCTTCCACCAAAGGAAAACTTGTACGGTTATTCAATAAACTCTAGAAGCTTGATTTACTAGAGCCCAAAATGTTATGTGTACAGCAATATCATGCCAGAATTGCTGGTTACTAAATGGTGTAATTCTATAATGCCAATGCCAATTAGTAAAGGATTATGTGTGGAGCATGAATGCACCACAGTAAACCATAAAAACCACAACATTTGCTATTCACGAAACCCTACGCATAGTGAGCCCAGGCATAAGGTCTTACTAGGTAAGTTATTCCACACCAATTAATCCTTTCACAGATCAGAGTAATGTGCCGCTCTCTCTAGTTGTACTAAAAATGAAAGTAAATGAAGTTATGCAAAGCATGTAATTTGCTCATAATATAATAATGGATATCTGAACTGCTCTCTCATCAAAATATGACCAGGCCTCTCCATTAAAAATGTAAATAAGAAAAATAAGGCTAAGTCCACCAGAACCTCCACAAAAAAAAAAAAAAACCAAGAGATGCCCAGCTATTAGGTTTTTCTAATCTTCCACTCTATGGGCTGCAGTGTAAAAAGTGATATATTAAATCTGTGTCTCTTGGGTCCTATAATAAAAATAAATTTTGGCTCTGTTTGCCACCACAATGAATATTAAATAATACAGCTTTAATTCAAGAGGTTAAACAAAAATATTGTATAGGGGTGGAGCCTGACCTCGTGAAGGAGCAGACACCATTTACCATAGCTCCGCTCTTTTAAAAGCTTGATTTTTGGTGGCCAAACTGTGCATCCACATGGCTATCAATTAGAACTTACCACAGAGAACCCTACCACAGCAATCTATGCCATTTTTCCACATTACAAAGATGAAATAGTAGAAACGCAGATCTGGGGCCTACCCCAGACCTCAATTAGGCTGGTCTGCTCAGTGATCTTGTTTCTTCTGGAGTACCTGAGGTGGGATCTGTATCTAGCGCTCCACAGCCCAAACTTACACCAGCTATGGGACAGAAGTGTCAGAAGTCACAGCTTGACTTACCCTCAAGGTCAAGGGATATTGGGGATCTTCTCCAAATGCAATATCAGCCTGCAATGGCGGTACAGAAGAGCCACGCTGCTTGGAAGTCTTACAGAGCCTCACTCAGACGGAGTCACTCCCGTGATCTGAGCCAACAGAACATGCTCCTACAGACAAACAGGGTGGGTCAGTACCTGTTACCAAGCAGGACTTCCCCAACCTTGTAGTGGAGATAATGAATTTACTGGCGACAGATGTGGCTATCCTTAAGGCAGACATGCAAGTGGTCACAGATACGGTGAAGGCCTCTAATGAGGCTATTGGTGAACTTAAATAAGGACTGTGGTCATTGGACGTTTCTGTGCAAACCTTACAAGATCACAATATGCTCTGTCACTCCATCTCGGCACAATCATTTGAAGATCAGGGGCATTCCTGATGCGGTCACACTAGAAGAGCTGCCACATTATGTGACATGCCTTGTGGTCTCTCTCTTATCACCAAATCAGGCCCAGAAGCTTTCCTTGGATGGGACTTCTCGTCTCCCGAAGTCTGGCAGGGCACCTATCTCCGAAGTGTGAGATTTTATTGTCTGCTGTTCAGTATTCCAGGATAAGAGAATCTTGCTGACAACCTATCAAGATCTCACATGGTCTACCTTGCAGTGGTTACTGTCTTTGAATCCTTCCACAAACCAACTGAGAGCTGCTGGAATGAAGTACCGATGGATGTGGCCAATGTTCCTCATGGTCACACAGAACGGGACAGTAGAAAGATTATCTACATTTGTCAAATCTCCAACCTTCCTTAGGGCTTACCTGTTCCTCCAGTTAATTCTAGAACCCATCTCAAATTATCCCATTTTTCCCTACAAGTTGTTTGGCACTAACAACAGGAACTTGAGTTCTTGTACTTAAATGCAGTTTGAGTTATTATGTTTATTTAGCTATTTCAGTTTACTTGTATCTCATTTAGCTTATAGGCTACCCACAATTTATGTAGCCTCCCAAGAGGTGTCGCAAAACCTGGCTCCTTACACTCCAGAGCTCTGATGATATGGGCCTTACCCATTCTAGTAGGTGTCTAGCTCCCCACCTACACTTGCTAATCAACGTGTTCATACTCATTAATGTTTACTTTCTAATTTAGGCTGTTCCCATCGCAGTAGAACCCTACTGTATATAACTATTAATGCTTGGTTCCCACACTCTCGTGCATGTCACTTTACCAAATGTTACCTGTCTTATATAAACTGTATATATATATATATATATATATATATATATATATATATATAGTCCACAACAGTTTTTTATCTTATTTGACAAGCATTGATATGAAAAATTATTTTTAAAAACAATTGACAAAAAAATATTTAGATCGTATAAAATGTTTAGGAATTGCATTTATTATCATACCCTTATTTCAGAGGCTCAAAAGTAAATGTACAAATGAACATATTCATAAATAAAATGTTCATTTTTAATATTTTGTAATTTTAATATCCTTTGCAGACAATGACTACTTGAAGTCTGAAACATATGGACATCACAAAATGCTGGGTTTCCTCCTTTGTGATGCTTTGCCAGGCCTGTACTGTAGCTGTCTTCAGCTATTGTTTGTTTATGGGTCTTTCTGTCTTCAGCATGGGAAATGCATGTTTGATCGGGTTGTGATCAGATGTTTGACTCGGCCATTGCAGAATATTCCACTTCATTGCCTTAAAAAACTCCTGGGTTTTTGCAGTATGTTGTGGGTCAAAGTCCATCTATAAAGTGGAGCAGTGTCCAATCAACTTCACTGAATGTGTCAGAATCTGAGCAGACAATATATCCCTATACACTTCAGAATTCATCCAGCTGCTTCTGTCTCATCAATAAACACTATTGACCTCGTGCCACTAGAAGCCATGCATGCCCATGCCATGACACTGCCTGCATTGTGTTTTATAGATGATGTGGCATGCTTCAGATCATAATCCATTCCAAACATTCTCTGTGCTTTCTTTCTTCCCATCATTCTGCAGCAGGTTAATCTTAATTTCAAATAATGCTGTTCCAGAACTGGGCTGGCTTTCTTAGGTGTTTTTCATGATGACCCCCGTCCACTGACGAAACTGCCTTCAATGGGGATGTGAGCATCAGAACTGGACCATGGAGCAATGGAAGAAGGTTGCCTGGTCTGATGAATCACGTTTTCTTTTAGATCAGGAGGATGGCCAGGTGTGTGTGCATCATTTACATGGCAGCAAGATGCACTCTGGGAAGAAGGCAGGCTAGTGGAAGTAGTGTTATGTTCTGGCAAATGTTGTGCTGGGAAACCTTGGGTCCTGGTATTCATATAGCTGTTACTTTGTCACGTACCATTAACCTAAAATTTGTTGCAGACCACTTACACCCCTTCGTGTAAGTGGTGTTCCCTGATGAGGGTGGCCACTTTCAGCAGAATAATGCACCCTGCCACACTGCAAAAATTGTTCAAGAAGCCCTACCAGACATGGCGTGGACTACCACAAAGCCTGAGGGGACTGCCATACACAGGGATTGGATGACAGCCGGGCTTCTCCCTCAGGATGTCGACCCGCTCAACTGAAATTAAGTGACATCATCAAACATCATCCGTTATGCTTATTACTATGTTTTAGTTAGGCCTGTTGCCACTTATATTATTTTAAATACCCCAGTGATATATTGCTTGTTTAACACATGCCGAGTACACAGATGGAGCTACACTGTCTCACTAGCCTCAGTGGTTCACTAACTCCCTCTCTCTGCTGCATTCCTAACCGTACATATCCATGCACACTAGCACCTAGAGAGGGTACAACACATATTGTTCGTAAATCTCCCACCTTGTAATACACGCAGACATTCGGGTCTCGGATAGTCCTACAATACATGAATCTCTCGCAACTTAATTGCACCCCAAATGTACACTACACTTCATAGCAGTTAATCGTCAGGCACAATCAGCCACTTCTACCAAGCCTGTTAATAACTTAATGTTAACCCTTTGCAAAGGTACATACCAATACTGCTGTGGCGATTGACAAACCACTACTACCCATGTAAGCATGTTTTAAGCAACTGGTGCAAATACTCATGTTAATATCTAAACTGAAAAGTCTTGAACTCTTTGTAATCTCTTGTTTAGACCTGCGACTGTCACCCTGACATAATCTCACAATGTATAGCCTGACACTATAATATAAAATTGTGCCGTTTCCTCACATGCCTTATCAATCTACTGTTCAGAATGAGCTTATAGATGCTATCGGGGCACTGTAAAATAAAATGTTATCTGTTTTTTCACATGCACAAGACAAATAAAGAATTAAATAAGAAAAAAAAAATTGTTCAAGAATGGTTTGAGAAACATGACAAACAGTTCAAGGTGATGTTCTGGCCCCCAAATAGCAATCTGAGAAAGCATTTGTGGGATGTTCTGGAACAACAAATGCGATCCATAGAGGGCCCACTTCGCAACATGCAGGGCTTAAAGGATCTAATGTCTTGGTGCCAGATGCCACAGGACACATTAAGAGGTCTTGCGAAGTCCATGCCTTGATGCATCAGGGTTGTTTTGGCAGTACCTACACAATGTTAGGCAGGTGATTTTAATGTTGTGGTTGCTCAGTGTATACCAAAATATACATGTATACATATTCCTTCAACAATGTTGCAGAGATACATATGTAAAACACACTATACAAAATTGCATTTACTTGGTAAGGGCTGGTGTGAAAAATGTTGTAGAGAGGTGATGACTGAGACCTAGGGCAATAGTACATTGGTTACGAGCCCATGACATGTTAAATTAAACTCATATCCAGAAAAGAAAAGTGGTGCTTCTTAACCCCTTAAGGACCAAACTTCTGGAATAAAAGGGAATCATGACATGTCACACATGTCATGTGTCAGTAAGGGGTTAAATCCAAAGAAAAACTGCATACTGAAAAAGTAAATATGCCATCATTCTATTACAAAAAATAAACAGGAACAAAATGGCAAGTAGAACTGATATGAATACTGCAGTAGCAAATATGAATAATGAAAACTATTATTATCATTAAAACTATCAGCTTTGGAATTTCAAATTAGAATTTATTTATGTATAGGTGAAACACTTTATCCCTTTTCTCTATTTCACATCACATATTTTCAACAAGATCCCATATGCTTGACCATCAATTCATGCATGAGACCAAATGTCACAAAGCAAATGCATAGAAATGGACTGATGCATTCATAACTTTGCAATTATCCTGCAATCCATAAGAGTGGACTTGCCTATCAACTTGATTTCCCATCTAGTGAAGGAGTAATGGCTTAGCCAGTCTCGTGACAACCCCACCAGGTTTGAAAAAAAGACCCTCATTCCCCACAACTTCTTCAACATAAATACATTTTAAAATTTTGCCCATATGGCATAGTGTGCCCTAAGCTTTTTTCCTGGAGTACCCCAAACAGAGGTCTTTGATACTGCTTCCCAAAAATATTCCCAGTCTCCTCTCTCAAGAGTGTTCCCAATATCCCTCCACTGAACAGAGGTGTATTGCTTGGTAGTCCTACTAACAGGAGGTACGAGGTGACTAATAGAGCAAGAAAATTAGACCTTTTTTGTAGGATCCTACTGAAGCCAGATTGCCTATATCAGCATGAGCATTAATCTTTTACCAGCAAACAGTATCTTCTTATAAAATTGTAGAAAAATAAGCAAATATTGGTGTTGACAGTTTTCTCTGTGAGGGTTCCAGTGAGTACATTGGACCTAATTGGAATATGGTGGTGAGGCAGCATTTTGTTGCTCTCTCGGGCCCTTTCTTAAATTTATATCTACTTTTCAGTACTTAATTGGTAATCCATTGATCTCATCAGAGGTCACACATCTATTATAGAAAATTATGTAAATCCCCTTCCTTATTTTGAAAATACCGAAACTTGATTGTCTTCCTACATTTATGCTTTCAGACAAGATAATACTTTTTCCATAGAAATATAAATCTCCCCCAACGGGTAGCAAATGTAACATGTTTTCCAGGGAAAGATATAGACGGAGAATTAATATTAATACTAGGCATGTGCATGGGGAAAATTTTTGGTTCGGCATTTCGAAAATTCGGGACTTCAACACTTCGTAACTTCGGCAACTTCTGTACTTCGGCGCTTAGGAAATTCGGCAACTTCGGAATTTCGGGACTTCGGCACTTTGGGACTTCTCTTGCAGCCGCTTAGTAGATAATTCCCTAATTCCCACGGTATTAGGGAGTTATCTACCAAAAGGATGAAAGACCTAAATTGGTCTTTCAGCCAAATTTACTAATACTAAGTAAAAATTACTTATTAGTAAATTTTGCCCCTACTCGCTATAACGCGAGTAGGGGCATGTCTATTAAACACTGTTAAAAAAAATGGGGTCCCCCCTCCCGGGTCCCTTGGCTATCATGATCAGGGAAAAACCTGTGGTAAAATGTTCGTCCCTGTTCTGTTACTAAGATTAAGGCTGGAACGCGTGTCGCATGTACGGGGGTCTGAGTTGGTGGTGCTATGATGAGCAGCTCCACCAGTGCCTGGCGGTGCACCCGTCTACAGGGTGGGACCAAATGGATATCGGTCTGTGGTTAGCGATCATGCCCCGGCCAACATCTCACCAGGGTTGTCTGTCATCCTTTCTTGAGGGGGTGCAAAGGCCATTCCATGCCTTCTTGGTTACTGTTGGCAGTATAATGAGGGGCAAGCTCTAAATTCAAGCACGAGTACTCTTTGTGTGGGAGGGTTCATATTGCTTCCCCGTGTTTTAAGTGAGGGAAAACGGAGGATGATACGCCCTTGGCTAAGCCAATATAGGAACTGGAAAGCAGCGGAGGTGGTCCTTTGGGGTTTAGGGGACAGATTTTGGATTCCTCATCGGGACAGGGAGGCCAGTTCATCCGAGTTTTCATCACCTCCTGGGGTGTTTTTTCGAGGAAGGGTATTATGTGGATCTATGACTATCCATGGGGTGTTCGATCTCCAGCTTTTATTTAGAATGTTTTAGCACTTAAAACATGCACTACTTATGCTAAAATGAGTCTCTTGTAGACACACTATTGCTGCCTTGGATCTGGCCATTTCCTGGGCTGTCAACCTGCGTTTAAAGAATTTTCAGGGTGTTATCCATACTATGAGGTGAGTGCTAAGTTGTGAAAAGCGTGGTTGTTCTGATGGTGGCATAGCGAGGCTTGGGGGGGGTATGGCAAGGGAACATAGGAACAAGAATAGTAATAACATAAGTAACATTTTCTTAACCTAACTAAAGTATTTACATAGCTCCCTCATTGCAATCGGCGCCTTCTGCGGTTGAGACGCAGACCAGTATCCTGTGCCAGTGTCTGCGCTCATCCTTGGGGTGCGCTCGGTGTTAGGAACGAGGTATGGATGACTTGCAAGCTAATTGTAATAACACAGCCCTTGCATTATTAACTTCGTGTTGCCCACATATTCATTAGGACACTCCCAGGATCTCCCCCCCCACCCCTCCCACTATTGCTACACTTATTCAGTTAAAACGTTTGGCCTAATATTAATTGATCTATGTGCTTTTCCCCCTCTAGCATTTGTGTTGAATTGTGACTCTCATATTTACGTGAGGTTGATTGGTATAGCGTTTATCAGGTGAGGGAAAGAGTCCCAGGAGCATAGTCCTTTACGCTGTAGCGGGCGATCCCACCATCTGCCATTCTCCTTGCAGTCTTTGTTGTGGTGCAGTTGCGGCCGCTACCGTCGTTTGTATTGTGAACAGTCCCCATTCTTGTATTAGGCGCATGCCTACCTCCGGTTCATTTACCGTGCGGTTCTTGCCGTTTCTCCATACAATTATTTTTGTTGGGTATCCCCATCTGTATTGGATATTGTGATTCCTCAGCGTTTTCGTCACTGTAATGAATTCCCTGCGCCGGCCATCGTCAGAGCTGATAAGTCAGCGTAAATATTGATGTTAGTATACAGTTCGGGCAGTTTGTCAAGTTTGCGTGACGCTGTTAACAGAGCATCCTTGGATTTAAAATAATGAAATCTCACCACCACATCGCAAGGTGTATCTTGTGCCAACCTCGGTGGTCTCGGTAGTCGGTGAGCTCGGTCTAATAGCCATGATGTCAGGCTGTAAGGTTGTGCAAAGTCCTTTGATATATGAGGTGAGTACCTCTTTGCCCACGTTTTCATGGATCCCTCAGAATCTGACATTGTTTCTCCGGGACCGATCCTCCAAATCAGCCAGCTTGTGTTTGAGCTGTTGTTGTTCTTCTGCGGCCTTCCTAAAAAGTATTATGGCCCTTTACCATCAACCATCGGCAAAGGTATTCAGCACCGGCTTCCTGTCAGCACCCTTCACTATACACAATGGCACGCGCCAGGGCTGCCCACTGTCACCACTTATTTTTATCCTATGCCTTGAGCCCTTGACGCGACTTATAAATGGCAACACACAGATACATGGATTGACAACCCCGGGCGGCATACAGAAGTTGGCTTTGTTTGCCGACGACATACTCATGTTGATTCCCTTTATGTATTTAAATGTTTCTATCATATCCCCCTGTCTCGTCTTTCCTCCAAGCTATACACGTTAAGATCCTTTGACCTTTCCTGGTAAGTTTTATCCCGCAATCCATGAACCAGTTTAGAAGCCCTTCTCTGAACTCTCTCTAAGGTATCAATATCCTTCTGAAGATACGGTCTCCAGTACTGCGTACAATACTCCAAGTGAGGTCTCACCAGTGTTCTGTGCAATGGCATGAGCTCTTCCCTCTTTCTACTGCTAATACCTCTCCCTATACAGCCAAACATTCTGCTAGCATTTCCTGCTGCTCTATTACATTGTCTGCCTACCTTTAAGTCATCAGAAATAATAACCCCTAAATCCCTTTCCTCATATGTTGAGGTTAGGACTCTATCAAATATTATGTACTCTGCCCTTGGGTTTTTATGTCCAAGATGCATTATCTTGCACTTATCCACATTAAATGTCAGTTGTCACAACTCTGACCATTTTTCTAGTTTACCTAAATCATTTCTATCTTGCAGACATATTCACAAAATTAAATTACGTATGTTTATCACTTCAAGGAAAAAAACACTAATATTTTTAATGCAAGAGATAAAATATTTTCACTGTCTCGTAAACTGCAGTTTTGGACCTCATCTGTTGAGCAAAATAATTTGAACTCTTTGCCAACACGTAAGGATTTTCTTGAAGAATCAGAAATTGAACTTGAAGATGAAATTCGCAATGAAATTGTAGATCATCTTCACCATTTAATCACATCTATTAATCAATATTTTCCATTCTTTAATGAAAAAAATAGTGACTGGGTTTGAAATCCATTAATCCATTCCAGTTGTATAGCCTGCTGTTTTCTTTGTACTATAAAAATAAATATGCTTGGTAGTGTTAATTATAGTTGCCGTAGATGAAAACACAAGAGAATATCAGAGCAAGACATATCATTTTACATCAGTTGTAGCGGTGGAGGGCATGTTGTTGTAAATTGGCTGTTACAAATGACCCAAGGGAAAAGAGTAAATTAAGAACACAGGTTGTTTATTGCCACTGGAGGAGGACTCCCACGAGTTCAGTGACATTATCTACATTCCATAGTTTACAAAGATCAATTTTTCTGATTTAAGAAAATGACATATTGTACTGTAAGACTATCCACAGAGATAATATAAAATGATGTGACTTTAAGGTAAAAGATCATCAATCAATAGAAAAATAAACTTTAAATATATTGTTCCTCAGGTATACTTGAGGAAAAATGAAACGTTATCTTAATTCAGAGAAACTCTAACAGTGGTATATCCAGACATGTTTCATGCTATTCATCAATCTGTGGCTCTTGCAATTCAGTCACCAAATGGGCTGGCAGAGTGCACTCTTATAGTGAGCTCCGGCACTGTGCATGGTAACTCGCAGCAACACTACTAACTGCTGGAGCTTGTGGTAGGAATAATATATCTCAACAAAGGTATAGGCTAGAACATGCTTTGCTTTGTCAGCCACATACATGAAGAGGAACCTAGTGCATTCATTTCAGCCATAGCTTGTTACCTGCAGCATACAGAGCTCAAGGGCAAGTTACGTGAAAACATCATTACAAATACTTAAAGGAATACTGTAGTGTCAGGAATACTAACTTGTATTCCTAACACTATAATGCTTGCATGCAGCCAGTGGTGTATCCTGGTTTTGTGCTGCCCTAGGCAGGACAAAACTCAGGCGCCCCCCTCCCCCCGCGCCACCCCCACCCAACCCTTCCCCCCGCCCCACCTTCTAAATACACACACACACAGTCAGACACATACACACACACACACACACAGTCAGACACATACACAAACACACACAGTCAGACACATACACAAACACACACACACACACAGTCAGACACATACACAGACACAGTCAGACACAAACACACACACACACACACACACACACATACACAGTCAGACACAAACACACACACACAGTCAGACACACACAGTCAGACACAAACACACACACAAACACACACAGACACACACAGTCACATACACACACACAGTCAGACACAACACAACACACACACACACACAGTCAGACACATACACAGACACAAACACAGTCAGACACAAACACACACACACACAGTCAGACACATACACAGACACAGACACAAACACACACACACACTCACAAACACACACAGTCAGACACAAACACACACACACATTAACTTTTTTTTTAAATTTAAATCCCCCCCCAACCTCCTTACCTTTGGGAGTGCTGGGGGGGGGGTCTCTCTCCCTGGTGGTCCAGTGGCTGCAGGGCGGGCGGCGCTGGCGGGCGGGCGGCCGGCGAGGGAGCACTTCCCATGAGCTGACTGCTCAGCTCCCTCGCGCGTCGGCTGCAGAGTGAGGCTGGGAACCGGAAGATGACGTCATCTTCCGGCTCCCAGCCTCACTTTGCGGTGCGCGAGGGAGCTGAGCAGTCAGCTCATGGGAAGTGCTCCCTCGCCGGCCGCCCGGGATGTCAGTTAGCCGCAAGGCTAACAAGGCATCTGCCCTGGGCATTTGGGGGGCGGCGTTTTTTGCCGCCCCCTGAAAAATGCCGCCCAAGGCAAATGCCTTGTTTGCCTCGCGGCTAATACGTCCCTGCATGCAGCATTAGGTCAGTGGCCCCCCTCTCTACGGAGATTAGAGGGACACTATAATCACCAGAACAACTACAGCTTATTGAATTAGTTCTGGTGTGTAGAATCATTACCTTCAGGCTTTTTGCTGTAAACACTGTCTTTTCAGAGAAAAAGCAATGTTTACATTACAGCCTAGTGATAACTTCACTGGCCACTCCTCAGATGGCTGTTAGAGATCCTTCCTGGGTCATGGCTGCCTAAAATGCATCCAAACATTCAGTGTCTCCACTCTCTGCATGTAGACACTGAATTTTCCTCATGGAGATTCATTGATTCAGTTCATCTCTATGAGGAGATGCTGATTGGCCAGGGCTGTGTTTGAATTGTGCTGGCTCTGCCCCTGATCTGCATCATTGTCAGTCTCAGCCAATTCTATGGGGAAGCATTGTGATTGGATCAGGTTACCACTTCTGCTGATGTCAGTGGACAGGTCTAAAGGAAACAGGGACTAAGTAAGCAGCTGCAGACTTGAATATTGAAATTTGAAATTTTACGATATTTAGGGAGGCATGAGGGGACCAGGGTGGCTAGATGGTGGTTTTCACCCTGTAGGGTCAGGGATACATTTTTGAGACACATGTAGAGTAGGGGGGACATGAGATGCATGGAGGGGCTTAGGGGTATTGAACATGTAGGGACTTGGGTCCTGGGGCACATTGAAGCACATGGAGGGGCTGTGGGCGAAGGAATGAGACACATGGAGGAGCTAGGGGCCTGTGGGGGGGGGAGGGATGAGACACATGGAGGGTTCAGGGATGAGTGAATGAGACACATTGAGGGACTGGGGCAAGGGAATGAGGTTTTCACATCTGGGCCCGGTGGTTTTTAGTTACACCTCTGCCCTTCCACTTGCAGGCTTGGCCTGCAAGAGAGAAGCACAGTACATTTATTGCCAGCATGCGGTGCATTTTGATAACAGACAAAAAATGTTTTGCACAGAATTTTCCTTTAGCAGTCCAGGACAGAGTTCCAGGTGGCCATAGTCACCTGTGCTGGTAATGTAACAATCCCCCAGCACAAAAGTACAAATTGATTCGGTGGCCATGGAGTGCCATTTGCCTCAGGATAAGGTAGAAAGCCTGCGCCGGGATGTGGCGGTGGCCCAGTGCTTGCGGAAGATACAGTTGTGCCAGCTGCAGTCTCTTTTTGAAATTGAATTTCACATTTCGTATCATGCCCATGGGTGGGTATTCAGCAGGTGCCTGGCAACAGCAACCGCTGGGGTGGCAGGGCCTAGTCATTTTATTCAGCTCACGCGGCAGTTGCGGGATGACCTGGCAGTCTGAGATTCCTTTCCTATTGGCAAGCGCCCAAGGTGTTCAGTTTGGATCTTCGTCTAATATGGACGCTGCGGATTCCATCACCTTTGGGGCAGTCTTGGGGTCGCGTTGGTGCGCTGATACTTGGCCGGATGCATGGTGCGTCTCAGGCCTGACTAGAAACCTTGCCTTCCTTGAGCTTTTCCCCATAGTGGTGGCGTTGGAATTGTGGGGTTTGGAATTGCGGGACTGGCGGATCGTTATTCATTGCGACAATCTAGGGGTTGTGCAAGCGATTAACCATCTCTCTGTCTCTTCTCCGTCGGTGGTCCGTTTGCTCCAGCGCTTAGTGCTATGGTGCTTGTGCCTCAATGTGTCATGTGGGCGGAGTTCCGGGTGGCTGCGCCTCACGCAGACGAGGAGGGTTACCCGTGTCCGTAGGTACGACAGGCTGATGGAATTGGTTCATTGATCAGTGTCTAGTTCCACTTGGGCCAGGTATTCAAAGGTATGAGCGGAATGGCACGAGCTTGAGTCGGAAGTAGGGGTCTTTCTGGATTCACCCGCTCGATTGCAAGGTCTGTTGCGGCTCTTGGAGAGTTAGGTTACTGCAAGCATGTCGCCTTTGGCAGTGTCCTCGTGCTTGTCTGGGCTGAGCTTCTGGTGCGGCAGGCGGGTCTGCGTAGGGGTCGGGTTTCTGTGGATAGGAGGCCGGTATCTGGTGCCTTCCTGGCACAGTTATGTGAGGTGCACCCGCAGGTGTGTTTCTTGGACTTTGAGGTACGGCTGTTTTGCCTCGCCTTTTAATTCGCTTTCTTTGGCACCGTGAGGATTGGGGAGTTGGTTGTCCAAACAGGTCAATCATTGGGGGATCCTTTTCTCTGATGTTCAGGAGGGGCAGGACCAGTTTACTTTAAGATTCGCTGCTCCAAGACTGACATGTTCGGGAAGGGTAAGTGGATTCAGCTGGCGGCAGTCCCTAGGTTGGCCACCTGCCTGGCCTTGTCTATTCTGAATTTTTGCACAGTATGCCCTGCACTGTCTGGTCTGCTACTGGTGCACGTGGATGGGAGCTTCTTCTCCCACTTTCAATTTGTCCACATTTTTCGTTTAGGATTGGCTGCGTTGAGCTTGGAGGGCGCGGAGTTTGGGGGGGGGCACTCTTTCCGAATTTTCACTGAGACACAGGCTTCTCGGCTGGGTGTGCCAGATCAAGAGGTGCAGAGGATAGGGAGGTGGGAATCCAGGAGGTTTGTTTCCCATGTGCCTCCTGCCTGTCTGCAAAGCTAAATGTTTTTCCTCCTCCGGTTCGGTTCCCCCCAGGGTTTGGTGGTTTGGTAATCCTACATCCACTGGGCACGTCAGCGGTCTGGCCGGGAGGGGAGCTTCTTGGTTTTACGCCTTTAACTGCGGAGGTTCGGTGGTTCGGCGCCGGGGCATGTGGTGGGTCCGGCTCCTTTCGTAATTGGTCAGGCTATCTCGCCTGCTATGGGCGCCGTATGTTTTGGTCATCCATCTGGGGGGCAATGACCTGGGGACCGTTCCAGTCGGGGGTTTGGTGGACATGGTCAAAAGTGACTTGTACCAGATATTGATCTTGTTCCCTGATGTCTGTATAATCTGGTCGGAAGTAGTGGCTAGGAACTATTTTGTCATGGGGGTTAAGGGTATCCCCATTCGCCATTAGGTCTTTGAAAAGGAGGCGGCAAATTTATTTAGACCGGATGGGGTACATTTGACTGAGGTCCGGTTCGACCTCTTTAATTTGGTGATCCAGAGGCGGTGGAACAGGTTGTTTGGGTGGGTCCCCCAGCTAATTTTAGGTGTAAAACAGCGGGGTTTGTGGTGGGGGGCATGTCCTTTCCAAATAGGGTGGGAGATGGTTTGCAGGTAGATGAGTAAGGGGATAATGGCCGGGTCTCATCCTCCCCTGTCTCTTATGCTCCCAAGTTGGACGTGTCCCCACTGAGTTCAAAGACGGCTGGTGGGAAGCCCAGAATGGAAGAGGAATTTCTTATGCCGAGTGGGAACGTTTTGGTTACATTACTGTATGACATTATGCAACGTTATTTATATGTTAATTTATGATTGTTTTATTATGTGCAGTTTTATACATTTACATGCGTTATACAGTATTTGGTTGTTTTAATAAATGCTGTGGCCTGTTATATCCAGGTTTTAGTATCTGTTGTTATTTGGGGAATCCATGGTTGGTTTGAGGGGAAAACAGGCTGCTCACGGTATAGCGAGTAGGGGCATAATTTACTAATATTAAGTAATCTTTACTTAGTATTAGTAAATTTGGCTGAAAGACCAATTCAGGTCTTTCAGCCTTTTAGTAGATAGCTCCCTAATACTGTGGGAATTAGGGAGTTATCTACTTATTCATTCCTGTCATTACATGACTGGCCAAGTAATTTAAATTTTAAATGAATGTGTGTTACTTGATTGTTGTAAGTGTTGCAAAATGCAACATGCTTACAGCTGAATCCTGGCTATGTTTGTATACTTTTTATTTAAAATTGTATACAATGTAACATTCTTCTTTCACTGGGTAAGTATATTAGTACTTAGGCAATACTGTGCTTCGGAACTTCGGCACTTTGACACCTCGGAACTTCGGCAACTTCGGCACTTCAGCAATTTGGTACTTTGGCACTACTACACTTCGGAAATTCAGTAATTTCGGCACTTCGGGACTTCGGCAATTCGGCACTTCTGCACTTCAGCTATTCGGACATTCGGAATCACCCGAATGTCCAAATTACCCGAAATTCTGAAAAAAATGAATTTGGGCCGAAACGATTTGCACATGTCTATTTCACATGCTGTTGTGCAAATGGGATAGACAACAGGTGGAAATTATAGGCAATTAGCAAGACTCCCACAATAAAGGAGTGGGTCTGCAGGTGGTGACCACAGACCACTTCTCAGTTCCTATGCTTCCTGGCTGATGTTTTGGTCACTTTTGAATGCTGGTGGTGCTTTTACTCTAGTGGCAGCATGAGACGGAGTCTACAACCCACACAGCTCATCCAGGATGGCACATCAATGCAAGCTGTGGCAAGAAGGTTTGCTGTGTCTGTCAGCATAGTGTCAAGAGCATGGAGGCGCTACCAGGAGACAGGCCAGTACATCAGGAGACGTGGAGGAGGCCATAGGAGGGCAACAACCCAGCAGCAGGACCGCTATCTCCGCCTTTGTGCAGGGAGGAACAGGAGGAGCACTGCCAGAGCCCTGCAAAATGACTTTCAGCAGGCCACAAATGTGCATGTGTCTGCTCAAATGGTCAGAAACAGACTCCATGAGGGTTGTATGAGGGCCCGACGTCCACAAGTGGGGGTTGTGCTTACAGCCCAACACCGTGCAGTACATTTGGCATTTGCCAGAGAACACCGAGACTGGCAAATTCGCCACTGCCGCCCTGTGCTCTTCACAGATAAAAGCAGGTTCACACTGAGCACATGTGACAGACGTGACAGAGTCTGGAGAAGCTGTGGAGAACGTTCTGCTGCCCGCAACATCCTCCAGCATGACCGGTTTGGCAGTGGGTCAGTAATGGTGTGGGGTGGCATTTTTTGGGGGGGCCGCACAGCCCTCCATGTGCTCGCCAGAGGTAGCCTGACTGCCATTAGGTACCGAGATGAGATCCTCAGACTCCGTGTGAGACCATATGCTGGTGCGGATGGCCCTGGGTTCCTCCTAATGCAAGACAATGCTAGACCTCATGTGGCTGGAGTGTGTCAGCAGTTCCTGCAAGATGAAGGAATTGATGCTATGGACTGGCCCGCCCGTTCTACAGATCTGAATCCAATTGAGCACATCTGGGACATCATGTCTCGCTCCATCCACCAACGTCACGTTGCACCACAGACTGTCCAGGAGTTGGCAGATGCTTTAGTCCAGGTCTGGGAGGAGATCCCTCAGGAGACCATCCGCCACCTCATCAGGAGTATGCACAGGCATTGTAGGAAGGTCATACAGGCACTTGGAGGCCACACACACTACTGAGCCTCATTTTGACTTGTTTTAAGGACATTACATCAAAGTTGGATCTGCCTGTAGTGTGTTTTTCCACTTTGATTTTGAGTGTGACTCCAAATCCAGACCTCCATGGATTGAAAAATTTGATTTCCATTTTTAAATTTTTGTGTGATTTTGTTGTCAGCACATTCAACTATGTAAAGAACAAAGTATTTCAGGAGAAAATGTAATTCATTCAGATCTAGGATGTGTTATTTTTGTGTTCCTTTTATTTTTTTGAGCAGTGTAGTTAAAGGAACACTAGAGGCACCCAGACCACTTCATCTGATTTAGGTGGTCTGGGTATAGTGTCCCTGTTCCCTTAGTCCTGCGATGTAAGACATTGCTGTTTTGTAGAAACTGCAATGTTTGAATTGCTGTGTTAAGATTGCCTTTACTAGACAGACACTATTAGAGGCACTTCCTGCAGTTTCACAAAGTTTGCCTCCTTGAAATGACGCTCTGCGACCTCACGCTTTGCATGAGGAAATCCAACGTCAAGCAAAATCCCATAGGGTGAATTAATGATTTTCTACGTGGATAGCCGAATTAAAGCACGGCACTCACCACACATGCTCATTAGGTTCCTCCTCATTGGCTGACGTCAGCGGAGTAGGAGCGTGACCCAGCACTGAGGGAAATCACAGCTGGAATCAGGTAAGTGTTTAAAGGTTGTTGTTTTTTTACCCTTTCCTGGATGGGCGAGGGGTCAGAGTTACACTATAGTGTTAGGAATACATATTTGTATTCGTAACAGTAAAGTGCTCCTTTGAAAGTTTAGAACAAACTTTTCTGGAAATTATACTACTGATTAAAACACTGCAAATCGCAAATGCCACGTGTCAACCTTTTTTCATGTGGTGCTCCATTTTCCTTTAAAATTAGTCATAAAGCTTCAGCAAGTGACATCAAAATCCAATTCAGTTCAGGCACAGCATGGGCTCACAATGAGGAGGAGAACAGAAACATTGCGTGTTAAATGTATCTGGTCTAAAAAGTAGCGCAAACATGGGAAAGGGGTGGAGTCAATAATGTAATGTGCGTGCTAGTTTCACTGGTTTCCATGGTAACACAATACCTTCCATAAACAAACTTCATAAGAATATAATTTAGAATGTGATTATAACAGAATTTATTTAAAAAGTATAATAGAATTATAACAAAGGAATTCTTCCATAAAGTTGGCAAGTTGAATATGGAACAGTTTGGACAAAGTAATGGTCATAAAGAACACAGAATATAAAACTTGAAAAAACACATGCATTGACTAAACATTTGCATATATTTTCATTGGTTATCATTGCACTTCCACTTTAAATAAAGATAATATTTAAAGTATGTATTAAAAAAAAAAACCACAATGGAATGATGTGGATCAGTTAGTTTGCCATTTAATATTTACAGACACAGCAAAATATTTAAAGGGTTCTAAACATGTTTGAGGAGGCCTATTATAAAGCAAGCTTTGCTCAACTGGATACTAACTAAGGAGTACAATACTTTTGTTAAAGGACCACTATAGTGCCAGGTAAACAAACTAGTTTTCCTGACACTACAGGGTCTTTAGGTCCCCGTCAATGATAACGCAATGCTTTCTTATGGACGTCAGCGTCGTCTCACTTTGATTTTCACAGTGAGAAGAGCGGAAGCGCCTCTAGTGGCTGTCAATGAGACAGCCACTAGAGGCTGGATTAACCCTAATGTAAACATAGCAGTTTCTCTGAAACTATGTTTACAGCTGCAGGGTTAATCCTAGATGGACCTGGCACCCAGACCACTTCATTGAGCTGAAGTGGTCTGGGTGCCTATAGTGGTCCTTTAATATTTTCTAAATACATGTAAACATATATCATAGAGATTATAGATTAAGAAAAAGTCTTATTTACAGAAAATTTTGCATCTGTACATTATGTGGGGAGGTGAAAACCCCTATAAAGCGTAAATGACTGAAATTGCATCCATTTGACTCATTTGGATGTAGGAAATTAAATCACTTTTGTTTCTATTTATGCAGACCCGGACATACCTCCCTTGGCTGTGACTGACACAGCCTGCATTAAAACACTATACCCAGACCGCCATTTGCAAAAGTAGACAACCCAGGGTATTGCAAATGGGGTATGTCCAGTAATTTTTAGTAGCCACTTAGTCACAAACACTGGCCAAATATTAGTTTTTTGCTTTTTTCACACAAAAACAAATATGAACTCTAACTTTGGCCAGTGTTTGTGACTAAATGGCTTCTAAAAAAGACTGGACATACCCCATTTGCAATACCTTGGGTTGTCTACTTTTGCAAATGGTATGCCATCATGGGGGTAATTCCCATTCCTGGGCTACCACACGGTCTCAAAGGTAACATTACTAATCTGGCAAATTTCAATTTGAAAAAAACGGAAAAATTGAATGTGCTATATTTGACCCTGTAACTTTCCAAAACACCGTAACAACTGTTAATGGGGGGTACTGTTGTACTTGTGAGACTTTGCTGAATCCAAATATGTGTTTTTTTGCAGTTAAAGCTAACATTATTATGACATTTACAGCTAAAATGTCTACAATTTTTTTTAAAATCTTAATTTCTCACAGTTTTTTTAAATTTATTCATAATAAATTATGTTTCAATTATGAATAGTTCATAAGAAATTAAAGCCCAGTTTCTCCTGAAGAAAATGATATATAATAAGTGTGGGTGCACTTAATATGAAAGAGGTGAATTATGGTTGAACAGACATAAAGCGCAAATTCCAGATTTTGTTTTGATCAGAACGTGCACTATTGACTCCGTCCTGAAGGGGTTAAAAGTTTTTATCTCCTGCTTGCAAATTTAAATTAAATTACATACAGAAGACTCCTGCAGGGCATAGCAAGCCTTTACCAGAGCAGGAGATAAGAAATTATCTACTGTCATTAGCCATAGGATGTGCCATTTTACAGTGCACCTGCTTTTCTACTTGCTTTTGTATCACACAGCCATGTTACAATGCTGCCGCCAAGCCCATGGGAAAATAAGTGTGTAGGGGTTTAGAAAAATACCCCTTTTATAGTTGAAAACATCAAGGTGAATTGTTAATGTAGGACTTACCTAAGAGGATTTGCCTTGATGTGGCAGGTGAGCTTACACTTAAATGGCCATTGGGGTAATACTAAAAACCTCCAGTTCTTTATATGTGCATAGGGATTTGGGCTAGTGCACAGGTAACTGCTCTCTTTTGATTACATGAAAAGTTGGGCAAAGTTCCATAAATCAGCAATCACCAAAGAAACAAATAGAATATTTATTTGTATTGGTATACTTCTATAACCTTGTCCAATAGTAACAGAATGTTATACTTCCAGCTGTACTTTTAAAGTACCATTAAATGCACCCAGATCACTTCCTCTAAAGTAAAAAAAAAAAAAGGCCTGGTTGGAGGGCAAGTGGTCCTGTGGTTTTAGCCCTGTAATGTAAAACACTGCAGCTTTATCAAAATGCTTACATTGCAAGATTAAACACACCTATAGTGGCTGTCTTACGGAGAGCTACCAGAGGCGCTTCCTGTACAACAACTGAGTGAAACTCGTTTATGTGACCAAATACAGCTCATAGGAAAACACCGAATTCAGTGCTTTCCTATAAGAAGCATTTGATTTGATACATGTGGCACTTGCCATGCATACCAATCTCATTTCCAATGTTCGTCTATGAGGAGTACTGGATTGAACGATCAGTGAGGAAGTTAAACGGGTTTTATTTGTACTACTTTTTATTGCACTAAATCAAATTAGGGACTAGGGCACTATGACGTTGGGAATACAGGTTTGTATTCATAATGCTGTTAAGTGTCCTGCTGTCTCATCCTTTCTCGATGTAGTAACAAGTCTGGAATTCACTTGAACTTTATTCACAAATACCTACATTAAGCCAGAAGGATTATGTTTAAGAACAGCAGAGTGAAAGAGAAACACATGTGGCAGTTACAAAAGTGTTTAATCAATGGAACCCATTGTTGTGTTAGTTCTAGAAATGATTAACCAATAATGTTGTAACATATGCCATTAGTCAGTGTAACTTATAAATTCCTATGATTTGCAGTTATAGTAAAACATTGGGTGCCATTAAATGGACACTGTAGGCACGATCACCATTACATTTTATTAAATCGGATACTGTGCCTGGATTCCCTTCATGTTGTCCTTCCATTTAGTGTTAAACAATTTTCAAGCAATTTAATATGGAATAAACACCCACAGCCACCCACGTCCTGACTCACCCTGGAGGCATGGCTAAAGCAGAAATGACACTCTTCTTTAAAGGGACACTATAGTCACCAAAACAATTACAGCTGAATGTAGTTGTTCTGGTGTCTATAGCCTGTCACTGCACACTTTTTTACATTCATGCCTGGGGACACCTCCAGTCGCAGTCACTCAGAGGCACTGAACGTTCCCCACAGAGATGCATTGAGTCAATGAATCTCTATGAGGAGATACTGACTGGCCAGTTTGCCATTTTGCTCTGCCCCCTGCCTTGGCAATGCTTTTCCTATAGGAAAACATTGGATTGGATGAGTGTCAGTTTTGATGATCAGGGACAGGGACGGGACCGGAGCCAGTGAACCCTTGCAGCTCTGGAAAAAAGTTGATTTTTTTTCTACTTTTTTAAGGGGGGCCAGAGAGCAAACATATTTTTTTTAACACTATAGGTTCAGGAATACACTTTGTGTTCCTGACCCTGTAGTGTTCCTTTAACCATATCAATTCATATCAGCAATAGTTGGCATTTAATGTAATTTACTAAATCTTTTATATATTTAAAAGAACACTAAGCATCTCATGAAAAAAAGTTAATACAAGTTGAAGCTGAGTTTCTGTAATTTATTTAATGGTGTAAATGTCACAAAAGTGACAGTTCAATAGTGCCATCAATCATTTTACCCCCATCAATCATCTCTTTTTTTGGGAAACAGGGGCATAACTTTGAACCTCACAGCAAACACGTGTGCCCATCGTGCTAGTCATTTGCCCTGTTATATGAGAGTGGGGGCATGTCATGGTATATCCTTGCATTTTTATGTCATGTCCCATCCTTTCTACCCATGTACAGCGTGTTGTGGTTTCATGCTTTCTGGGGTCTCAAGTAAAAGCACAGCCAGTATAACAAGCATAGGCCCAGGTATCAATGTGATTGCCACACTACCTGATGGAGGGGTGAGCAGCAAAGTTCTGTTCCCCAACTGCCCAACACGCCCCGCTGACATTCATTTAGGGGACAATACACCTGCACCTGAGTAGCCTGGTGGAGCACTATCCTGCTGATGTTTCTTTTTATAATAGGCGACTGATTTTAAAAATGCCTGCCTGATATAAAATTAAAAAAAAGAAAAACACTAATATCCTCCTGCCCCTTCCACCAGCTGTAGAGATTTGTGGCTAAAGAGCAAAACACTCGGGGCTTCAAAGCCGCTCCCCCATCAACACGTGTGAAATGTACTTGTTTTTTTTTTTTTTTTATACTGAGTCTTTGATCATTCAGTTCCAGTTATTGAATAAAACACAGAAGCTCCATTAAAGGGACACTCCAGGCACCCAGACCACTTCTGTCCATTGGAGTGATCTGGATGCCAACTCCCATCACCCTTAACCCTGCAAGTGTATTTATTGCAGTTTTGTATAAACTGCAATAATTACCTTGCAGGGTTAAGTCCTGCTCTAGTGGCTGTCTATCAGATATAATTATGCTGACACTCCAAGCCAATCAATAGCTCTCCATTCATAAAAAAGGTATGTTTCATTGTTATCAATGGAGAGCTGGTGGGGAAATAAATACCAGGAGCCTGTATTCCAGTCAGCCTTACCTGGAGCCTGTATTCCAGTCAGCCTTAGTAGCAGTCCTGCAGGAGTAGTTTTAGAGAGTGTAAAACTCAGTCCCAACTCTTCCCTTATGCTCGCTAGTAAAATTTGACTCAGGAAATGCTTTGAAGGAAGAACATGCTGTGAGTGATGCACTATATAACAACTCCTGCAACTCTAATATCCTCATTCTGACTGGTCTAGAAAAGACATAGGAGGGTGAGAACTTTGCAAATAACCACTCAAACACCAGCACTCCGAGCCTAAACCTGAAAATAAACCCAGGGCCGGCGTGTCCTATAGGCGACTTAGGCAGTTGCCTAGGGCGTACCAGCCCGGAGGGAGCAAGTTTCAAGTGACCCTGCAGGAGGGAAGAGCACAGCACTCCCTCTTGCCAGTCACTTAGTGTAGCGTGGCCGGGCGCCGTGGACCACGGTACAGGAGCTTCTGTTTCCTGTACATGGCCGGACTGAAAGGATGTGCGCACTGAGTGAGTCGCCCGGCCACGCTACAAAGAGGTGGGGGGGGAGTGTAGACTGGCTGTTGGGGGCAGGGGACAGGATCAGGAGGACTGGCTGTTGGGTGCAGGGGAAAGGGATCAGAAGGACTGGCTTTTGGGTGTAGTTTGTAGGGCTCAGCGTCTTAGTATGTCTTATGTGCAGAAGGCAGGGCTTTGGGACTCTACCTTGAGAGTAGTGGATTTGGCTTGAGTCTGTCCCAACAGCAGGAACATGGCCTTGGAGAATTCCTGTGTGCGTGGTATGTAAAAAGTTTAAGTGGGGAGAGACAAGTAAGAAAAAGATGGAGGGGAGAACTCTAAGGGGGTGGGGGAGGAAGAGCACTATGGGATCGGGGGGCAGGGAAGAGCACTATAGGGTGTGGGGGGGCAGGGAAGATCAAGGGGAAAGGGGAGAACACTAAGGGACAGGAGGGGAGGGGAGACCTCTAAGGGACAAGGGGAGAAGAGGAGATGAGACCACGGGAGGGAGTGTAAAAGATCATCAAGGATCTAACACACAGACACACCGAAACATATAAGGCATCGTACACTCAAACAGAAACACACCATGCATCCCTTACATACACAAACACAAAATGCATACCTCACACACACACAATGCCACAGCCATTGCACACATACGCAGAAGCACACAAAGTATCCCTTACACACATACTGCATACCTTACATCCCTCCTGTCCCTTAGTGCTCACTCACTGCACCCTTCCTTTCAGTCTGTCCAGGTACAGGAAACAGAAGCTCCTGTACCATGATCTGTCCCACACAATGCATCTCTTACACACATGCAATGCACTCCTTACAGACACACACTCTTCATTACATTACATTACATACATACACAGAAACACACACCTTGCATCCCTTACACATACAAACACAGATTCAGACAATGCATCCCTTACACACACACAGAAACACATAATGCATTCCTTACACACAAACACACAATACATCCCTTACACAAACTGGTATCCCTATACACTACATTCCATAAGAACACACACACACACACACATTACATCCTCTACAATAACAAATAACACATCCCCTACACACATACACTCCACTCCCTGTGAGCAAACTCATGGGTGGGCCTTGTATGAATACTCACGTTCACTAAAACACTAGGGACACTGGCTGGTAGACATAGGGACACTGAGAGACATGGGGACTCTTAGACACTGGTGGGAGACATGTGGATATTGGGATACATGGGGACACATACATTTGGGGACACTCTGAGACATGGAGACACTGGGATACATGGGGACACATACATTTGGGGACACTCGAAGACATGGGGACACTGGGAGACATGGAGACACTGAGAGACATGGGGACACAGACACTGGGATACTAGGGGACACTGGGGACACTGGGAGCCATGTGCACACTGAGACACTAGGGACACTGGGAGACATCGAGACACTGTGTCCCTAGTGTCTCCGTGTCCCAATGTGTCTCCCTGTGTCTCACAGCGTCCCCTTGTGTCTCAGCGTCCCCATGTCTCACAGTGTCCCCTAGTATCTCAGTGTCCCCATGTTTCCCAGTGTCCCTAAGTGTCTCAGTGTCCCCACATCTCCCAGTGTCCCCTAGTGTCTTAGTGTCCCCATGTCTCCCTGCTGCCTTTCCCCCATCCTTCACATACCTGAGCTGTAGTCTGTCTCTGCAGGCTGGGAGCTGCTGTCTGGACTCTCAGTGCTGCGTAGCTGCTCCCCTGTGGATCAGTGAGTAGAGAGAGGAAGGGAGATGCTGTAACTTTCTATCCCTGCCTCTCTCCATACACAGTGGCCCCTGCTGGCCGGTGCTGGTATTGCAGAGTAATCTCCGTTAATACTAAGAAAAATATTTGCATTTGTATTGCCGGTATTACTGCAATAACATCACGGCCAGACAGCCTCAAATACCGACTGTGCCTTAAAATACCAGTCAGGTGGCAAACCTAAGAGTAGTGTGTAAAAAAAAAATATATATATATAATTTTTTTTATGGGCCTATTCAATTGGCCTGGGCCTGGAGCTGCAGCTCCATCAGCAACTATGTTAATCCGGCCCTGGTTCTAGTGTCTATAGCCTGTCCCTGCAGGCTTTTTAATGTAAACACACTGCCTGTTCAGAGAAAAGACATTGTGTGCAGCACTGGCGTTGGCTCATATGGCAGATCATATGGGTGGGGCATTGTGATGTCACATGGTGCCACTGCTGCCTGCCTCAGGGGTCCCTGACATTTGCCAGGGCGATTGGGGGCAGCTTTTTTTGCCGCCCCTTAAGAAAGTGCCACCCAAGGCAAATGCCTTGTCAGCCTCGCAGTAAATACACCGCTGGTTGCAGCTTATCCAGAACTTAGAGAGCATTCCCCACAAAACAGTGGTGATACACATTTTGCTGGCTGAAAAAATCAGCATTGCCCACCATTGAAAGGGACTGACCCCCCCTCGATTAAGGAAGTTTGGGACAGAGTTCATACGGTTTGCCAATACGAACAAATGGCTTATAGGATCAGAGGCAGGGAATCACGCTTCTGGGGAGATTGGTTGGCAACCAAGAGCTGGTTGGCAACCAAGGTACAATAAATGAAAGCAAAAAATAAAAATAAAGTAAAATAAAATAAATACATCAAATTGAAAAAAAGTAAAAACAAAAACAAAAAAACTGGAGACAACCAGGGAGTCCCTATGAGTGCTGCCGTAGAGGACCGCTGCGAACCACATTGTCACCATGATGCTTCAATAGCAGGCTGACATTTTATTTATTTATTTATTTAATTTTTTTCTCTTTGTATCTTGAGTTAGATATTAAAATTGGGGAGACAAAGGGAAAAGAGTAAGAAGGGGAAAGAATGAAAAGGAAACACTAAGATTGTGCATAGGTTCAAAATATTATAGGTATTCACGTGTGTAAAACACTTTGAAGATCTATGTAACAAGACAAAAATAGAAATTATTTTCATTCCCTCCTTTGCGTTCTTGTTTTCTCTATCTCCTCTTTCCTGATTTCCCCATGATCTCCCATTTTTATTGCAAAGGGGTGGAAGGAGGGAAGAGAGGAAGAATTGAAGAAATATTGGGGACAGTAGAAAAGGACAGAAAAAATATACTCGAAAGAAAATCCAGCTGCCCACATCTTCATATATAGATGTATGAAGATTTAAAAGGCCTGGTTGCCCAGACAACGGACAGCCGTATCTTGATTTTCCAAATTAATTGGATATTAGTAGTATTCACTGCTATATGTATGGTTTTATATGTATGTATAAATGTTATATGTATGTTCTATGTAAACATTGTACAAAACAAATGTCCTTCTTTAATCCTTTTTTAGATAACAAATATTTTTAAAATTATTTCTATAAGTTTATTATAAGAGATTCAATACATGGATATATTTACTGATGTCTAATATTAGAAGGAACTTTGGTTTTTTTTGATATAACATTTGTCTAACATTTGATATCTTTACATGGGACATTATGATATATGTATGTATTTTCTTATGTTCAATAACAGATCTACCTCACCCATATTCAACTGTTAAAGGGACACTATAGTCACCAGAACAATTTGTGCTGGTGAGTAGAATCATTACCTTCAGGCTTTTTGCTGTAAACACTGTTTTTGTTCAGACAAAATGCAGTGTTTACATTACAGCCTAGTGATAACTTCACTGGCCACTCCTCAGATGGCTTTTAGAGATCCTTCCTGGGTCATGGCTGCCTAAAATGCATCCAAACATTTAGTATCTCCTCCCTCTGCATGCAGACACTGAACTTTCATCGTAGAGATTCATTTATTAAATTGACCTCTATGATAAGATGCTGATTGGCCGGGGCTGTGTTTGAATTGTACTGGCTCTGCTCCTGATCTGCCTCTTTGTCAGTCTCAGCCAATCCTATGGGGAAGCATTGTGATTGGATCAGGCTACCACTTCTGCTCATCTCAGCAGGCAGTGGGCAGGTCAAAAGGAAACAGGGGGGAAACAGCTCCAGACTTGAATACAAGTAAGATTTTACTATATTTACCATATTTAGGGAGGCATGAAGGGACTAGGGTGGCTAGTTTTAACCCTATAGGGTCCGGAATACTTGTTTGTGCTCCTGACCCAATAGTGCTCCTTTAATGTTTTTAATTATTTTGTTTTTAATTTTTGCTTTTCTCTCCTCCAGGCACCAATTATGGAACTCATGAGCAATTATTGGAACATTACCTAATTAAGAAGAGTGAGCACTTGAGAGGTACAAGGCAATGATGCCATTTAGTTCTGATATATAATCACACACTAACCATTCACCTTGCTTTCTTGAGCTTCTTAATAACCTTAGTAGGGATCACATGGGATGGGCAGCATCATCGTAACATAGCTGTGTGATACAAATGTGAATACAAATAAAAAAATACAAGCCCTGCCTTTAAACTCCCACTACTCTTTGGCGGCAGCAACGACCATAGTACACATCAGCCCCAATGCATACAGTAAAAACCAAATGCCAATGCCTTGACGTGGCAGGTGGGAATTTCCCTCTAATGGCCATTGGAGTAACTAATATGTTATATGTCATTTCCGGTTCAGCGCAAGTGAAGACAGGAGCATCAAGGGATCTGAAGTATGGTGGAGGAAATGTAAGAATTGTAAGAATTGAAGGTGGAACTTCCAGGGGACCCAGCTGTGGAAATTCATATGGATAGATGACACCATCGGAAGAACACCCGATTGGTCTAATACCCTTATAGCATTACAGACATTCAAAAGATGGAACCAGGAACTCTGCTACATACCAATTGAAAAACACATTTGTGAGGTAAAACGTGTCTTGGTGAAGAAGGAGGGTGATTTCCAGTACCATTACTATTTTTATTTGTAATTTTTAACTTAATGTTTATTTTTATGTGAATAAATAATCAGGATTTTTTTTAAGTACCCTACTTCCTATTCATCTTTGTTCCTGATTCCAGACAGGAGTATCAACCCTAGATCTGACACTACACTTGGAAAATTAGAACCAGTTACAAAAAGGTTCTTAAAAGGGTGAGCACAATAATTATTGTGAGGATATTGTGTGCTACTTTGTACACAAGACCAAAGGTGTTGCACCCAGATCTTCTCTCTATTTATTTTCTTACAACTTGTGAGGATACACTTGGAGAAAACTACTGAAGAAAAGGTCCTAGTGTCACCTTAAGAGCACGGAAGCCCTAAAGTTTAGAGCCTATTATAACTAAAGGCTCTAATAAATGTGAGTTTTATGCACATATAAATTAAAATTCAAACTGTGAAACTATATCACATTATTATATTTTCTTTCGTAAAAAACAATTGAGGGGGTAAGTGTTTTTTTAAAGGGGCTCTCCAGTACCTGCAGTGCCCCTCTCCCTCCCACCCCCATCTCATGTTGCTGAAGGGGTGACTTACCTGAATCCAGCGCCGATGTCCCTCGGCGCTGGGTCAGGCTCTGCCCACACTCCTCCCCCGCCAACGTCAGCCAGCAGGAGAGACCTAATGCGCATATTCAATGCTTTCCTATGGGGATTCCGGCAAGGCTAGAGGTCCTCATGAATAGCGTGAGGTCGTCCAGCGTTGTTTAAAACACTTTCTGTGTTCTAAGAACACGGAAGTCCCTCTAGTGGCTGCCTGATAGACAGCCACTAGAGGAGGACTTAACCCTGCAAGGTAATTATTGCAGTTTATAAAAACTGCAATAATTACACTTGCAGGGTTAACAGTGGTGGGAGTTGGCACCCAGACCACTCCAATGGGCAGAAGTGGTCCTGTGCCTGGAGTGTCCCTTTAAGCATTGCACTCACACTTGGTTAAAACAGGTGAAGGGACAAATGACCTGAACTTTCTTTTACAAGGTTCTTTGTGGTTTTTATACTTGTGGTGTTTGGAGTACCCACAGAGTGTTTTGTGGCTATATAAGATTATTTTAATTTAAGCACCTTTTGTGTCACACTTAGTTGTTTTATTTGTTACACACATTGTGCTGCCTGAGAACAGCTCCCTGGTGTTCCCGGATGCTTAACACCAGAGAACTAAATCAGGACAGTGGGACAGGAGCCTGAAATCGGGAATATTGGGAGTCCTGATAGTAGGCAATATTTATTACAACTCATTTATATATGTATTTAGTAAATTTAATGTAGCACTCTTCACCAGTAGAAAAGGGAAACATAATCTGGACTTTATTTGGTGAAACATATCTGTTTATTTGAACAGAAAAGCCCTGAACAGAATGGCCAAAAAGACACAATAACACTTTTGTTTATACATACTTTGTTTAAAAATCAAGTATATTAAAGGCAAGCAGTTTTAGAACATAACAGAAAATGTTCCAGAAAAAAATAGCTATGTAAAAACCTTCACGATTCTGTTTCATTACTTATAAAAGGGTCTTTTGTTAGGACCATAATGGCATTGAATCTATTTGGCACTAGGGGGACAAGCAGTATATTGGCAGCAAGAGACTAATGACATTTTCAGTGAACAAAATGGACAGTCTCCCAATAGCTTGTTGTTGCAGTTTATTTGACATATTTTACAAGGTACTAAAGTGACTGATTGGCCCACCAACACACTTGGTCTTCCTATTGAAAAAAGCCAAATATTTGAAGAATGTCAGCACTAAGATCTTGCTGTAAATATCAATCAGCAAGGGAGGTCTTGCAGGAGATTTTGCAGTAATTTAAGAGCAGGTTTGATATTCCCTGTGGTTTTACAGACCACATTCTCCAAGTGATGCTTTTACAGAACGTGTTTGTTTGTGTTTTCCTGCTTTCAATTAATGCGATCCCTCTTTGAACTAATGGCACGTCATTCAACACAAGAAGAAGGGATCTGTTAAAATAATTTGGTTTAGGATATTTCAAGAGTAGATAAAACAAGAGTTTTTTGATGCTACTGTTAAAATCATATGCATAAACCATATTTATATTATAGATTAAACACACGTCTAGATCAGGCATTTGCATTATACGTTCTCGAACAGGAACAGCCTAAATGCATACCTCCCAATTGTAAGGGTTGCCGCGGTCTTACCTGCCTCCTCTGGCATTCTCCCTGATGCTACACGCGTGCTAAGCGTGTCCTTTTATTTATGCAAGCATTTTCATTCTGAATTCACATCCAAATGAAGCATTCGCCTATCCGAATTGGGTGTGCTCTGATGATGCCATGGATCAGGCTGACATGGTTTTTTCTACACACAAGTTATTTGGAACTCTAAAATGACGTTCTCCAACAGGTAACAGGCCCTTTCTATTTATACTCACCTGTCCTAGTCATAATTGTCCTGTTGAGGTTTTTATTAGCCCAATAGAGCTTTCTTGTAATCTCAACACAATTGGTATTTGCAGGGCCGGACTGGGAAAAAAATTTGGCCCGGGCATTTTTTAATCACAGCGGCCCACTAACAAGGGGGCGGGGCAGATGGGTTGTGTTTTGTCACCACCCAATGACAAGTACGCTCACTCTCATAGTGAGCATGTTGGTTCAATGCTCTTCCAGGGCAGACCATGTGCAGAGCTCTACTGAAGAGCTCTAGCATTAGAAAAAGTCCCTGTATTTGTTCTGCACAGTGCAAGCTAATTTAATAACATGCTTTTCTTGCAACTGGTCTAAGGTGTCTCTATAAATTGGATATTAGGAGACAAAAGGTCTAGCAAATAGTATTGTACAGTGTGTTTGGAGCTTGCTTGTGGGACTGCATGTGTGTAGAGTGAGCTGATTGTGGTGTGGTACTGTGTAATAAGGTCAATTTTAGTCGTGTTGTGTTTGTGGTGTAATGTAATGCATGTGTGGCTAGAAGCTGTAGAGTGTGTGTGTGTATAGGGGATGTATCAAGTGTGCATACGGGCTATAGTGTGTGTATGTGTGTATAGGTGATGTAGTGTTTGTAGGGGTTGTAGAGAGTGTGTGTTTAGGGAATGTAGTATGTGTTACACTAGTAATCTAGTGTGTGTGTGTATGGGGGATCCGGAGTGCATTTTCAGTTTAATTTGGGGAAACAACTTAAGCATTTGCTGTATTTCTCCATTAGAAATGTTTTGGCTTTCTTGTTATATTCTTATTATGTTAAACTGTCTGGTTTTGTTGCAAAACTAGTTTATGTGAATAAATATTAACAGCTGGGAGACAGTAAAATATTCAAGTAATTATTTCATATACCAATTACTAAAAAGGGAAAAAAAAACTCTTTGTGTACCTCCGTTTATTGCATTACCATCCAAGCCAAAGTAAAGGTATTAAAATTCTGACAGCTCATCACCATCTGGAATGAGAAGTTAGGACAAGGGCACATTGTTGTTGTTGTTGAAATGAGTTACAAATAAACATATATCATTATTTTCCACATCTTATATTTCACTTTTAGCTTTAATCAAGTGATGGTTCATTCAGCAGTGTAGATAATTCCACAATTCTGTACCAACTCAAAAGCTAAAAAATATATATTTTATTTACAGTGTTATAAATTATCTTTGAAGTAGAAGTAGGGTTTGGTTCTGCTTCAAACAATAAATAATTGTGCTCTTTCTAGGAGGTACTCCATCTAGTGATGTCTCTCCAAGCCCCAGGAAAACAAACAAGCTTACTTTACTCATCTCCTACCTGTTGTTCATAGGGGTTTAAGAAACATTTAAAATTCTTTGAAAAGCAGGATACCTATCAATGTTACATCAATGGAACTCAAGCTCTTATCTGCAATGCTTTTCTTAATACAAAAAAATGATACTGCACTCATAAATTGAAGATGAATCTCATTGCTACATTTAATAAATCATTGGTGAATTCATTATCTTACGTAAATATAATTCATTGGTGAAGTTATGTTTTAAAGTCTGAAAAATTGATAATATATACACGCTTAAATTGATAATATATACAAACAAGTTAATAGAAACAATACTTTATGGATCTCCTGTTATAACTTCATGTTAACCATAGGAGTCCCTGACCATGATACTAGATAGCTGTATTTGGCTATTCCAAAAGATTTGTTTTTCTTATACTGTGTTTCTATATATCTAATAAGTATAGCACCAAGAAATTACACAACAAAACATAGTCGACGGATTAAAAAAAAATAAAATAAAATAACAGCTGGTTTTGTAATCTTAGAATTTTGGATTTGCATTTTCTGTAAGGCAAATTAATTTATTTTCTCAAGGTGGCTATCTCTGACTTTTAACAGAGTGCTCTGAACAGGAGAAAATAGTGAGAAATTAGAAATGAACACAAAAAATAAAGAATTTTAAAATTTAAATCCTAAATTCTCATTCTGTGAACTTCTCAGAATGAACCAGGGATAACTCATTTAGAATCGAAGAAGTCAAATGTTTGAGAAATTACTTATGGAAGATTTAGAAAAAATGTATTTTAAAAAGAAAATAATACACAACATAACTAATGGTGAAATATAGGCAGATGAAGAGGTAGAAAACAATAAATTGGTGGTTATTAAACCGGCAACTAGGGTGGCGGGATAGTGATTTTAACGTAGGAAGCATAAAAAGCTGAGCATTTTAAACAATTACATGATGAAAGGGTATATAAAAAATGATTAAGTTATCCAATTATGGACATTACAAATATCTTACTAAACAATTAGACAGAGCAAAGATTTTGAACAATTTAGATAAAGATGCATATGATTATCTTTCCCCTGCTACCACTTGTCTCAAATCCCCACGGTATCCTTTAGATTGTAAGCTCACGGGCTATCTAGCTAAGCACTATGTATAAAAGAGCTTAAATGGCTAGACCTTACGGGAAGGGTCCTCTCTACCCTTTGTATTTGTCTGTGTATATTGTATGTTCTCCACTAATTGTACAGCACTGTGGAATCTGTTGGCGCTTTATAAATACCAGTAATAAATGAAAAATAAACATAATATTCAAAAACCTGAACTTTTTATATTCTACCGAAAATTCCTAAAGACCCTATGACTAAACCTGGACTCCCTATAATATCGGGGTTAGAGTTAATATCATCCCGCCTCTCTGAATACATAGATGTTTTCTTACAACAAACGGTAAAAAGAGGAAATCATATTTAAAAGATACAGGAGATGCCCACAGAATTATAAACAAATGTAAATAGGTACATTATCAATTTATAATAACTTGCAAAGTGAGTTCACTGTATAAGATTATTGAACCCATTTGGGTAGTCCCCGTTTTTTACCATTCTTGAAAATATCTGTGATTTCTGCCATTATTATATTTAGGCAGTCAGAATATCACATCTGATTTTAGAATTTATATTTACTAATTATAAAACTTTCTTAAAAATCTTGTGTTTTCTGTACTGACTTGTTAATGAACTCACAGCATTTTTTTACGAAACATTTACTTTTATACCGTTAGCCACCATAGTCTCTATTTTTCCATTTGTGTTGTGTTGGCAGTTGTGCCTCATTGCTAAAGTCTTCCACTCATTTTCCTAAGTACGTTGGCAACATTTATTATTTTTCAGCATTTTAATCAGTTTACGTGTGAACTAGTGACCATTACTTAATTTGCAGAATTTATAGAAGGCTGGGAAATATGCTATTACTTTTGAGTTACGAACTCTCGCTGTTTTAATAGAATCCATTATCATAGCTTTTCAAAGGCAGATTGAAATTGACTGGGTTATCCACTAAAGTGATCATTTAAAGTGAATTTCAAATTTAAGACCAAAATACTTGAACTGGAAGCATTGCTGGGAATTTTCAAGTGCTGATAATTTAACTTGAACTTTGAAAATCACTATGAATTCTCACTGTAGTGAATAACCCTCTGAGTGTTTGTAATCACGGATGTCCAATTGGAAATTGTCATCCCCACATGTCCATTTGTAGGTATTTCTTGAGTAAGAGCAGGACTAATATTAAGTTCAAAAAGGCCGATAAGTTGTTTTGGGTGTCCCTTTAAACAGGCTTTTGGGGAGAGATAAGTGCCAGGAGCCTTGGCCAGTGTCTATGTAGTCCAGTCAGCCTTGATAGCAGAGCTGTAGCTTTAGAGGTGTTAAATTCAGTGCTGTCCCAGCTCCTCCACTGTGTGTGTGTGAGGCTGGACAGGAAGTGGAAGGGATCACTTCCCATCTGCCCACTAGCAGCCGCTCACACAGGAAATAAATTGCTGTAGTAGCAAGACCAGAATTGAATGATGCACACTGTTTGACTTCTGCAGCTATAATATCATTAATCTGACAACATAGGCAGGTGAGTACTTTGCAAATAACCCTGCAAACCCCAGCACTCAAAGTCTAAACCTGAAAATAAACTCTTTACTTTACTCCTCAATTCGTCTTAAAAACTAAAGATATTAGGTATGTTAACAATAAATGTAACCTAATTATAGCCTTAAATTCAATAATCCTGAAACACCCTCTGTACCCAAAGGTTAAATTTAACCCCACTCTTACCCTAAATAGCCTTTATACTACATCTTTACTTTACCCCTCTCAAGCTGTTAACCTTCTTAACACAAAACACTCTGTGTAATCTAATTCTGGTGTTTACCCTTCTGTAAACTAATTACTTCTAACATTATTTTTAACCATGCATACATTTATGCAACTGCATACACTTAATATATTCACAATGCATTAAAAGCACATGCATACATTTATACATATACAGTTTTCAACTCTGAATATGTTTTAGCTGGTTTTAGACCTACAATGTCCAGTTAATAAATTCATTATGCTTATTTATATGCCTTTTTGGGTTGGGGAGCAGGGAGCAGGGAGCGGGGAGCAGGGAGCGCCTTAATATGTTGTGGCTACAGGCAACTGAAATGTAAATCTGGAGCTGTATGAGAGCGATTGATTTATAATAGTTGAGGTGAGAAATGCTCAACGCATAAATAAGTGCCTTACCTAACTTAGTTTCATGTTCGATTGGAGCAAGTTAAAACAACATTCTCAAAATGGAAGTTACAGGATTTGGAGATGCATACATTTTTGTCTTTGGGTGCACACTATGCGTGAGACAATGCAGTAATAATAAAGCATTCTTAAAGGACCACTATAGTGCCAGGAAAACATACTCATTTTCCTGGCACTATAGTGCCCTGAGGGTGCCCCCACCCTCAGGGACCCCCTCCCGCCCGGCTCTGGAAAGGGGAAAGGGGTTTATACTTACCTTTTTCCAGTGCTGGGCGGAGAGCTCTCCTCCTTCTCTCCTCCTCCGTTCCGCCCCGTCGGCTGAATGCACACGTGCGGCAAGAGCTGCGAGCGCATTCAGCCGGTCACATAGGAAAGCATTCATAATGCTTTCCTATGGACGCTGGCGTGCTCTCACTGTGAAAATCACAGTGAGAAGCACGCAAGCGCCTCTAGTGGCTGTCAATGAGACAGCCACTAGAGGATTAGGGGGAAGGCTTAAGCCATTAATAAACATAGCAGTTTCTCTGAAACTGCTATGTTTATTTAAAAATGGGTTAACCCTAGCTGGACCTGGCACCCAGACCACTTCATTAAGCTGAAGTGGTCTGGGTGCCTAGAGTGGTCCTTTAAAGGAAAATATAGCTGGATATCAGTAGGACCTTGTATCGATTAACTCTCAAGGTTCTGAGGGGCTAGTGAGTGAGCATTAGCTTGTGAGCGAGCAGTAGGGGTAGAATTTGGAGACGTTGAAATGAGGTATATAGACCACATAGGGTCACAGACATTTCTTATGAAAAGCCTCTCCTCTTACTGCTCTTAGGCTTTTTTTTTTTTTGTAGTAGATTCTATTTTCTCTCTACTAGAGACAATTTGTAACTATACATTGTTACCAGTTACAGAGATCATGGTACTCTTTTACGATGTAACTTTTGTGTATGTTTTTTCTAATATAAAGTAATACTAATATTAAGCAACAGAATACCAGTAGATAGAATTGGCTATGAATTTGTACAGTTAGTTTCTCCCTCAGCTGATTCCTTTAACAAATATGATGATAGCTTTTTTTTTTATATATTAAAAGGGCAAAATCCCTTTGTAGTATAAACATTTGGTTTTGTGTTTCTTTTTTTTGCTTTTTGTTTGCGATCTTGAGTTTAAATTTTTAAACATTATAATAAAGTATTTTTAAAAGTTAAGAATTCTCCCTATATCCCTCCTTTACTTTGGGATCGGGGGTGGTTGGGGTTGTTGTTGTTCTCTACAATATTTGTAGTTGGCCAAGGCCTCTTGGTATATATAGGTTAACCCATTGTGGCATACAGCAGACCAAACATACAAAAATAATACATCAGCAGGACACTCAACAGGTTCTTGTAAAAATAAAATATTGATTTATTATATATAAATGTCAACTGGTTATTTTAGTATGTAATGCTGCATAAAATATTGGAGTAACCTCTTCGGATTGTCTTGTCTCAGGGACACATGTTCTTAATCAACCATTGTGAAAGCGCATATTACATTCCATATATCCTGATTGAATTATTTTGCTTACTTCAAATAAAAACTCTGTGTCTGTTGCGCCCATATGTGTCATACATAGTTATCACAGTGTTGATAGTTCCGAATGAAACTTGAGAGGAATAAATCTGAAAGATCGCAATGTCTTGTGCTATGCAGAGATTCCAATTACTCCTTTTAGATGAATTTGTTTTAAATATGCAAAGCATTGGTGCTGCAGAATTAATTAACTGATAAATGAAAGGTAATTGTGGAAAAGTTCACCAAGCACCTTATTCTCAGTGACACATATGTCGTTTAGACAAATGTGTTTATACACAGCAGCAGATAATGTTTCATCGGCATTGTACATAACAGAAGAATGCACTAACTACTCATATTTTATTTGTCTTGTCTTTTATGTTTCAATCTCTAATCTTATATGGTTTACAAAGCACGGAACCAATGGAAAGTGAAAATTATTCTTCCCTGAAAATCCTGTTTTTAATTAAGCTATAAATAAAAACACCAAATATAATGTTAATCAGGTTCAAGTTGTATGATTAAATTAGGGGACTGACAAAGGTGGTTGATTCTCTGTCTGAACCAGTGTTTTACTTTTACTAACTTCTGATTACAATACATTGTTTATTGTAAACTGATGTGTGATTATTAATCATCATAAGTATGCAAAATAGTAGCTGGATCTGTGTTAAAATGCTAAATGTGAAATAAATTCCTAAGTTCTCATTGATGATCGTCATTTTTTTTAAATTTTATTCCAAAGTGAACATTAAAAATAACAGAATTTTTTTTTTTTTTATAGTGGAAGTTAAGGACTGTACCAGATGTTTTACAAAGAATGTTTGCAAAATGTATTTCAGGTTCCTTAGGGGAATTACAAACCAAACGGAATATAATGAGGAAATAGCTTTGGCTCCTGAACAACTCCAAATTTTCCAACACAAGTTTCATGCCCAACCTGCCAAGCTGCTACTGAGTAGACGTAGGCAACTTCACTAGAAGGTAAACAAAGATATCAAAGGCAGTTTATAAATGGTACATCAGATGAAAAATGGTATTAAATATTAAACATGTTCTTCGGTTCCAGAGTGATTGCCTACCCTTCAAACACAATATTTATATGGTGCATCAACAAGGTAAATCCACCTTTCATAAACAATCTGTGGTGAGAAAGAGAGAAAAAATAGAAAGGGTAGAAATACCTAATGACGTATTAAATGATTATAGGAGGAAATGATGAATAGCAATGTTTCTTTCTCATGATAGGAGAAGGAAAGGGCATCTTTTCTTTCGGTAGATGAAGGAAAATATTCACAATTAATTACTTTTAATGCACATACAAGTGTACCCCTGTAAGAAGCTAACTACAAACTAGTCTCCAGCTAGTACAATACACCAGCCAAGCTCCACACGTTTAGACACTCTCACCCACTTGTTGGAGATGCTGGCAGGTAAATGGCACATTAAAACACATCTGGTGGTCATGTCCACTGATACATACATTCTTGGAACAAGTGGAGACAATGATTAGAAAGATAACTGGCTATAAACTCATATGTACGCCTAAAACAGTGTTACTACACCTCACCAATATAGCGCTAAAAAAATACAAACACTCCCTGATTTACTTCCAAGGCAGTCGTGGCTGGAACGTGGAAGAGCACACAGCCACCTTCCCTGGTAACTTGGCTGGCAAAACTGGAACAACCGAGCATTGGAGGAACTAAGATGGGCTTCAATACACCAACTCTACGAATATAGGATCATTTGGCAACCATGGCTGATACATGTAGGAAACAGGGTGGAGGGTACTGAATAATAGTTTACACACTAATCACAACATACAAAATAGTTCCGAATCATAGATATGACTTAACAGCACCTAAGATCCCTTTATAGATCTCACCTAGACGAAGCATCAGGAAATGTCACACAGCTGAGGATCACCATAAATTCACCAAGGATCCATATTGATCATATTTGTTCTGCGCAACATTGGAATATTGGTGCCTATTTAATCACTCAGGAGTGGCCCAAGAAGGCACTCATGGAAGTGCGGATTTAATCTAATGGAGGCGAGACAAATTAATGTAACTAAATAATCATTTTGTGCGAAGCATGTCTTACCTATGTTGATGTAAATTAATTTCAATGAGGTTCCTGTGTGGTGCATGTATCACTCTGTATGTTGCATTAATAATATGTTCTGCTTGACAGTACTCTTAATAAAAATATAATTAAAAGAAAAAAAAAAAAGTGGTGAGAGCACACTTGATAAGTTATGTATAAAATCACATATAGTTACCATATAAAATGAAAACACACATGCAATTTTTTACCATAAAACTTAATTTAAAAAAACTAAAATATAAAAATAATAGACCATAGTGTAATCTGTATACAATAAATATAAAAACAAACAAAAATGGTCCCACTCACATATTACTGAGCCACTTAATAGTAGGCTCAGACTTTCAGCACCTTTGATGGTAAATGTTGCTGAGATTAGGTAGGTAGGATTCCACAGGATACTGGATATGGAAATTCCAACACTTAATTTGTCACAATAAATAAAGGGTAACAAAAAGTAACCAGGAAAAATTAAACAAAACAAACAAAAATAAATATATATATATAAAAAACTTAAAGATGTACACTACACAAGAGCACGTGTGTACAAATTAGTCATAATACTGAAGATTTAATGTTACTATTAATGTTTTTATACCAGTGGGGGGATATATATATATATTTATTGTACATTTATTCATGTGTGTGTTAGCTTGAAAAAGAGCATTTAAGCCGAAATGTTGCAGACTGTTGGGTTTCTTTAAAGTTCGGCTCATCAATTTCCTGGAGTGACTGGACCTTTTTTCTCTTATTTCATCTGTAATTGAGACCTGGTGCTGTTTCCAGGTTATTGATTGCAGTTCTGGATTTGGTTGTTGGAATTCCAATACAGTCACAATATATACTAAGACATGGACTACTTTGTTTACACTTGACAAACAAAGCAGAGTTACCTTTTGTCAAACCCTCAGCCATCACTAGAGACTGCGATGTACAAAAAGCTCTGTCTGTGGAGACCCCCCAGATCGTGACAGAGCTTCCTGGCAATTCTCACTTTATGAATAACCCTGTACAATGATGGGGGTGGGGAGGGAGCAAAAACACTTGAATTGGAAAATATTGTTTGATTCTGTTCAAAACTTATACTATGCTCATGTGGATCATTCTCACACACATTTTCATTTAAAGACAGATTGTGTAGTTTCAAAACATCAGTTTACGTTTAATTTTTTTATTTCAGCCAATACCAATGAACACTCATAATACTTTTTCAGAAATGTAAATGGTTTAATTAACTGGTTAGATCATATAAATATTCAACATAATACAATTAACATCTGAACTTAAATATACAAACATAAGTTATTGAAAACACAAGAGGTAAAATAAAAATGCACTCAAGGAATAGAACAATCTATAAGGCAAAAATTACCGTGTCTGTGTATTTTCTTGTGCGTTACGTTCTAAATGGTGAATGGCTTGGCAACATTTGCATTATGACTCAAATTACAGTAATGTGACAAGTAGCGGCAAATTATTTTTCAGCAGTTTATGGGCAGAAATTTACACATGCAAAATTAAACATGTTTGCATAGTGTAATATTATGCATATACGTATATGAAATATGCAACTTCTTATGGCATATGGATTTCCTGGTGTGTAGCTAGAGAAAGTCTGTTAAAGGAAACTATATATTCGTATGTATCTTTTTATTTGTTTCCATTTTTTATTGTATTATCTTTAGAACGTTAAAAAAAGGCAATTAACATCACTAGTTTCCCTTTAAAGGGACACTATAGTCACCAGAATAAGTATTTGCTCTGGTAAGTATTATCATTCCCTTCATGCTTTTGGCAGTAAACACTGTCTTTTCAAAAAAATGCAATGTTTACATTACAGCCTAGTGATAACTTCACTGGCCACTCCTCAGATGGTTACTAGAGGTGCTCTCTGGGGCAGTGTGTCCACCCTCTGCATGGAGACCCTAAACTTTCCTCACAGAGATACATTGACTCAACGAATCTCTATGAGGTGCTGATTGGCCAGGGTTGTGTTTGACTTGTGCTGACTCTGTCCCTGATCTGCCTTTTTGACAAGCTCAGCCAATCCAATGCTTTCCTATGTGAAAGCATTGTGATTGGATCAGAACATAACTTCTGATGATGTCAGCCAAGCAGGCAGATCAGGGTCAGAACCAGCAACAGCAGACTTGATTTAAAGGTAAGATTTTTCCATATTTATGGAGGGCAAGGGTGGGGGTAGATAGTGTTTTTAACACTATAGGGTCAGGAACACAAGTTTGCGTTATTGACCCTATAGTCTTCCTTTAATGAAGTTTCACTAAATATAGAATAAATTAAATGAACACTCCAAGGTGGAATATACATTTTTAGGCATTATAGAACAGGAATGTATGGACAAAGGTAAACAAATCGCCACATTATTAGAGCAGTGCTAATTTATGATTTTATTTATACGTGTAGTCAAATGAGACTAAGTTTTCATGCCAAATGCTTCTGTACAGCTCTCCCAGACAAAAAACAAAACAAAAAACTTTTCCTAGGGAAAAGGTGGAAATCATGCAAAAAACTAAAAAATTATGAATGTCGCTTTGCTCCTTAGTTGCTGGGAGAGAGTCTTTAGTTCAGCAGTTAAAACTTTACTACTCAAAAGTGGCTCTGAGAACTCTACTTACAATGAATCATGCCCATATGGACTTCCATTTATCTGCAGAAAACAGCAAATTCCCCTTTGAATTTCCTCGTTTTAGATAAAGTATGAAGTGATTAAAAATACCCAACTCAAAACACAATATGACTTTATAACTGGAAATGTATGATGTGTATTATGAGGCAATGTACAGAAATGAACATGCCTAGCTAAGCACAATATATTAGGCCATTTGCCCACATGTTGCGCAATGTCTTTGTGTAAAGATGCATCAATATAAATGTTGAAATAGGAACGCATTTGATTTTGCAACAATCCAACTGCAGAATCATGCAATATTGAACCTGGCAGTAGTAATATGGGGAACAGTATCACAACACTTCCCCCTTCTCAAAGAGAATGCTGACGACTTTACTAGCAAAACAAATTGCTTTTTTCTGTCCTATATTTTATGGCTTTAGTAATTTGGCAGGAATTGAGTGACCCAAACTAGCATCTACAAATCTCTGCGTCCCAAGTAGATGATCAAAGCATGATAAGCAATGTACTGCAAATGCCCTTCTAGAACTTCAAATGGTTAAATGACAACATGGCCAATCAAAAGATTAATCTAGTTACATACAGTAAGATTATGTTTTTGTTAAATAAATGCCTTCTTACTGGCAAAAGATAAGAGGTACAACTCTATTTAATATATTTTAATTCAAATATATTTTTTTGGACTCGTACACAGAATTTTGTTTTCCTATTGGAAGCGAAAGAACCAGTTGAATCCATTATACAGCCAAAAGTACATACAAGGGAAGAAATGTATTCTCTTTCTCAATAAAAGGTTTATAATTTGTTAGATGCATATATCTTTCTGATAGTTTTGTCGATTCTAATAATTCTCCTCTATTCTCTGCTGGGTATTTATTTTGCTATAAGACTTTGAAACCTAAGTTTCTCTACACACAGATTACTGCCACCAGAAATTTCTACAGAGCTCACATAATGCTGTGAAACCAAAAGGCAGAACCACTTTATACTCTGAAAGGAGAATTTCACTTTAAAAACTCTGAAAATTACAGTGAGCCGCACCCAAACAGCTTTCCCAAAAGGGCTCTGGGTAGCAAGGATAGATCATAATAAGAAAGGGACAGAGCAAGGCTGTCTGACACATATTCTCAAGGTTACTTAATTACAATTTCCAAAATGCAAGCATTTAAATGTAGTAAGCCTGAAGAACTGAGATTTCACTTGCAATTAATCTGAAGCACCAAAAACTATTTTATAAAGATGATTTCATAAAAAGCTGTTTATTTAAGAAAGGGAAAAGGAGTTTCAAAGGATGTGAAACTGTATTAGATACCTTAAGTCACCAGTGCAAAACTAATCCAACCACACTCATTACCCTTAATTCTCTGCCAGTTTACCATCATCAAGGCCTATACAGCAGCTCTAAGGCAAGGCCAATATTTTGTAAGCTGTAGTGTAATGCTCACATTCACACAAGCCAAAACCCTTTTTGAAGAACTATAATCATTTTCTGCCTAGTATGACAGAACAGTTTTGTTATGTACAACATAAGTGTGCAAATTACAGATTATGTGCAAATTCATCATTATTCCAGATTCTATTTTTTTTTTTTTAAATTAGTGCACAGACACAATGAAAATTAAAGAAAGAAATCAGTAGCATTGTTTCACATAACCGGTAGGTGAGCAAAATTATGGAAAATATCCAGAAATATCTGATGAGTCAAATTTACCTCATGCTAGGAAAAAAATAATAATTTAAAGTGACAAAACAATAAATAGAATGATTGAGGATTTTCCCAACACATATCTTCTTATTCAATTACATAAATTTGTCTCTGTACAAAATGTCCATGAGGAATGTTAATCTGCCCCCTCTGCTTGAAGCACAAAGGCAAATGCATAACAAGACAATACAATGCACTTCCCTCAGGCATGAAGGGGATAAACTGACAACAGAAAAACAAAACAAAAACAAAAAAACACCGTTCTGTACAGAGGGTTTGCTGTGTTTTCAGAATCTCCATTGGGGCTTTCAAACTGAAAGTTAGGAGCGGTACTTCAGAATTATGGGTACTGCAGAGGAAGCAAAAGGGATTGTTACAACATACTATGATGACAGGTGGCACAGTCATATACAGATGAACAATTCTGAAAACAAATGTAAAAATATGTAGCAGAAAACCACACCTCAAAACAGCATCATCAAATGCAACATCTTTCTTTTTATAGAATATATTAAATAAAAAAAAAAAAACTCAAAACAGAAAAAAAAAATATATACATATAATGGTGAAAATGAGAAAGTTAATACATTTCAATAAATAAATAAATAAAAGTGCACCGTTTGTTTCAATAGGGTTAACTGTAGCTTTGAAAGCTTTTCTTTTTTTAAATGTACTTTATTGCATAGGTTTGGGTGGCGGGGGAAGGAAATCCCCAAAAATCTTTCATTGCAAAGGAAATGTGTACCAAGTGATGCTGTTTAGTGTGTAGTTACTTAATTCCCACCTCTAAAACATAAGTACATAGTACTTCATCATAAAATGCATGCAACAATGGATTTCCAAGATAGTTATGTGTTTGTGCGATATATTTTATATATAATATATAATAATACAAACACTTATTTTACACGCATATACACTCTTCAAAGAGAACAGTCACCTAACCTACCCAATTTGCCCAATATGTGTAGTGTGCCTTTAAGAACATGCATCAGCTTTTAAAACTCCCAGATTGTGTTATCCAGATGGTAAGGTAGTCATTTTGTACACATATTTTGACAGTAACCGGATGCTTGGATTACAGTGTGTCCCTCCAACTTTTCAAAAGCCCCAAGCAAATGCTCAGTGTAGGCAGCTTTTTGTCTGTTCTTTCTGTTCCAAATTAAGAATTTCCCTAGGGGGAAATACAACCGAAAGTGAGGGCTATCAGCTAAATGTGGAAAATAATTGAGCAATCTAAATGAAACTGTGTTAAAGTCACTCAGTGCAAACCTTATAGTACTTTGTTATTTTTTTTATTTGAAATGTCGGGGGGTTGGGGGAGAGAATCATTGGAGGGGGAGAACAATACTTATCGTGACATTATTGCATATTCAACAAATTTTAATAAACATCATGCCTTGGTATTGAGAAACTTTACATTTATTGAAAAAAACAAAAAACCTTGTTTGTATAATGTGTAATTAACACATACATGATTGCACTTAAAGTCCTCAGACTGCTGCTTAGCCTGTGGATGTGGTTTGTTTGCATCAGCCTGCAGAACATCCCATTAATGGCACTGACCAATGAGGAGACTTTCACTTTACACCGAGGGACCCTTATTTTATAATGAAATCAGTACATTGGACCTAGCTAAGATCGCCTCCATCAATTGTATAAAAAAAACAAACAAAAAAACCCCCAAAAAACAGAAAAACAGAGGCTACGACCCAGGCAGTCGTACCAAAAAGTGTGAAAACCAATGGCACAGTATGAAATTACATGCATACAGACTGTGTATTGTGACATATATTGTACCTTTTATCTTGGCTTTTATTAAAAGGAGAAAATGTTTGAAATTGTGACTTAGCGGTTCAAGAGATGGAATAATGCCTTTCCATTAATGGCCTTTGTGTTTTCACCCTTGAGATGACACATTTTAATAGAATTTACGGGTCACAAACGGTTACTTGCTAAACGTAGAATTCAGGGGAATTTAAGATTAACTTCAAAATTTAGACCAGAATAGCTACAGTAAAAAAAAATATTGAGGCCTATTTTGGCATCAAGGGGACACGGTAGGCACCCAGACCACTTCAGCTCATTGAAGTGGTCTGGGTGCAGTGTACTTTTTGCACTTAGTGCTACAATGTTAAACATTGCAGTTCCAGAGAAACTGCAATGTTTACATTGCAGCTCTAAGTTTGCCCTCAGTGGCTGTCTACCAAGAACCAGTAGAGTGCTTCCTGAATTGAAATGGACCTTTGGTCCGGTATCTGACGCTGGACGTCCTCACGCTCTGCATGAGGACCTCCAGTGTCAGATTTTTCCTCAAAGAAAGCATTGATTTAACGCTTTTCTATGGGGAGGTCTAATGCGCGTGAGGCATTTGCCACGCATGTGCATGCGCATTAGAGCCCACTTTTCGCGGGACGTCGTAGGAGGCAGAACTTCGCGCCTGCGCTGATGGACATTGGCAATGGGAAAAGGTAAATAAAGCTTTGTATTCTGGCACTATAGTATCCCTTTAATATTAAAATTAAATTCAAATTCCTGGCAATTGTCACTTTTGTGAATAACCTCGGAAGTCTACTTATGTATCCAATTTTTTCCCTTATGGATCCTTAGAAGAGAAGAGACACAGAATTGTATTCAAACTCAGGGATTATAAAATTAAAGAGACACTCCATTCCTAGAACACCTTCATCATAATGACATCTTTATGGGGAATAGAGACCCTGGGTTCAACGTTTCAGACATATGCTAGATCCCTACACCCTCTTACCTTATTGGATCAAAGGGCACCAATAACTACCGTTTCCATTACAAATTAATTGAGATGAAGTGGTTTTGGAGACAGGGTGTTCATTTAACACCTACATTTGCACATTTTATGCCAAACTAGCAAAAAAAAGTGTAATCTGCAAATCATGTAAAATTTTCATCCCATACTCACCATTATGGTACTATATGGCTCCCTGAAACTTGTTTTAACAATAGTGTGCAATACTCAAAGATGATAGCACTTCGATATGAGAGTTAGCCAATCTTTGTACCATCTATGCCAACTGCAAAATGCGTTCCAAACTAAACTGTAATAATACTGATGAATGTGAATCAGGTACATGTTAGTGTTATGTATTCTCTAATTGATGTGAAGGTTTTTTTCCTTTGGTAACCGTGAATGCATCAATAGTCCCGGATACACTTAACTGATGCAAAAAGATTTTAGAAGGTTTTAGAAAAAGCTTTACAACTTACTGATAATCACTAGCAGAATGAGAATGATAACCATGGCCACAATTGCTTTCATCTGAAGAAGAAATAAACAAACATCATTATTATCAGGTAATGAAGTCAGTAAATGAGTTCTATGCATGAAATCAAACATATCTATTAATGTGATAATATCTGCTTTAAAGTAATATGTTGATTACAAAAACATGCAAAATGTTAAAGGGACACTCCAGGCACCCAGACCACATCTGCCCATTGGAGTGATCTGGGTGCCAACTCCCACTACCCTTAACCCTGCAACTGTAAATATTGCAGTTTTCATAAACTGCAATATTTACCTTGCAGGGTTAACTCCTCCTCTAGTGGCTGTCTAGTAGACAGCCACTAGAGGGCACTTCCTGGTTTAAAGCACAGGTTGTCTGTGCTATAGCGTCGCTGGACGTCCTCACGCTATGTGAGGACCTCCAGCGTCACTAAAATCCCCATAGGAAAGCATTTAAAGCATTTTCAATGCTTTCCTATGGAGAGGTCCAAGGCGCGTGCGCGGCATTGTCGCGCATGCGTATTAGGTCTCCCCCGCCGGATGAGGAGGAGCGAGGGCGGACCCTAAACCAGCGCCGAGGGACATCGGCGCTGGACCCCTTCAGCAACATGGGATGGGGGGGGTGGGAGGGAGAGGGGACCTTCAGTGCCAGGAAAACTATTTGCTTTCCTGGCACTGGAGTGTCCCTTTAAAGTGACAACTGCTTTTAGTGCTACTGCGTTTGTCGATGGCTGAAAAATTCAAACTGTGGACTTATTTAATTTAATGGTTTAAAAAAACAAACAAAAAAACCCCACATAATTATTTTTCAAAATAAATATGGCCTTTTATTTCAGTTCTTACTCTTACCTTACATTCCCTCCACCACATCTGCCTTCGGAGTTGTCTTGATCTGCTGCTGAATGCTGTGGCATTGTCTGATAAACTTTCTGTGGTTCAAAAGAGATAGGACAAAACCAAACATATGCAAGTTATTGTATCAAGAAAATATTCAACTAATGAATACTCAGACAAAAACAAAAGTATACACATGCTTGGCTTTGGTGGTGGTCATGGAGAACATTTTACATTTAACTTTTACAAGCATGTTTTGGTCTGTCTGGTTTGACCACCTGTTTTTCCAAAGTCCCGCAGTGGGACTTGCTTCTAAGACCTACCCCACAACTTACCCTATCACATCACTACCCCACAGTCACTTCTCACATACAGTTACCCTGCCACACTTACTCCCCCCACACACAGTCACACTAACAGTCACCCAGAGCAACCTTTTCAAACTCACCCCTCTACACAGTCACCATGTCACCGTCACCCATTCACACCCACACAGTCACACCCACAGTCACACTCACCTGCCAACACCCAGTTACCCTGCCACACTCACTCCCATCCAGTCACCCTGTCACACTCACATCTCCACTCAGAGCCACACTGTCACATTCATCACTCCCCAACCACCCTGTCAAACTCACCCGCCCAAACAGTCACCTTGTCACACTTACCCCAGACACATTCACCCTGTCACACTCATCCCCCAAACACAGTCACCCTGGCACACTCAACCTCCCCAACACAGTCACCCTGGCGCACTCACCCCCCCAACACAGTCACCCTGGCACACTCACTCATCCCCTCCCCCAACACAGTCACCCTGGCATACCATCCCCAACACAGTCACCCTGGCACACTCATCCCACCCAAAACAGTCACCCGGGCACACTCATCCACCCCAACACAGTCACCCTGTTACACTCATCCCCCAGACACCCTGTCACACTCATTCCCCAAACAGTCACCCTGTCATACTCAGTTAATTATTTTTTTAAAGTTTGTATGTCCAAGCAAAATGTTTGTTTTTGTTTCCATTCAAGAATGTCATCTATGCACAGCAAAAAAAAAACAAAAAAAACAAACAAAAAACTTTACTTTCCAGGACTCTCAAAATACTCAGATTCTGGGTCTGGTAGTGAATGGGTTAAAATAACCCACTTAGTAGTTTATATGTTGGGAAAAAAATTAAATAAAAAGATTGTAAAAGGTACAAAAAAAAAACAAAAAAAAAACAAAAAAAAACACAGCTATGGAAAAATTGCAAAATCTATAAGTTAGAAAACGTATTAAAATACATTTTCTCTAGAATGACTTATTTAGCTGCTTACCCGACTTGTCCTGAAGTTCATCCAACCTTTCTCCTCTTTCTATCACTTTGGTGATGTTTTCCTGCATGACGTCAATGACTTCATCCACCTGGTTCTGTGCGCTGAAAAAATAATGTGTAGTATCATTCAGACACCAAGAAATGCTAAACACTTGACACTGCAAATGACAAAAATAAATCACGGTTAGTAGATATACTTCCATTGAATACATGCATTTAAAAAAAAATTTCATTCATTGCAGAAATTTTTTTTTCATTTATTTATTGGGAGTATAACTTAAAAGAACTTTAAAAAGCACCAGATCCAGAAGCCCTTGCAATCCCTCTCCTTTTTCCCCGGAAGAGACATTAAATCTTCTCAGAGCCTCTGGAGTTTTCCTCCACTCTGAACGCTGTGCTGTGTACGCCAACACTGGTCTGATCCGAGGTCCCAGAGAAACGATGAACCTCCTTTGAAACAAACCTCCTTTGACAGCCGATTGGGGGTTCATTAATTATAAAAATGCCAATTTGTCATAGAAATCAGCACTTTTATGAAGTGACTAAACTTGGATTCTCCTCACACATAAATCCCCTTAGAAAGTTGAAGTGCTCCTTTAATCTGCCTGCGCAGTATTCTTATATAATCTCTACATTATAAACTGAGAAAGGCCCTCTTCACATCACAATTCACAATTAACATCAATGTAGGTTGGCATCTAAATTTGTGTGTACAAAAAAAAAAACAAAAAAAAACCATAAATAAATACTCAGTCGAACTTCATTAGAGAAACATAACTCTACCAATCTCAAGTTCCGTTCAACTGGAAATTTAAGGACACATTACCTCTTTAGGCAGCAATACATTCCAAACATGCAAGATAGTGTGGACTCTGGACTGGTGCTCACTCCTTGCATTGGTACTAGTGTAAAATACTAGCTGAAATGTTATTCTTTATTACCTAGTTAGGAAAATAATCCCATTTATTCTAGAAGAATTAGTTCCCCGAGCGTGGACTGATTTTCTAGCTTTGCAAGCTGGATATTCCTCCAACACTATTTACAGAGAGTAGATCACATTCTCCTAGGTTATGAACAATTTGCATGAAGGCATTTTGCAGAGTTAGCCTTCCTTAACCCTGAACTCTACTTGGTGCCTGGAGAACAAAGGTCAAATAGCATCATTAAAGGGGAAAATAGGGATGTAGACGGACTGTCCTGTGATATTCCCCATTACAATTTCCTTTGAAGTATGCAAGACACTGACTGTTACACCAGCTGTTTCCAATCACCCAGCCATATCACTATTTCTACTAGCTGCTGGTAGTATATTTACACTTTCAACACTTCGAGTTGGATTTGAACATCAGTCCTGCCTGTTCCTAAACTTCTCTGCATTTATTTGTTAAATAAAAAAATATTTTTGCACACAGGCCTCCATTAGAACTCGCTATAGATTAGTTCTTTTAATATATAACAAATTTTATTTAATTTTTTTATTTTAATGTTTTGCTAATAGGCTTTCTCCATTCTTTCTTTAAAAAAATGTCTATGGGAGTGAAGGGGTTAAGGGTGGCGCAGTTGTTTTGGAACAAAATTATTCACAGCTTTGTGATTGAAAAAAAAAACCATCCTGGCTTACAAAGCCTAAAATGGGATTTTATGTGCGTTCCGGTGTACTGCTTCCAAATGACACACGTATGGAAAGACGCAATATTGGGAGACTGGTGACAGAACTTTAAAACACATTGCTGGCATCTCCACTGGGAACAGAAACATTTTAAACGGCCATAGTCCTGCAAAAAGTACACCTTATCTAGCTTGGCTTCCTAATTACTCCTTTCATCCAGCCATTTTCTCTCTCTCTTTTTTTATGCAAAACGTATAAGGATTCTATCCACATAACATGGAAGTTGAATGTTATGCCCACCTCTGGTCCACCATAACTCCTCCTGCTCTCTTCATGACACCTACATGTTGGCTTCATTGATAGTGTGCTGGGGTCTGAATGGAGGGACGCAAGTCATTCCTTTCCTTTACCCCCTAGCCAGTGCTAGCAGCGCCAGTTAGAGAGTTTCCATAGCAACCACAGCGCGTGCACTGTGATTGCTATAGTTGGTGAGCAAAAGGACTGCCTAGGGGAGGTTTCCTTTTTTTTCCCCTCTTCTCTCCGTTATCAATCAATTCCTCGGCATGGAGTCTATACCTACAAATTGATTGAAAAGTGGGAGGGAAATCCTATTTTTAAATTTTTCTCCCAATTGATACATTTGCTAGCAAAATTGCTTGCACAATGTACAAATTAAAAATTTAAAGTAAAAAGAGCTATAAAGTAGTGGGACAGGATAGGTTCTAGAGAGTATTTTTTAATTAGTTTGAAAACACCTGCACATCCAATATCTTCCAATAGTATTGCAACACTTGAAAACAGGAGTTAAAGAGAAATTGTAAGCACCAAAACAACTTTAAATAATTGAAGCCGTTTTGGTGTAGATGTCATGTCCCTACAGTGTCACTACTCAAGCCGTTTAGGAGTTATGCAACCATGCCTTTCCTGGCTGTTGCTCATACAATATATATATATATATATATATATATATACCCTGTTTTCCCGAAAATACACCCTACCCCGAAAATAAGCCCTAGCTGGATTATCGGGGTGGGCTGCAATATAAGCCCTACCCCGAAAATAAGACCTAGGCAGGGCCGGCGGCTGCCGGCCCTTTAAATGCCACAGCCAACTGAGCGCTCTATAGAGAGCTCTCAGACGGCTGCCGCACTGCCTCACCTCCCCTTCCCTGTAGCGTGGCCGAGCTCCTCTCTGGTCCGCGACCCGGCCGGACTGACAGGAAGTGCACACTGGGTGTGCACTTCCTGTCAGTCCGGCCGGGTTGCAGACCGGAGAGGAGCTCGGCCACGCTACAGGGAAGAGCAGGTGAGGAGAAGATTGGAGGGGGGAGAAGGGGGAGTATTACAGGGAGGGGGAGAATATTACAGGGAGGGAGGGAGGGGGAGAGTATTACAGGGGAGGAGGAGAATATTACAGGGAGAGAGAGGGGGGAGAGTATTTACAGGGAGGGAGGGGGGAGAGTATTACAGGGAGGGAGGGGGGAGAGTATTACAGGAGGGAGGGGGGAGAGTATTACAGGGAGGGTGGGAGGGGAGAATATTACAGGGAGGGAGGGGGAGAGAGTGGGAGGGAGGGGGAGATATACATGAGTATTACAGGGAGGGAGGGGGAGAGTATTACAGGGAGGGGAGAGTATTACAGGGAGGGGGGATAGTATTACAGGGAGGGAGGGAGGGGAGAATATTACAGGGAGGGGGAGGTGAGGGTCTCTGGGGGGGTTACACAGCGCAGACACCAGCTGACAGACTGGCTCTAAGCCCTACCCTGAAAATAAGCCCTAGTGTGTTTTTTGTGACTAAAATTAATATAAGACCCGGTCTTATTTTCGGAGAAACACGGTATAACGTTTTCATTATACAACATGCTATTCCTGCTCTGCTATTTGAACTTTATTCACACACAGGAGGCTACAGTAGGCTCGAGCAGGCAAATTAGCAGGAGATAAAATCTAAATCAAACACACTGATAATAATAATAGTAATAATAATAATAATAATAATAATAATAATAATAATATTAGAAAGTATTAAAAGTTAGACCTCTTTTTCAGGTGTTCGTAATGAGGTAGTGAAACTCGCATCCAGGGGAGGTATTGCTACAGTTTTGTAAACAAATTGATTAAACTCTTTAATGGAGAATTGAGACATGATACGACAAGGGAATATTAAACCTGAAAAATATGATCCCGTTTAAACACCACTGCATGTCTGGATATCCCAAAACCTTTAAACTTAAAGTGGCTTTGTCATGTTTGTATTCTTTTAGTTTTCCTTTCCTTTCCCTTTGTATCTGAATGATTGTACTCATCCTTTGCCATGTGCCTTATATGTATTATCTTTTCTTCCTTGCAACAGATCTTAACCATTTAAGGACCACATGATGGTTTATGCCGTCATGCTGTGTACGGCTTTAATGCTCAGTGACAGCATAGATCATCATGCTGTAAAAGTTACCAGCTGCGGTAAAATTGCTGTTAATATCAATTGTGAAGAAATCACTCTTTGTGTTCGGTATTTCTCCCCTTTTCATTCGGTAGATGTAACTACCGAACAGAGACCACCCCCCTGGCTCGTTAACTTCAAAGCATACCTCAATTGAACCCTCTACCTGTGCGGCCGTCGTTCGTATTGCCGAACGCCACGTGGCTGAGAAAACGGTGGCCATCTTTTTTTTTTGTACAAACAAAGGCGGCAGGACTTGGTCGTCGAGTGTCTGGAACTAAAATCGGACACTCGATTTCCCGAACACCGGTCCCAACATACGAATGCTGGAACACTAGTAGAACACTGTTCGGTACTTTGTTCATTCGTATGAGGGGAACAATCGCTGCTAAGAGCCAGGGGAAACAGTTTGTGGAATTATTTGGTTTTTGCCACTTTACGAAATGGACCAGCAAAACTACCCAAACTCATGTAACTGTTTTGGGCAGCAACCTCGCGGTTACAAGGGCACAGAAGGTTCTGTATTACTCTGATGACTTCCTGTCAGACTGGGCAGAGGTTACAGAAGCTCCTCTACCGCGGTCCGTGACTTGGCCATGTTACAAGATGTAGGTGAGCAGGCATTAGAGGGAGAGACCTCAAAGGGGAGTTGAACGGCCCTTTTGTGTCTTCTTTGCCCGGTGGACGGCCCTTTTGTGTCTTCTTTGCCCGGTGGACGGCCCTTTTGTGTCTCCTTTGCCCGGCGGATGGCCTCAAAAGGGACAGGCAAAGGAGACACAAAAGGGCCGTCCGCCGGGCAAAGGAGACACAAAAAGGCCAGCAAGGGGCAAAAAGAGACAAAGAGAGGCTACCGGGCAAGTGGCAATAGAGACAGAGGAGCCGGCTGGACAAGGGGCAAAACAGACACATAGGGGCCTGTCGGACAAGGGGCAAATGAGACACAGAGGGGTCTTACCCCAATCACACAGGATATACACTTCATTGAAAAACATCTATACTCAGACCAAAACCCCCTCCCGCCCACAATTAAAATCTAGACTCTGAAGTCTACCTTTACCGGCACACTTCTCTTCTCCCTCTTACACCACAATTTATCCACTACTTTGGGGTTGTCTTGAAAACAAAGACTGTACCTATATATATATATATATTTGCACAGCCAGTATAAGAAAAGCATGTCTCTATCCTGTCGTTATATGAAGATTCCTGAACAACACATACTAATCCTGATACTTTTAATTGTAATTTTTGTGGTAATTTGTTTTGAAAAACCAAAAATTAATTGTGGAAAAAAAAATAAAAAAAATGAAATCTGCAAAGTGATAGACCTGCTTGAAGTATCATTTTTTTTAGGAATATCCAAGTTACCCAGGTTTAATGTGCTCAACAGTCACTGGCATGACTTCAGCGTGGAAATCCACAGCTTATTATGGGTAACTGATGCTTTGAATCATGTGGATGTAATAAAAACATTAGAAGATTACTCTGGATAAACTTCAATCATTAAAAAAATATATATATTTTTACTCTAACGCTCTCAGACAACGATGGTATCTCTTGATAATTGAGTCCCAGATGAATATTTTTTTTAAGGTAAAATCTGGAACTTTATGGAAAGCTTGGGGTAATGAATAACTTCTCTGGGCATTGAGATTAGTGCAGTCATGGTACAAGAATGTTGAATTACAACACATTTTTACAGAGTGGATGGAATATTTTTCTAAAATATTAGTTTAAAAAATTTAATTATTTTGGATAATAGAAAATCTGAATTCTGAAGTTCTCTTTTAAGTAATGTTATTCAAGTGTATGCGGGTATAATTAAAAATGAAATATACCTAAAGGAGAAACACTTAATAAAAACAGGTTTCTTTAAAAAAAGGCATTTTAAATCAGACCCCAGGCGTTCGGACTCCTTCTTCTGCCACTATTTCACACACAAATAAATATAAAATTAAAATACCGGTAACAATAATAAAATTTAAAAAAATGCAGTTTCATTATCTTTGTTTTCTTAAAATCTACATTGTAGAAGCAATGTGCAGATCCCATAAATCCCATCTATATACATTCATAATACATTACTGCGAATGTGGTGGTTCTTGTACATAAAGCATGTACCTGTAGGGTGAGCATTGTAAACGCTGCCTTTTTGTAAAAATTTTGTGTTACACTGCTGCCTAAAGCCACCTCTAATCACTCGGGCAGCCACTGGTTCAAGTACCCTTTGCAATGTACAACACCCAACAACCTTATTTCTTAACCAGTGGTACGCATAACCCAAGTGGTGCACGCACCAAAGATTGGGTACGCCTTGAGCTAGCCACCTTAGCCTCCCCCCAGGAGGCGGCCAGCTGTGCTCTAAGGTAAAGTAGTTGGGTTAGGTGGTCACTCCTAACAAAGAGCAATGCTAGAAGAGCACGAAAATTAAAGAAGCCCTGCACTGGTAAGGAGGCTGGGTGGACTTAAAGGGACACTCCACTACACAAATACAAGCAGGTGCTCTGGGCAATTTCTGCCTTTTGAGTTCAGTGCAAATAAGCACACCAGGAAGTAACAGGACCTGTTGTCTACACTAAAAAGCCAGGAGGGATGTAACCAGTATAATTTACATGTCAATTAAAATCTGCACTACTGTATACTATTCACACAAAGCTTTTCAAGAAGCTTAAGTACTTCAGGGGTCTGGAGTGTCCCTTTAAATAACAAATTAATTAAAACAAATGTGTGTCAGTGCATATGAGAGAATGTGTATATATGCCAGGGTGTGTTAAACAGTGAATGTCAAATCAGTGAGAGTGTGTCAGTGTCCTTTGTGTGAGTGTGTGTCATTTTCCTATATGTCAATGTCCCCTGTGTGTGTATGTCTGTGTCAAATCAGTAAGAGTGTGTCCTGTGTGTGTCAGTATCCTTGGTGTGTAAATGTGTGAGTCAGTGTCCTCCGAGTGTGTGTGTGTGTGTGTTTTTCAATGTCCCCTGTGTGTGTGTATGTCAGTGTGTCAAATCAGTAAGAGTATGTGTCAGTATCCTTTGTAAATGTGTGAGTAAGTGTCCTCCGAGTGTGTGTCAATGTCCTCTTTGTACCTATTGTGTATTATATTTTAATTTTGTGACTTTTATACTTCAAATTAATAGTTTAGACTCTACTTACATATACAATATTTACATTGTCATATTTTTTATAAATATATATATTTTTGTTACTATCTTTAACCCCTTAAGGACACACGACATGTGTGACATGTCATGATTCCCTTTTATTCCATAAGTTTGGTCTTTAAGGGGTTAATCGGGTTTATTCTCCAATATGAGATTTACTTAAATATCAATGTCTACACTTTTCATTTGGAATTTAAATCAATCAAAATAATTTTCTCAATGCAGGGTACTTAAGATTTTCTTTTTTCTTTTTTTTTCTTTTTTAAGATCGCCAGGGGTATTTTGCTGTAAAAGTTTGAGAAACACTGACCTACAAAACCTAATCATACTGATGACGTGTCAGGCCAGACATGATATAAAGGGTCTAACCTCAGTCTGGAACAACCAATTAAGAGCAAGTTCCGTCACCAGATTTTTAGTTTCTTCTGTCACTACTTATGCAATCTCATCTTTCCTCAGCTTAAATGTGAAATGGAAAATAAACTTTAAAAAAATACCCAATTTCTTAAGTGATACAACGTGGAATAAATGTAGGTAAAGTCACCTATTTTACAAATCTGTAAAAGAGAAACTGGTTTAACTACTTCAGCTCCTAGCTGTTTCCCACACTTACTGTCTGATCTTGTCATTCCTGGGTCCAAACTTAGGAGCAGAAGGTCCCCTCCTGGCAAAACAGAGCATTCATTCAGGTGAGTATCAAATGATGGTAGACCAAAATATCATATTAAATGTACACATGAAATATTACTCCGTTTCTACACAATTTTACAGAAAAATAAGCAAACAAGAATGCTTTAACTTTACCAGTTTTATGACAGTTATTTTTTATTTAAACCTGATCTATTGTAAAAATAAATAAAACAAACACATTTTGCATCTCTTGGTTTGTGATGGGGGGTGATTTTCACTTTTTCTAAATTATTTTGCTAAACAGTGAATTGTATAGAATTGAAGATATTACCTAAAATAACGGTGAAAAAAGAATTATCACAGTTAGTTACTTTGTCTAAATTCTGAAATTTGGCTTTCAGTTCACTACAATTCACGGTTTAGTAAACAAGTTCCAGAGTAAGAAGGTACAATTCACTACTAGAGATGTCGCGAACTTCCCGCGAACGGCTCGCCGCGGTTCGCGTTGGGCTCCGGTCAGCTGACACATCCCGGCCAATCTCCAGCAGACCCTCCCTCCCAGACCTCCCACCTCCTGGACAGCAACTCAACATGGATGCTGTCCAGGAGGTGGGAGGGAGGGTCTGCTGGCAATTGGCCGGGATGTGTCAGCTGACCGGAGCTCGCCGCGAACCGCGGCGAGCCGTTCGCGGGAAGTTCGCGACATCTCTATTCACTACTCATTTTATCTGGAGAGCAAAAGAGGAATAATGTAAACTCTCCTTTCTCTTGAGTTTATTCACCCCTTTCTCAAAGATTTGACATTTGTTTGTGATGGGCTTTTTTCACCTTGTGTTTGTCAGCATTATTTGTGTATGTCAATTACTTCTTGTGAAAGGGTTACTCAAAAACCACTACAGCCTGCTGCACATACAGACTCCACGCACCATCACCACTTAAAATTACTGAAGTGGCGGTGGTGCTTGGGATAACCCTTTAAAGGACCATTATAGGGTCAGGAACACAAATGTGTATTGCTGATCCTATAATAATAAATCCACCGTTTAGGTCGCTTACCCACACATAAAAAATAATAAAACTTACCTTATTTCCAACGCCATGCGGGTCTACCAGCGCTGACCCGGCCCCCGATCTGCCTCCTTGGTTGACATCAGAATTGATAATCTCAGTCAATCCAAAGCTTTACTATAGGAAACGCATTGGATTGGCTGAGGTCACCAAGGAGACGAGGCCAAACGCCAGCCTGGCCAATCAGCATTTCCTCATAGAGATGCAATGAATCAATGCCTCTCTATGGGGAAAGTTCAGCATCTCCATGCAGATCGTGAAGACGATGAACGTCAGCACTGGCCCAATAAGCACTTCTAGTGGCCGTCTGAGGAGTGGCCACGAGGTGTTCCCAGGCACCAATGTAAGCACAAAAGCCTGCAGGAACAGGATATAGACATCAGAATAACTACACTTTTTTTAATTTAAACCTGATCTATTGTAAAAATAAATAATACAAACACATTTTGCATCTCTTGGTTTGTGATGGGGGGTGATTTTCTGGTGACTACACTGTCCCTTTAAATATCCTCATATTGTAAAATATTGGTGCTATGTAAATTATAATAACAATTGTAATATCGGAGCAGTCTATAAGCATCACTTTGAATAGCAACACAGGATGCAGTTCTGGGTAATGAAGACAAACAATGGTATTCATTATTTGTTTGGTATATTGTATAGTGATATGCCTGAATTAATACTTACGGAAGTTCAAATACCTGGGGCTTTTAAATATTAGGCAGATACACAAAGAGGTTTTTTTTTGTTGTTTTTTTAAATATCATGCTAGTTCCCAGATTGATAGAAAGCCCAGGTTGGATTGTTGAATTGTGTTCTATGCATAGCTAGGTTACTGTATAATCCATTGTCAGTACAAAAGTATGGAGCCAGCTAAGCAATGGGATCCTGGGAGTAAGCTCTTATAGAAAATTAAAACAAGCTGCACTGAGTGATCCTCTATTGGAGTCAGAAAGGAGTAGCAATATTTCAACTGGCACTCCTATCATTATGGAAGAATAAATAGAGCCTGTTGAAATATTGCTACATTTCCTTTGATGCTAATAAAGAGGTACGTGTCAGTTTACTTTTGGCGTATTGAAGGCTGCATAATGGCTACTAAAGGCACCCTATAACTGCTAAATGGAAGCAAGTGAGTACTACTATATTTCTATCTATGCAGAAACATCTTTGCTGCAAAGCCCTGAGGTTTTTAGGGGTGTACGTGCAGACAAGGAGCATTGTGCCTGAGTAAAAGTGAGAAACCGCATATCACGTGCACATTTTCAGGCATCCATTATCTATACAGATTTGCATTTCCCATTTATAAACCGTCATTTATCCTCTTGCTGTTGAATAAACATGCTTCCTTTTTACACTAGAGACACTGCCTAATTGTGCATTTTATAGCACCCACAAAAACACACAGATCCCATAAACACCTACCAGTCTCAACCATGGGGAAAAATATAATTTTTAAAACTGGTGGGAATACATCCAGTGAAATAATTTAACGAATAGAAATTTTTGTTGCAACTTATATAGGAAACTTCTAAATAAAGAAGAAAGTGCTAGAAAAATGCACAAATTTATTATCAACACTTGATAAACACAAATAAACGCTTATATCCCCATTCCGTCCCCATGAGGTGAAGATATTGCCTTGGCACACCCTGTAAAAATGCAAAAACTGGCATGCAAGATGTGATTTACTAAAATCAATATGAATGTCGATATTAGTAATATAGTATAAAAAGAGTAATATGATTCTGGCCCGCCAGAGTAAATCAGAATACAGAGAAAAAAACAATACATAATAATTGGGCAGTAGAATGGTGTTCTAATGTACTTCACACTTATGCAGTTACCTTATTCTTCTGTGTACTAGCTTCATACTATTTACCATTACTGATTTGGGTGTATTACATACCTTGGGACAATCTTTGCATTTTTACAATGTGTACAAAGGCAAGACTTTTAAATCGTGTGGAAGAATAGAGTCACTTGTGTCACAAGACGTTACAGGTTAGGGTCCTTGTGGCCTGTTAGGGACATTGTCTAGCAAAAATAATTTTTTTTTAAAATGTAAATTTAAAAGCAATGAAAATATGCCTAGATCGCCCTTTTAGTAGTACAAAGAAAAACAACATGGTTTACCAACATAATATTACACAAATCCCTCCAAAGATTTTATGAAACCAAATTTAAAAAAAACAAAAAAAAAAAAAACTAACAAACTCCGACATAGTAAAGGCATTTAAAAGCCAAAATTAAGAGCATTCCTCTTTCAAAAGGAAGGAGTGCATTGTAAATTGTCCCAACTAAATCCACTGGTGTTTTAATATTGGCATATCCAGGCTGCATAGTTAAAAAAAAAAAAAAAAAAAAAGGAAAACAAACCCTTTTGCTCTTGTCTTCTTAAAGTCAAAATCCCCATGGCAGCAAAAACCTCACACTGTATTTAACCTAAAGCCAAAATATTTAAAACAAACAGTTCTACATAAATTATTGCTTTTGGTGAAACAAATATTTATGTGTGCTCATGCTACTTGTATTATTGTATCAGCACATTAGAATATTATACAATCAACTTGTTAACGTTGTTATAGTGCTTGCAGTCCTGCCTCCCCTCCCTACCCCCTAAAATCCAAATATTAAACTAATTAGAAGCCAAAGAAGCGTGGTTTTAAGCTACGCATCCAAGCCCTCTGGGCATGAGAGCCAAGAATCTTACTGTAATGTGCACAAGCTTAGTGCCGTATGTTGGCTATAGAGAATCATTGAATAAATTGATCCTCCTTGGAGAAATTGTAGGCACATTGTGGCAAGCGCCACACATGAACCTACATTCCTCAATGCTCCTCGAACACTGTAGTGTTCCTTAAACGTAGGCACACTTTCATTAATTCTTGAGTAATTCTTTTACATGCAAATAATTTTAAAAATTCTATCCACTTACAGGAAGAAATCTTCCTCTTCATCAGAGTCTTCTTCTAAAAGGTTTCTCTGTGAAAAAAATAAATGGAAAATTATTACACGTTGAATGGATATGTGAAAGCAGACAATTGTTTGTTAACCTACATAATTAATATTTATTTGTATCATGAAGATGTGGAAACTCAATTATATTTTAATACAGGATGTAATGGAACTTACCTGGACAACAAGTGCAAAAAAAATAAAAAAAATTACATATATACACATTATATATATATATATATATATAATCTTCCTATTGTCTCCTTGCACACACACTTCAATGTGGATTTCTGCCTGGTGCTGTCAAGCCAATGCCATAATATACACAAATATAGGGAACAAGAGGCAAGCACTCACGGTCTTTTGGTTTCTTTAAAACGATTTTCCTTTTTTATTTCATTGCTTAAAACTTGATCGCTGTTTCAGCCACAGTACATGGCTTTCATCAGGATCTTTACAGCTCCGAGAATATATATCTTGATAAAGAACCCAGGAGGGTCGAAACGTTGATCTGTGTGTACCTCACAGCTGATGCATTTTTTATGATACATTAAATAATTTTTTTCTACACTAACGTTAAGACCCAGTGTGCTCCCTGGATTACATTTTCTGAGAATATATATATATATATATATATATATATATATATATATATATATATATACATATACATACACACACATATATACACACACACACACTTTACAAACATATCACTCCTCTCCTTCTGAACCTGCCCTCACCTAGAATTTTGCTATTATCCTTCCTTTTCATAGTATAGCAAGTTAGCAGAGTTGGATTGTGAGATCCAAAGCTGCACAGGAGTGTGTGGGTGTAAGATGGAAAGGCTAATGTACTGCCACTGGAATGACCTGTCAAACCATTTTATATGGTGTGAAATTTTACCTAGGATTTGCCATGCTTTGCGTCCAATAAAATTACATATATATATATATATATATATATATATATATATATATATATATATATATATATATATATATATATATATATATATATATATATATATATAGTATTACTTGTGTTCTGTGAATAGCTTAAATTGCAGAGAGTTTCCAAAGTCCTCTGGAGTTGGTTAATACGTCAATAGCAGGCAAAGTGGGACATTTAACTCCGTGTCAAGTTTGAGTATAGTAATATATTTTTTTAATTACTAACCTATTTAACCCCTTAAGGACCAAACTTCTGGAATAAAAGGGAATCATGACATGTCACACATGTCATGTGTCCTTAAGGGGTTAAAAAGCACCAATATCTTTTGCAGTGCCATAAAATGGTTGAATGTACAGGGAGGGGTTTAAGATGGTACAATCTCGCAAACAGGTATAAAAGGAAAGGTTGTCCCGACAATAAGCCTACAATCTAGCATGTGCAACACCCCTAAATGCCAAGCAATGCTATTCTAAAATGACTGACTTACGAAAGAAAGAGCACTAGCAGGGAAATACCAATAACAAATACAAAATTGGTTGTGTTATTACTGCTTCTTCTGTCAATGCGTACATCATTCTGTTTTTCACCACAAATTTAAATTCTAATACATAACCTTTAAGGCAGATGGTCACTGCACTGGAAATTACAACACTAACAAAAAACTGAAAGTTGTCAATAACTTGTATTACCCTGTTTTTAGCAAGTGGCATTACAATCTAGTCAAATACAGAAACAGTCCAAGCAATAGCGTAAAGGAGGTGAACAGAAACACTGTTTAGCTTTTTCCTTTTCTACTAGTTCAATGGCAAAAATTGCAACATTAAAAACATTCACTGACAGAGGCAAGGCAGAGGTGTACAGTCCTCCGATAAAGGTGTCGATTTCTACGTTTAATAAAATTTTTCCAAACTTCACACGTTTACTAAATAAAGGGGACAAGCGTATATCACTTTAAAAATCATGATAAGTGAGAGATTCCCTTTAAACTAATAGCATTTAGTACACAAGGGGCAGCATTGAATGCATGCTCAATACTGTATAAAAAGCATTAGCAGGTGAGAGCAAAAGATGTTTAGCGTACCTTGCCTAGAAAGCCAACGTTCATTTAGTCTGGTTTATGGATCAGTTAAAGTTGTACTCTAATTTATCTTCTTTTTTTTAATGATTTTATTTATTTAAAAGGTAGAACAGTCATTGATATAAAAACAGTGATGCAAAAGGAATATTGAAAAAACAAATGACTAATTAAATCATCTTCTCTGATGTCAGAAATAACAAGTAAAACAATGACACAAGCAAAGGTAAGTATAGTAAGTGTCTCGAAATGTGGTAGTAGACAAAAACATTCCTGCTTTGTATGCAGCAATAGGAATTGTAGGCAAAGAGAAAAAACAGAAGTGGGGAATAAAACTACCAATTTCAGCATTATAGAAGATTGGTGAATTTGTTTGGCGTACGGAAAGAAAATTTGTCACCCAAATTTTGATTGTGGATACTTCCAAGCAACGACTGCAGCTATGGCTTCCATTTATAGTGAAAATTAGGTTATTTGTATATATGCATGCCTTACTTGCTAATTGTTCACAACTTACTCTTTCACTTTTGATTGATCCCGTGACCTCCTCATCATGGAGGTGCCGCTTAAACTTCGGAGGCATGCTTTCTTTTTCAGGAAAGAAAATCGGACTTTCTGGTCAAATAACAAAAGAGATATGTCCACTGCAATTAAAAGGAGAAGATTATAAATACAGAGTTTAGCAGGTAGAGTAATTTCTGATTCCAACACACATTCTCAAGTGTAGTCTTTGACTCTCATGTAGGATCATTTAGTAGAGATGAAGCAAAATAAGCAGTATTTGCTAAACGTCAACATAGTTCATACGAGATAGTGCAGAGTTTTGGGTGTTTTTATTATGTATTTTTACAAAAATTAATCTTCTGAATCAGACACTCACCAACCTGACACAGCAACTGTCTAGAATATGCAGACATTCCAGACATTTTAAATTATGTCATCACATTAGGGATCGACCGATATTGATTTTTCAGAGCCGATACCGATACCGATATTCTGTGAACTTTCAGGCCGATAGCCGATATAATTTGCCGATATTCTGTACATTTACCATTTTGGAAAATAAAAACTATTTCTAAAGGTAAATGCACAAAATATACATGCCACGTGTAGTGGATGCAGTGTGACAGGGGAGCTGTGTGTGTTTGTGTAGTGTGTGTGTAGTGGATGCAGTGTGTGTTTGTGTAGTGTGTGTGTTTGTGTAGTGTGTGTGGAGGATGGAATGTGTGTTTGTGTAGTGGATGCAGTGTGTATTTGTCTAGTGTGTGTAGTGGATGCAGTGTGTTAGTGTAGTGAGTATATAATGAAAGCGTAGTGTGCGTAAAGTGAATGCTGTATATACTAAATGCAAAGTGTGTGTGTGTATATAATGAATGCAGAGTGTGTGTATTGTGTTTATATAATGCAGAGTGTGTGTGTTTGTATAGTGTGTGTATATAATGCAGTGTGTTTGTGTAGTGTGCATTATATAAACACACTACACAAACACACTGCATTATATACACACACTACACAAACACTGCATTATATAAACACACTACACAAACACACACACTGCATTATATACACACACTACATAAACACACACCGAATTATATAAACACACTACACAAACACACCGCATTATATACCCACACTACACAAACACACACTGCATTATATACACACACTATACAAACACACTGCATTATATATCCACACTACACAAACACACACTGCATTATATACACACACTGTACAAACACACACTGCATTATATACACAGTGTGTTTGTGTAGTGTGTGTATATAATGTAGTGTGTGTTTGTATAGTGTGTGTATATAATGCAGTGTGTTTGTGTAGTGTGCATTATATAAACACACTGCATTATATACACACACACACTGCATTATATACACACTACACAAACACTGCATTATATAAACACACTACACAAACACACACACTGCATTATATACACACACTGAATTATATAAACACACTACACAAACACACCGCATTATATACCCACACTACACAAACACACACTGCATTATATACACACACTATACAAACACACTGCATTATATATCCACACTACACAAACACACACTGCATTATATACACACACTATACAAACACACTGCATTATATATCCACACTACACAAACACACACTGCATTATATACACACACTGTACAAACACACACTGCATTATATACACAGTGTGTTTGTGTAGTGTGTGTATATAATGCAGTGTGTGTTTGTGTAGTGTGGGTATATAATGCAGTGTGTGTATATAATGCAGTGTGTTTGTATAGTGTGTGTATATAATGCAGTGTGTGTTTGTGTAGTGTGGGTATATAATGCAGTGTGTGTTTGTGTAGTGTGGGTATATAATGCAGTGTGTTTGTGTGCATTGTATACAAACACACACACACTATACAAACACACACTGCATTATATACACACACTATATATATAAATATATATATATATATATATATATATATATATATATATATATAATGCAGTATGTGAGGGGGCATTTTTTATTAAATTATTAAAAAAAAAATTATATTTACTTTATTATTTATTTTTGTTGTCCCCCCTCCCTGCTTGTTACCTGGCCAGGGAGGGGGGATATGACAGTCCCTGGTGGTCCAGTGGCATTGGCTGAGCTGGGAGGGGGGGGGCGGAGAGCAAGCGCTTACTCACCTCCCAGCAGCTCCTCCAGCTCCCCAATGCAACTCTCGCGGCCAGCGTGTCGCGCGGAGCGTTGCCATGGTGATCCATGGCAACGCTCTGACGGCCGCGGGTCTCGCGAGAGTTACACTGGGGAGCTGCTGGGAGGTGAGTAAGCGCTTGCTCTCCGCCCCCCCAGGACCGCCGGGTTTGTAATGAGCCTGGCGGTCCTAGGAGGTATTATCGGCAATATCGGTATCTGAATTGGCCGATACCGATATTGCCGAGAATACCGAATATCGGCCGATTATATCGGTAAAACCGATAATCGGTCGATCCCTACATCACATGAGCTAAAATAATAACAAAAAAAGTATAACCAGGAAACATACATTCAGATCACTCTGGTTTCCAAGTACGTCCTGGGGATTTTACATTTGCCCAACATCCAGGGGTTGTTACCATTACCCAATTGATGGTACTCATTTCATCTACCTCGGAAGGATGAAGGGCTGAGTCAACCCTGCCGGGATTTGAACCTGCGACCTCCAAGGGTTGAACAGATTCTACCTCTAGCATGTAAGCTCATTGAGCAGGGTCCTCAACACTTCTGTTCCTGTGTGTCCAACTTGTCTGGTTACAACTACATGTCTGTTCGTCCACCCACTGTAAAGCGTTGCGGAATTTGTTGGTGCTATATAAATAATAATGATGCATTAGCCCATTGAGCTACCTCACCGGTAGATGTAAGTTTGTTTATACACATTCTGATAAGGCTGTTTTTGTACATATGATATATCTTTATGAAAATTAAATAGGAGTCAGTATATAATGCAACCAGTGTGTGTGAACATAAAAAGTACCAACGAAGAAAAGTCAACTGTGACAATAAAATCTCATGTATGCGAGTCTGCATACTTCTAGTATCAGTTCAAATTATCAACTGTATGCAATATATGAACTCATTATTGCAACGCTGACAGTTTTATAAGGAAGCACCCTGCATTCACTCTCATTTCACCATCCCAGACAGCAATTTAAACCTCCTTAGCTGTGTCAATTTTGTTTAGTTGTGTTTGTGGTATATTGACACTGAATCAAAAGTTAGGAAGTCATGGTCACACTCATGCACAAACACACACCCCAGTTCACAAAACGTTTAAAGGAACACTCCAAGAAGCAACTTGCTGTAGTTATGGTGCCAGAAGAGCCCTGGTGTTTCTCTTCACTACCCATTTTTGAATGGTTTGATTTCATCCCCTTAAGAGAAGAGACGAATACTGAGCAGAATGGGTCTGGGACCAATATAATCCAAACATGTAAGGACACACAGCAGCTCACTTAATAGCAGTATTTATTAAGTAGTGTCCTCACACTGAGGGCTTTGCCAAGCTTTATAATGGCCTCAGTATAAGGCTGAACAGTTGTGTTTAGGTGCACTTTGGTAGAATATATATTGCCATTAAGTGAGCTGCTGTGTGCCCGTACTGTGGGAGCCTAAGTCAGCTCCAATTCAGAGCACCTGTTTCAGCTTTATATGGAAGTGTGCAGTCCCTCTCTATATCTTACTCCAAGCCTGGGACCAGTCCTCCAGTGTTCCAATTTCTCTATCATTCAAGTGTGCCTTGGTCCAAAATAGCATTGGTAACCACTGATCTATGAAACGCATTAAATAGAAGGATAGTATTATAATATAATTATACGTTATTATTCACTAGAGTTTCTCTTAAATAAGTAATATCAGAGGAACAGTGGAAGATAGGTTTACTTATCTAAAGCTGTACCCCACAGCTGCAACCATCTTCTTTGATTTCTGACACATTATTTGCCAGAAGAGTACAAAACTGAGATATATGAAGGATCTCTCAAGAGATCATGAATGAATCCCACAGCCATGACAGCTGCTGGGATTGAACAAACATTTGACCACGGAACACTGCTTGACAACCTCAAATCTAACATACATTGCCCTAAATTGGAACAGCATTAAAGCAGCACTGTGACTATGACATACTCATTTTGACTGTTTTGGAATTTCACTGAAATCCCAACCCAGTCAAAAGATACACTTAGACAAAGTAGGGACTAGAAGTGTCAGCCCTCCCAGCTGTCATTGTGATGGCTGCAGGGAATTGGCTCGATCTATGGTGGATCCCACTGCCTCCTCCACAGACCTCAATGCTGTACTCTTGTGCATGCGCAAGAGTTTAGCAGTCTCATCAGCTTCTGACGCTGAAGAGGACCCACTGGAAGAAGATGCCGGTGCCCGCAAGGGACAGGTTCAAGTAAGTAAATCTCACCCCCCCCCCTCACTCCTCCACAAGGTTATTAAAACTGAGCAGAGAAGCTTTAAGTGGGAAAATTCACTGAAATACAATTTTTTTTTGTGAATTAAACCCGAATAAAAAAAAAAAAAAAAAGGAGGCATGAATATCATAGTTGTCACTATGACGGAGTTAAATAATATTTCCTTATCAGCAATTTTAATTGCATCACTTTAATTTTATTTGCAAAGATGTGAAGTTTGGACAATAACCCTGTACTGCAACTGCGCAAACACAAATAACACAGTTTAAAATCTTTCACAGCTATGCCTAATTTTTTTTTTTTTTAAATGCAGATTTAATAATCATGCCTCCAGACTAAATGTCCCCTTCCACCCCCCCCTCCTCCTTTACAAACATGCCTTTAAAGAGACCTGGAATACTTGGAGCTGTGTTTTTGTTTGTGTGCTGTTCCATAATATCTATGTTGTGATAATGTGTAGATTGCTACTAAGAAATGCTTGGTCTAGATAAGTCCTTTATCCCTTTTTTTATTTGGTATCATAATGAGAGACACCCAGTCTGACATAATGACTGACAGCCCAGGCAGCATTCACAGGTCAATGAAGACTATTTCCCAGTGACAAATGGTTTGTCATTATAAGATCATGTCCCTAGTTATGGATATAATATAGATACTGCTCCCCTAGTACCTGTATGCCTGAGTGGTTTCCGGGGTACATATATCTTGATATAAAGCGATAGACATAGACCATTCACATCACACGGTCCTCTGCTCCTTTTTTTCAGACCCCTTCCGGTTTATGCGAGACATACATAACGCGCAGTCGTACTGCTTGGAGTGAAGTCAAGTAGCGGCCATCTTTGTACTCCTAGACCTATCGCTCTAAGTAGGCGCCATCTTTGTACTCCTTTATAATAAAAAAAAAAGGACTTTCAATGCTAATCAACCAATTGTAACCTGCTGCACAAAATGTGCCTTAGTGGCCTTTAAAATAAAAGCTCACGTTAGCACCGTTTTATGTGCCACTTTGGGGAAAGAACTTCCGGTGGTGTTGGCCATGACGTTTAGAGCCGTCTCTGATGACGGAGTAAGCTAGGAAGTGCTGGGTACTTTGCAAGCAGAGGGTAGCTAGCCAGTAGCAATATAGGAAGGTGGGTGAGCTCTGCTAAACTGGCCAGGGAATGGGCTGGAGGTCTCCAGGATAGCACTTTTAAAATTATGCTATACCTTTTCCAAACAGATTCAGATTGGGGGATAATATGGTACTATTCTAAACTTTCATTTTATTTAAACTGCTAAAAAATGTAATGGATAGCTACTCCTACAGCAAACATGTTCCATCTCTCCTTAAAGGGTTGGTCCAACCACCATGCCCACTTCTACTTTTTGGAGTGAGTCATGGTGGTAGGAGGCTGGATGTGCAGTCTTTATCCTTGAAACACTGCACATCCAGAGCTATGTTTAATTATGTGCTGGCAAGTTGCATCCCCAGCGCACATTACGCAGGCTGCCCAGAACTCTGTGCTATCAATACAAAGTTCTATTTGTAGCACTATAGAACAATCCACCCCATCCCCCTGCAGCCGACAGATGGTTAAAAACCTTTTGTCACTTACCTGATTCTAGCTTTGATGTCTGTTGGTGCTGGGTCAGGCTCTGCCTCCGCTCCTCCTCTAAAAATCAGTCCACAGTGAGCACCGCAATCACAGGACTTTCCCACAATAAAGCATTATATCAGTGCTTTTCTATAGGGATTTAGTTACCGCTTGGTGTCCTCATTCAAAGCATGAGGGTGTCCAGTGTCAGCAGACCAAAAGTCTTTAAGCACCATGATGTCGAGTAGACAGCCACTAGAGGTGGATTAACCCTGCAAGGTAATTATTGCAGTTTCTTAATAACTGTGATAATCACAATCAGGGCTGCCATCAGGGGGTGACAACCATGCACTTAGGGCCACCCGATGGGCCCTATATCTTCAGGGGCCCAGCCAGCGCTGTGGCCGTGGTATAGTGCGACCGCGCCCCTTTAAAAAAAAAAAACGCAGCCGCAGCAAGTGCTGCTGGGAGGAAGTGGTCATTTCCTCCCAGCTCACTCCGCACGGGAGGATCACAAGCCAGGCAGTGAGGGAGAGCCGTGCTGACTACTCCCATTAGCCCAGCCACCCTCCTGCAAAGAAAAGGGAAGAAACAGGAGGGTGGTTGGAAAATGAGCTCTGTGTGTGTGTATGTCTATGTATTTATGCATGTATGTCTATGTATGTATGTCTGTATATCTGTTGGTATGTATGTTATTATGTATGTCATTATGTATAAATGTATGTATGTATGTATGCCAGTATCAATGTATGTCTGTATGTCAGTATGAATGTATGTCTGCTTATCATTATGAACGTATGTCTGTGTGTGTATGTTTGTATGGATGTCTGTATGTATGTATGTCTGTCTGTCAGTATGTCTGTATATATGCATGTATGTCAGTCTGTATGTATGTCTGTATGCCATTATGAATGTATGTCTGTCAGTATGTCTGTATGCATGTTTGTCAGTGTGTATGTATGTATGTGTCTTTATGTATGTTAGTATGTGTCTGTCACTATGTATGCCTGTGTGTATGTCTCAGTATGTGTGCCTGTATGCGTGTATGTCTGTTTCAGTATGTGGGTCTATTAGTATGTATCTGTGTCCTTTTGTATCAGTGTGTGTGTTTGTGTCTGTATGTGTGTGTGTGTGTATTCCTGTGGGCGGTATTTGGAGGCGGGCCCCCAGGTGGCCCAGACCCTGAGCTGAGTTAGGCCCCAATATTTCTGTGGCGGCCCTGAGCACAATTGCAGGGTTAAGGGGACAGAGGCACTACACCCACACAACTTCAATGAGATTAAGTAATCTGGATGCCCTTTAAAAGGTGATAGTAAACCAGGACCCCAGAAAGTTCTGAAAAGCTGCCATTATGTTGTTTGAATTTAACAAAAATTTCAGCAGACTCAATAAAGGATTGCCTGTGATGTCACAGGTAGGGTAAAGCGGCACTGTAACCCCCTCACCCCCTTCCCCCCAATTAGGATATAATCTTTATGATATACTCATTTGGAGTGTGTTGGAGATTTACTGAAATACCAACCCAGTCAAGAGATAGAGAGAGACAAAGTAGGGACTACTTTCTCCATTGCCTGACTTTCTTAGAGTCAGGACGGAGTCTGTGTCAATCTCGACAAACGTCACCAGCAACAGCTGCAAGAAATTGGCCGTGTCTTTGGAGGACCGAGGAATCCTCCGTAGACCTCATTGCTGTATTCTTGTGCATTCGTGAGAGTACAGCAGTGACATTGCTTCCACAGAGGATGCGCTGGATCAAAATGTCTGTACCCACAAGGGACAGATTCACGTAAGTAAACCTCCCCTTTACCGACCTCCGGACCCCTAGTGGCAATGTTACCTTCGGGAGTCTTTGCAAATTTGGCAAAGTTCCATGATGGTGACAGTGCCACTTTAACATTATACAAATATATTCGGGGCCAATACAAACCATTGTGTGGAAATCTATTCACAAACCGGACTTTACATAGGACACGAGGCCATGCGTTTAGACTGGAAGAAAGAAGATTTCGTCTAAGGCAAAGGAAAGGTTTTTTTTTACTGTAAGAACAATCAAGATGTGGAATTCTCTGCCTGAAGAAGTGGTTTTATCAGAGTCCATACAGATGTTCAAACGGCTACTAGATGCATACTTGCAAGAACAGAATATTCAAGGATATAATTTTTCAATGTAGGGTAATAACTGCTTGATCCAAGGATAAATCTGACTGCCATTCTGGGGTCAAGAAGGAATTTTTTTCCTAGCTTGTTGCAAAATTGTGCTTCAAACTGGGTTTTTTTGCCTTCTTTTGGATCAACAGCAAAAAACAAATGTGAGGTAGGCTGAACTTGATGGACGCAAGTCTCTTTTCAGCTATGTAACTATGTAACTATATGTAATGTAACTTTAAATATACTCTGGGACTATATATAATGAAGGTAAACAAAGATAAAGAAAAATAATAAATATTATCTTTCCTTTTCAACTTTACACAACATAATCCTCCTTTCTTACACTAGCATCCCTTTCATTAAAGAGATACTATAGGCACCCAGACCACTTCATTTCATTGAAGTAGTCTGGGTGCAATGTTTCTGTCACCTTAAGCCTGCAATGTTAATTTTTGCAGTTTCTGAGAAACTGCAAGAATTACATTGCGGTGTTAAGACTGCCTTTAGTGGCTGTCAATCAGTATCTGGCTCGATCTGGCTTTATTTTATGCGTCATATAAACCGCTAAACCAGTTTAAACGTGGAGATCCTTAGAGGTCACTGTCTTATTGATTTAAATTAAAGGACCACTCTAGGCACCCAGACCACTTCAGCTTAATGAAGTGGTCTGGGTGCCTGGTCCAGCTAGGGTTAACCCATTTTTTCATAAACATAGCAGTTTCAGAGAAACTGCTATGTTTGTGAATGGGTTAAGCCTTCCCCTATTTCCTCTAGTGGCTGTCTCATTGACAGCCACTAGAGGCGCTTGCGTGCTTCTCACTGTGATTTTCACAGTGAGAGCACGCCAGCGTCCATAGGAAAGCATTATGAATGCTTTCCTATGTGACCGGCTGAATGCGCGCGCAGCTCTTGCCGCGCGTGCGCATTCAGCCGACGGGGAGGAGAGAAGGAGGATCGGAGGCAGAGAGCTCCCCGCCCAGCGCTGGAAAAAGGTAAGTTTTTACCCCTTTCCACCTTCCAGAGCCGGGCGGGAGGGGGACCCTGAGGGTGGGGGCACCCTCAGGGCACTATAGTGCCAGGAAAAATAGTATGTTTTCCTGGCACTATAGTGGTCCTTTAAACTTCCCAGCATATTTAAATTGGATGAGTTCATTATGCAAAATATATATATATATATATATATATATATATTATGATTTTATTTATATTTAGACTATAATTCTATGACAAATGTATTATTTAAAACAATATACAGGTAGGATTGCAAATTGTTTTAGAATTGTCTTCATTAACATATTTTTCTGTATTAAACATGTTCCATTGAAAGTAAATTATCCACTCTTTTAATCTCCATCCATATCCAGAAGAATTCAACTCCTTCAGATAATCATGTGTCTAATCAAATCCTTTCCAAGCCCTTCCCACTATCATTTCACAATCCGCTCACATTGCTACCTGCAAGGGTGCAATTAAAGGACCACTATAGTGCCAGGAAAACATACTCGTTTTCCTGGCACTATAGTGCCCTGAGGGTGCCCCCACCCTCAGGGACCCCCTCCCGCCCGGCTCTGGAAGGGGAAAGGGGTAAAAACTTACCTTTTTCCAGCGCTGGGCGGGGAGCTCTCTGCCTCCTCTCCTCCTCCGTTCCTTCTCCTGGGCTGAATGCGCACGCGCGGCAAGAGCTGCGCGCGCATTCAGCCCGTCGCATAGGAAAGCATTTACAATGCTTTCCTATGGACGCTTGCGTGCTCTCACTGTGAAAATCACAGTGAGAAGCACGCAAGCGCCTCTAGTGGCTGTCAATGAGACAGCCACTAGAGGGAATAGGGGAAGGCTTAACCCATTCATAAACATAGCAGTTTCTCTGAAACTGCTATGTTTATTAAAAAATGGGTTAACCCTAGCTGGACCAGGCACCCAGACCACTTCATTAAGCTGAAGTGGTCTGGGTGCCTAGAGTGGTCCTTTAAAGAACACTATAGTGTCAGGAACACAAACATGTATTCTTGACACTATAGTGGTAAAATAACCATAGGTCACTTGCCCCCTTTCTGATTCTACTCACCTTTATTCCCCCACACTGGACCAGTCTTGCCTCGTGTCTGAGATCATCAGACATAGGAAAGCATTGGGAGGCTACTGTGCATGCATCATGAATCCGTTGCATCTTTATGGGGAACGTTCAGCGTCTCCATGCTCTGAATGCCATTGTTGCACTGACACAGGAAGCACCTCACATAGTCCAAATTTAAGTAAGATGTTAAAACTGGAATATAGAATTGGTATGAAAGGTATAATAAAATATAATTCAGAGACCTCATGTTCAAACATGGCTGGCTGCAGAAATAGTTTGTGGGATGAAGTTCCTCCACAGCAAAGGTATCCGTCACGTAACTTAAATTACTTTGCATAGTGCATGTTTCCTGAACACTCTTATTTATGCTACTTACTTTCTGTCTTTCTGGTCATATTGTTCATTTATGATTTATAAATCCTACTTTAACCTCTCCATGACAAAAGATTGACCTCTAATAACTAGTGGAGTTCTCGTACTACGCAGATGACCTGCACTGAATCTCCTCATTTTTAGCATACCTATTAGTAATCAATGTGCTGTTAGAGTGGTATACCCCAATATGATGCTTTTCTGTATGTCCAGTGGCCCTTGGGAGATTAAGACAAGCAATATGCAAACAATATGCATTGTATCTCTCTGTTAAACAGAATTTTGGGAACAGTACAACAGATGTCAGTCTGTACCTATCAGGTCATTATGGTTTCAGTATGCATTGTGATGTTATACATTGCCGGTGCAAGGATTTCTGCCGCCCTATGCAAAGATCCATTTTGCAGCCCCCTCATGTCACTCACTCACTCACTGACAGACACACTTGCTGACTGAC